CCTACTCGCAGGCCGCCTTGGGCCGAAGGCCCCTCTAACTGTTAACGCCGAAGGCCTCACGCCTAACCATGACAGCCGCTTTCGACGCTCATAACTCATTGACGCCTTATCCGTTTCAAGAGATCTTGGTCTCGTTGGAATCAGCTCGTCGAGTTCTTTCCAACGAGACCCGAATCAAGTCAAACCACTAAGAATTGAGAAAGTTATGTTGGTTTTCCTCTTCCGCCAAAGGCGTTCGCCTATCCACAGTCCGTCCGCGGCGATGACCTGGCTGTCCGCGGCGCTGAACTGTCCGTCCGCGGCAATGACCTGGCCGTCCGCGGCGCTGAGCTGTCCGTCCGCTGCGCTGACCTGTCCGTCCGCGGCGTTGTCCTGGCCGTCCGCGGCGCTGAGCTGGCGCAGAAGGCGCCGTACACTTTCTACCTCACAAGGCGCATTTCTAGGGCCCAAGGCGGATTTCCCGCCGACGCCGAAGCGCCTGTGCACAGGCGAACGCCTGTGCGCAAGCGAACTTCCTTCGTCCGCGCATAGGACAAAATTTTCTTCGCCTGTGCGGAGTCGGAAAGCTGAGTATCTTGCGACCTTCATAACTCCCGGAGTTCTCCTCCGTTCGTGGCGTTCTTGGGCGCGTTAGAATGAGCGCGTCGAGCTCTTTCCAACGAGACCCTAACCAAGTCGAGGCGTTGCAAATTGAGAAAGTTACGAGGGATTCACTCTTCCGCCGAATGCACTCTCCCGCATCGCCAAAGGCGTTGACCCGAAGGCGTTGACCGAAGGCGTCTACCGCCCAAGGCGCATCTTCCGGCGGTTCTTCCGCCGAAGGCGTACCGCCAAAGTCGCTCTACCGCCGAAGGCCCCCCCATCAGTAACTTCCGACACTCATAACTCAGTGATCTCTCATCCGTTTCACAAGTTCTTGGGCTCGTTAGAACCAGCGCGTCGAGTTCTTTCCAACGAGACCCTAAGCAACTCAAAGCGTTACGAATTGAGAAAGTTATGAGTGATATACCGCCGAAGGTGCTCGAAGCGGATCTTGCAGCATGAACCGCCCGTTCCGCCCCAAGCGTCCCACTGTGGCCTAAGCCCAAAACCCCTTGACTGTCCTCGATCCTCTTTTTACTCTGGTTTCGCGTACCGATTACTATTTACAGCTGCTGCCGCGGTACTTACTATTCAAAAATGTTTTAGTTCCGACAAAAAACAAAAAGTGGGTTACCACAACCATGCATGTAAGCGGTCTTGGTCGGCTGCAATATCTGCAGCAATGCAGTCGCGACATTTCTCCGCAATCGATCTTTGTAATCCCGTGTCCGGAAACCGTTCTTGGGATGCCTGGCAACTTTGAAGAGCTCATTGTAGGAGACTTCTTCCTCTTGGGACACCTTCACGCTATCGGCCTCGAAGAGGAGATCCCCTTCCTCGCCGGCACACCTGCCCAACACCTGCGCCCAGTTGCAAATGTCCCATCTTTTTGGATGTGGACGGAATCCGCGAGAGGGCTTGTGTCTCTCCTGCAGATACTCGCGCACCATCTCCGGACATGTCCAGTTCCACCCCCACAGGAGAAAATCGAGCTTCAGCCTCAGCAGCACATCTTGAAATGCGCGTAGACCGATCTGTGGCACCCTGAGTGGAGACACTCGCAGCTGGGGAACCTTCGACATTGCGTTGCCTGCACACACAAACGTTCTCCCTTTCGCTCGCTCTCTCATTATCGCCACTGCGCGTCGGCCGCTCAAGCACTGACTGCTCACTCTCTCTGCGCTCAAGCTCAAGATCGCTACTCGCAATTCTCTCCAAGGTCTGCCAAGATCCTTGCGCAACTCGTCTCCGCACTCTCTCCTCTCACTGCAGGTCGCTCCGCTCTTGCGCGTAATCTTGGAAACTGGAAATCGCAAAATCAAGAATGAGAGAATGAGACTGGAGCGCAGTCTTTTCTTCTCCGATTTCAAGAACGTCCAACGTTCTTACTGGTTACAACGTACGCAGCCGGCTATACGGCCTAACGGTTCGCCCTTTGCATGCGCGAATTCACGTCTCCGCACTGCGCGCATTCGCATGCGTAAATGTTGAATTCTCCCGCCGCCGCCACCTTCCGGACTCGAGTCCGCTGCAGGGTATACGTCGGCCATGTTGTCTTTTCCTAATCCGTCCCTCACCGGAGGCGTGTCGCCACTGGTGCGTTCCTTATCCGTCGGCGCCTTGCTGGAGGCGCACATCTAGTCGGAGCGAATTACGCCGGCGCGCAGTCGTACCGCTTATTTTGTCCTTTATGCCTCGTCCATTGCTGCCGGCGCATATCCGCCAGCGCAACTCATGCCAGCGCATCCGGCCGTCAGCGCCACGTCGGAGGCGTACATCCGACCGGCGCTTTCCTTCCATGAACAGCCGCCAAAGGCGCTTCCGACTCTGAGTTGGTTTCCTCCTATGAGCGCGTGATTCCGTCGAAGGCGCATCGCCGAGGGCGTACGGGAATCCTTTCCGGCTGTGAAACCTAGCGCGAACGGCGCATGTCCGGCTACGAGTTTTCCGACGCTCATAACTTCTCCGTCCCTGATCCATCTCCGACGCTCTTGGGCTCGTTAGAACGAGCGTCCCGAGCTCTTTCTAATGCGACTTCAACCAAATGGATCTACCGTGTATCCCGATCGTTATGAAGGTTTTCCCTTTCCGCGCTAGCGGCGCATCGCCGAAGGCGCACTCATGGTCGGACGCCTTCAGAGGTCCGGGCCCTTCTCCTGACGTCTTTAGCAAAACCTCCTCCTGAGGTGTCTGCGCCGGAAGCGTAGCTTCCTTATACGCTGGAGGCGCGTGAGTAGAGACACCTCAGAAAAGGAGCTTTTGCCGAAGGCGCCGAAGACATTGGCGTTGGTACATCCGACTACGTGATTCTTTGTGTCCTCGTGTCGATCTCATCAATCCACTCTATTTAACGTACCCTTTTCTAACTACAAACACTGCTTCGGTACTAGTTTTCTAAAATGGTTTAAATTCTGCAAAAAAAACAAAAAGTGTGTTACCACAAAGCTGAAATCCGAGTGGAAGATCTGTGAGTGGGAGCTGAGAGTGAAGTGAAATCTGAGACTGAAATCTGACAGTAGGGATCTGAATTTGAAACAGAAAAGGGAGAGTGGAATCTGAGTAGGAATTGGGAGTGGAACTCAAAGCTAGGATAGACCACAGCAGCTGTGGTATTGAGAAAGTCACCCAGAGTTGGATTAGATCTTTATGTAACAAAGAGCTTGTCTGCTGCTCTTGTGGAGATAGCAGACAGCAAGTTATTATTTTCAGTTTTGGATAATTTGTCTGTGAAAGAGCAAGTGTTTATGATCTCATTGTCTTGAATACACTTTGACCACATGGTTGAGATCAGAGAAGTTAGATTATGGGAGCTCGAACCCTCACCTGGAATACAAACGCTGAAGGGTGGGGAGTTTAGGCTCACAGCGGTACCTTGATCGCAAGGCGGCGAAGTATGCTGATCCCCGCCATCGGGGATCCTACGTCGAATTCGTGAGGAATCGGACGCAAATCAAAGTAGCGACGAATCCCGAACTGATTATCTTGGACCGTAAGTACAGAGAGTTGGAGGAGAAGAACGATGCCTTGCAGGGACATACTACCCTCTAGCGGAAACTGCACAAGGCAGTACTGCAGCTGCGCGATGACGTAGCAGCCGAAGCCCAGCGCAAATTTGTGAAGCAACGCGCAAAGATCGAGGCGGAGCTTCATTCAGAGCGAATTCAAAATAGCACCTTGGCAGAGGAGCTCGTGCGGCAGACACGGTTGTTGGAGCAGTGTCAGATCGCACGCAAGGCAGATGAGGAGTTACTGCGTCGCTTGCAATCGCAGTGCGACGAATTGAGAGTGCAGCATGCGGATGCGGAGCTGCAGTTAGTGGAGTTTGAAGGCGGCAACCGGTGCGCGACAGATCGTCGGCGAGAGGAGTTAGTCGCTCGAGTGAACCAGTGTCTGAGAGGTTACACTCTCTAGGAGGTAGCAGTACAATGTAAGTAATGGACTTACAATGTAAGTAATGGAATTAAATTTAATCAAACACAGCAATATACATTATTCACGTCAATACTTCAATATATTGTACTATCAGATATAAAATAATTCTTCAATTCTTTATTTTATTTATTTTATATCCAATAATGTAACAGATAAAAAGTTAACTGTAATCAAAGGTTTACATAGGTTTTAGGAATGAACACTCTTGCAAAGCTTTTGAATCAGTCGACAAAAATTGGATTTCATACAAATTCTGTGAAAAATATATGAAGAGAATTATTCATCACAAATATAATATAGATCTATATTAACTTTAATTTAGAGTACTCTAATTCTTACTATAGTCCATTATTAGTCCATTCAGATATTAATGTTTCTTTCAACTGAAACGAATTATGTTGTTTCAAGTTTCTTCATTTTTAGACAAAATTGTAAAGCAATTTGAAACTCAATCCATCATGTTCTAGTTATTTCTTTTTAACTGCAGTCATTTCATGATTCGTAGTAACAATCTAAATTTTATCCATATGAAGTCTTGACTTATCTTGTGAAATAAAAGAATTTGTTTGCAGCATTTACTTCTAGTGAGGAAAGCTTGTTTTTTGGCAATATATTCTGATTCAATGTACTTAAAGAAGAACATACGGTTCAAGTTTAATGCTCCTGACTTTGCCCTCTGTTTCTCTTTGGAGGATTACAATGAGGTTTTGTTCATGTGCTTCCATTTCTTTATTCTTCATTATATTAAGAGAATCACCTACTTTGGTAATAGTAATAGGTCCTGAGCTGATTCTACAACTCCATCGGCTTTGAACGTATGCAGTTCAAACCTCGAGGTCGATGATGCGGCGTTTCCCAAGTCATCTAGTGGTTCTAAAACCTACATCTAAACTGGTGTGTATATTTTCTGTTATTCGTCTGCTTTGTATATCTCTGCTTCTCTATAAACATTCAATCACAAAATTTTCAATTGTATCAAAAGCAATCCAGAAATTGACACGTTGAAATGTATTAAGCAAAGTTCTTGATTGCATGTCTTCTCTTGTCCGTACTAACAGCGCATTCAGAATGGCCGGAGCCCATGCTGAGTGAAAATGTAGTAACGAGCAAATCTGTACAATTAAATTCTCGGTACATTATAGCCGCAACAAACAATTTTTTATGATTGTTGATTACACTTTTTGGAGAATCACACAGGACCTGTAGACATCATGACATTAACAACTCTAGTAGGCCAAGGCAGTGAAAAGGCCAACTCCTCGATTGATCCACCAAGCTTGTTTCTTCTCAGACTTCAACTCCAAGTACATCACAAAATTGGTGGAGTGGCCAGTGGTTGAGAGAGTTCCTGCACGAAAGTGTTTTTATTAGATACGTATGTACGATTTCTATATAAATTTATTCGTGGCTCACCAACTTAGATGCTGAGTCCATCTACAGATAAAGCCATTCCTGAAAGCTCCACCAGCGACCATGATGTGCCATTGTAGGAAGTAAGATACTCCACATACAGTCGACCTATGGAAGGATCTTCAAAGAATTTTCAGTCTCTGTTCCCTTGTTCGAGAGATTACAGACTGAGTACTCTAAACGGTACGTCTTTGACTCAGGATGAAGCAACCTTTGCAAATCAACTTTTCGTGCATTACCGTGACTCTGTGGATGGTTTCATTTGTTACTGGTACGAGCACATTGAAAGTTTTCTACAAGCCATTTCAAATGTTTATTCTGAAGATACTATAGCACTTGGCACACAAAAGAGAGGGTGTTCTTACCCGCCCGGACAAGAGTTTTGTAGACAGGGCACAAATAAATGCCACCAGTTGGTGGCACTCTATGCTGAGTAGGCTTCAGCCATATGATTGGACAATCGGTAAACAGCTCCTTAGGTCTGGACTCTGTTAAAAGATGAGCCTGACTGTCCCAGCGAGCTCCTTCGAGATACAGTCCTCTAATATAGCAACCGCTTTCCGGCTGTCTGGTTAGTGTTTTGACTGAGTCTGTGTCCATCTCTTGATAGTCAAAACTGACCGTATCAATAGCCATTCTATGTTTTCGAGCAAAATTTTGGAGCGTTCCAGTCAAAAAGGCCTGCAGAATATGACATGCTTTCAGACAAAACAACTTCAATAAAACATGATATGAACAATAATTCATGAACCCTACGTTTGAAAGGAGGGCATATTGTCTTTGATATACAAGAGTTCTCAAAGTCGACCGCCCCTCTGGCTTTAGGAATTGAGCAGCCCTGAAAGAATGAGTACAATTCTTATCACACTTATTCATCACATTCATGAGTACAAATCTATGTCTATTTGAGAGCCATGTCTTCTCCAGGACATAATGTAATTTCCACGTACAAGTTTGTGTTCAGCAGTTTTGTACCTGTGGGAAAAAGAAACCGGAGATCCATATCACAGCTGGAACACCTTCCGCAATCCATTTAGATATAAACTTGCACCTCTCTAGCAAGTCATCTATCCATGCTGAGAGGGGTTTCAAAGAAGGATAAGCCTTGCCTTGCCACATCTCTGGCACCTACAATGGCCATAAATTTCACCAATGAACTCATGAGGACATCTGGTAAAACTAAAAACCTTTGGAGATTTCAGAGACAGATTTTTTAAGAATCCTGAGAAGATAATAATATATACACATCATGCTAGAAGGAGGTCTTCAGTTGAAGGCGCTTCAGTTCTTTATGGCGGAAATCAGACCCATCTTTGTCAAAATAATGGGTAGAATGGGAATCGTAATGAATACAGGAGCTGACATGGCTTACAAGTCGCAGAGCCCAACTAGTTTGTAATCAGACATTTACTCTGGGATATAAAACTGACTCGTTCGCTCCTCATTACAAACTGCTAGGCTAGTGGTTCAGGGTAAGGTCGTACTAGATTCAAGAAAATGCTGTTGCAAAGCATTTCAAGGTCAGGAGACATGACGACGAGCCCCTTGAGTGCTTTGAGGGCATCTTGCAGTGATCGCTTCATGACGCTCAACAGGCCGTTGTACCTAATGCACTCCTGTGTCAAAACTGTGTTCATACTTTCATTGTACATAGTAGGGTACTTCTGGAGGACCACTTCGACATCATACACTGGCGGAACCACGGCCAGCATGTCTTTGCACTTCTTCTCAATAATATCTTCACGAGACATTCCAGTACCAGATGCGCTTTCTCGTGGCTGGAGAGTCAAAACCGTACCATACAGATCGTTTGATTCATTCTGGTCACAAGTGATATCTGCATTCTCGTGAAGACCAAATATCTCGGGCTTCGGTGCAAGAGGAATTTCTCTACAATAAGTCAAGAAGGCATTACAATTGCTGGCATCTGGTATACAAAATACACCGGATTCACTGAATTTGTAACCCTTTTCAGTGCAGACCTGATATGTAGACGAGAAAATGGTCAGTAAAAGCTAAGGATGGACGTAAACAGCGTGAGAATAGACCTTAAAAAATTTGCCACTTACATAGCATCAATCTGAAAAACTACAATGCGTAACTTTGCATTAGAATGCATTTTTGTGTACATACAAGAAGGTTGACGGCCTCCGGTTACTCAGTTACGGTTACAGGGTTCAGTTTGAAAATGATCTGAACTACTAGCCAAGTCAGAACTGGACTCTCTGATCCTCTGAACCTCTGAAAGTTCGATTTTTCATCTGGAGTGAACTGACCAGTATGAGACAACACTCTGCTTGACAACGAGCTAGTGCCAGCGAGAAGCTGAGACTCTTAGCTAAATGCTTAAGATTGAAGAAAAAAGTATTCACGGAAATTATATCATTACACGGTCATGAGATGCCAAAGTGCGTTTAAATTTACTGGAAAAACAAAAGACAGATCAACTTTTGTACAGAAATATGTAATCCCTCGATTGGACGTGATTGAGTCACTACTACTGATTGAGTTGTCCTGACTCGATCCCATCCAATCGAAGCTTTACTTGTCAAGATTCATGTACTAATGTAAGTGGATCTCTAAATTTGTCGCTCAGTTTTTGGATGAAAAAGTGAAATTGGAGAAAGTTTCCCGAAAGAACGAAACGGCCTACCTCAGCTGTTACGAACGTTTGGAGAAGCGTGTTCATTAATCTTCTGTCCTTGTCATCGGTTACACGTCCTCCGTAATTAATCTCTCCACAGAGGAACCGAATGACCTGTCATATCATGGTAGAGATACGATAAATATAGAGAAACGTTGATGAGAGAAACATCTACTCAATTATTTGTGCATCGACCAGAAACGTCCTTCAAAGGGTGGAGAACATACACTACCTTGAAGGGAATATCTTCGTAATCATTCAGAAACATTCGAATCTGCACTTGACAAACACTCAAATCACCATCAGTGAAGTCGTATCGAATGTTCCACCCGAGTGGCCCAAACTTACGTCGCTCTTGTATGACAGCATGAAAAAGACACGTCGCGAAGACAAGTCTCTTCCATTCATCAGGCTTAGCGCAGTCATTAAGCTGCTTATCCGTGTACCGCAGGTAAGACCTTATCATGTTAGATCGCAACCCTTTAGGTGGTTCCAAAGTCATTTTTACACCATTCTGAAGAATTGCTACAGGAAAGTCCGGGCTGGGCATGCTCGTCAACCACAGTCGAAAATCTTTATGGACCTGATAGAGATAGACAGAGAATATCGAACGTTAGACTAGAGAACGTTGAACTAGAGAAGCAGATGGAGTGCGTATCATTGCTCTACATGCTACTCGCTCATACTCTTCAGTGACCTGGTGGATTTCAAGCAGGCAAATAAAAAGTTCAAAGCTAGCTCGCCATTTCGACGTCCATGTTAACTAAAATCGTGGAACGGTAAAACTTGATTGTATGTTTAAGAGATGCATATGCTTGATTTCAACTTTTTGATCTATTTCTACCTTGTAATTGTCAGCGTGTAAAATTTTCAAGTCAGAAAAACTGATCATCTTCCATGTATATGGAGATCTCGCTAAAACTGTTAACAGCTATCAAGTCTCAGCAAGGACAAACGAGCGCGCCTGCGTCTAAAATGTGAGTTGGTTGCAGGGGGAGGGAATAACTCCAAAAACTAGTGACTTCACCGCGAAGGTGATCATGAGAGCACCACTAAGCTTCATTAATTCTCATAGAGCAAACCTTCCTTTCCTCTGGAGCTTGGCTGAGGGGTTTTCGTGATAAGGCTACGTACTTTTTCAGGGTCGATGTTATCCACGATACGATCCAGTGCCGGCATCCATGACTGCGACAAATGACAATTTTGAAGACACACCCACATACCGCGCTCCATACCTTGTGCTAATAATTTCTCGGCTTTTGGACCTTGTCCTTGTCCCAAAGAAACCTGCAAAAGTGTTAAAAGTATTTCAGTCTTTCAGCTCTAAAAAACAGAACTTTCAGAACAGTCTATTATTGTATGATCGAACATTAGTACCAACCTTCTCGAACTTTTTGGTGAATCGATGGTCTTCTGCCAGTTTCAGCAAATCTGCCATAGGATCCGCTCCCGGTGAGAGAACGAATATGAGTGGTGAATTTGGAGTACCATCTTTGAAACAGGTTGCAAGATCAAACGCTGGAGGTTCAATAAATCGCTGTCCAAGGTGGTGGGTGACAAAATCCTGCGCAAGAGTATCGATAAATTTTTAAGTGACTGACTGTGTGACCACAGATGTTAACGTGAAAGACAAAGGACGCTCGAGATAATACACGGGATACAGATTTTTTCTACCTGAATGCCAAGAAGAGACTTGTCGATTCGAAGGCATCGAAGCACAAGCAGCTTTTGAAGATTGTCTAGTTTAGTATTCCACTCTCCAGCTAGGGGCTCCTTATGAGCATCAGAGCTATCAAAGTACTTTCTGTAGTGGGCTATATTGTCCACCACATGCTTTTCAAAATTTTTGAATCTTTCAAGCTTCGCAAGGTTCAAAATATCACTCCATGACTGCATACATTTATCATTTAACGTGTTATCCATAGTTTGACTAATTTATGTACACTTTCTTGCAAGATATGTATTCCACATATATCGTGCTAGAAAATGAGATCCAACAAGGATTTATCTTTGAGGTGCCATAGCCGAATAAAAAACCACATCCAAAGTTCAGCACAGAAGCTACCGTGAACTACCAAATAACGCGCACTGGGTATGAAGTAATCATATCCAATCTACAAACAATATTCTCAGGAAACTTAAGATAATGATGAGCATTAGAAAAAGAGTTCAGCTTTCATATGCCACTGTTTGAAGGTTACTGATGCTTGCATTCGACCTGTGAGTATCAGAGCACAATTCTAATCCAGTAAATAAAAATGAACATTCAAAGAAAGTCGAATCCTACCTTATCTGTTAACCAGTCAGGGGCTGGATTTTTCAAGGTCAGGACTGATGAAATACCACCGGAGAGTAGAAACCGCCATTCCAAGGAATCAACTTCGCCTTTTCCCTGCATCCACACATGCAGCAGTTACATTGGAATTCATGTTGGCATGGATTTTGTTTGACGATAGGCCTCGAAGTAGCTATCAAGTAGCCAGAATTTGTTAAATCTGCAAAATGCAAATATGTTTGAAAGCGAGAAGTACCAGTCGTCACAAAGTATATTATAACTCACACCAGCATTTTGGAAGTGTAGGATGTTTGACCTGAAGGATCTTGATGCACAGCATCATGGAAAACATGAGTTTGTGTTTTTCAAACAACGATCGGCAGACATTCACATAAAGCGAGTATGTAAAATACTCGTTCAAATTTTCAATTCGTTTGTCGATAACAGTCGATTGAGCAGCACTCTCCATGGCTCTTACAAAAAGACCAATAAACCATGGTAAACTGTACTGATACATAGGATCCACTAGTGCCAAGTCTGAGATACAGAAGAAAAGAAGCGACGCTCTTGTTGCAACTTTTCGATAGACCTGCACAAGGTCAAGAGTTCTAAAATTTAGTTCCTCCAACGACATGCAGCCTCCGAAGCGCTGAAAGAAGTTTTGATGCTTACATTTCTTCGTTCAAGACTTACAATACAAATTCATTATTAGTACATCTTCCTCGCTTTGATGGCTTCGACAAATGTGAGTGTAGAAGAAGATACTCAGAATTTTCACCGGTTACGCAATTCAGCTCTAAGTTCAAAATCTACACGTATCTTGATTTTTTACAACTAAAAAATAACAAGTATCCTCATCTCTTGTAAGAGCAATACCTCACGTGTTTCATCAATAGCAACCTCTGTTTTCTCGGCTTCCACAACCTTCAGTTTGATCTCATCTGATGTTATCTTTGACTGTGCTAGAGTATTTATGAGGGTTTCATCTTCTAGAATGTTGCCCTGTAGACAAACATAGAATCCTCATTAGAAACTCCTCTTTGAAACCTCTTTACCATATGATTCGCCATGTTCCTTTCACTCTGCACTCGCATCCTGCGGCAAGATATGAGTGGTTCTCAACTCGCGACGGGCTTAAGGGACCTAGATTGGCAATAATCAAAAAACAAGGTCTCCATCTGACCGAATCCAAACAAAGGTCATGTATAAGGAGCCCGAACCTGTGCGTTTGACAGGAGGAATAGTATCTTAGTTTCCAATTCTTTCAGCTCACGTTTCATACTTGCATTGGACAGCGTTAGTTGTGTTTTCATCTCTGCCAAGTCAGGTCTTTCTTTAGTGACGACATTTCCCAGCAATTGATCTTCCAGCCCTTCAGGTGTGACGAAGAAATTAAGTAGCGTAACCTTCACACTGACCTGTGCAGAGAGCCAAAATTATACGGAAATGAGAAATATACACGTAGAAGGTCGTCCAGCGTTATAGGAGTTTCAACTCTGGATAATTGATAGACAGACCCTACGCCTGAAATTTCTACGAATTCTACTTTCATAGCACTCCAGGAAGATATGAATGCACTACCTAATCCTAGAACTAAAAGGGAAGAACTGTGCAGATTTACCGACACAAAATAAGAGCAGATTCACTTCAACCTGTGTGTTCCAGATAGAGAAATGGCTTGGCCAAAATAATTCTCACATAGAATATTACCTCAGGAGCGTAATGAGGGTTTCGAAGCTTTGTGGTGATGTAAAACTTGAAATCTTTGTGGTACGGAATGATATTTTCTCCAATCTTGATCACTTCCTGACCACCTTGTTTGTATGTTTGCTGAAGAAGAAGTGGTTCCAATGCTGGATCCAGAGCCTCCAAAACGTTTTCTAGAAGCACAACTCGACCGAACCTGACTCCGTTTTCCAAAGTTCGGAGGTAGTCTTTCTCAGACAATTTGATAACATCCAAACCTATATCTCTGTACATGTTCTTGATCCACTTATTCGCTTGTCCCTGCGTAAGAGTAAAATATTCCAATGAAATCAGCCTAAAGAAGATGAGAAGTTTTAACCTCCAGCAGTAAGATAGGGCCAAGCATTACCTGAGGATCAATCATCAGCGGCCAGCGACGAGCTTTGGATACGATAATTCCGTTATCCTCACTAAGTGTGTCGCTAGGCAAACCGGCTATGTTCCAAGCCCTCATCTTCACAGGGTCCTTCAAGCATCCTTGTAGCGTTATAGCAGGAGTATGCGGTAGCTACAAAAGAAACAAGAAGATATTTCAACTAATAATCGGATATGGTTCAGTTCATCTGAAAGAAGAAAAGAGCTGGTTTTTTAGATATAAGATGCATATAATCCATTCAATGAAGTCCAACTGAAATGAACCATTAGAAATAACGAAATAAGTAGAATATTCCATTCATTCAAGGTCAAATGAGCCCTTTATAAGGAATTGTTTTGAATTTGCGAGAGGAATCGGTGTCAAGAAGATTTCCTCCTTCAGATGAGAGAACAAGAACCGAAGAAGTAAAGATCTCTGAAGGCTAAGAAGTTATCTCCATTTATGGAACAGGATCTCGATCTAGGAACAGTTAGCATAAATCTCGAGATTGTAGAAAGCAAAATTGCAGCTGGGATTCATACATAAAGGAGAAAGAAAGCTAACACACCTTGTTTGAAAAAAGGCTACATGTTTCTCGTATGTTAGGTGGTGCTACTGTCCTTCACTTGCTCTCAGGAGGAGAGCAAGAGATGGAAAAGAATCAAAGTCAATTGAATCCTGGACTCCAGCTTGAAAGGCCAGAGGTAGTACCTCTAGTTCTTTCACCAATCTGACCCAGTCTAGGTTGAATTTCTCCCTATAAGGAGGGGTAAATGGTCCTGTATAGGCAATAGCACCAGCAGCCACAGCCACGTCTCCAATGACGTTCTTGATATCGATTTCAAGGCTAGCTATGTTGGCAATCCATCTTGTTCTCTCACCACCAAGGCCACCAATCAGTTTATCTGCATTAGAGAGCTTCTTTTCACAATCTGAAGCTTGTTTGGCCAAAGCATCTTTTTTGGCAACAGCAGCACTTAGATCAGCCTCTAAGAGGGCTATTTTGCTCTCCACCTGTAAGCATCCGCATAATCAAATGTGAAGTTCATTAAACGAAATTGCAGATACTGTAGGACGCTGCAATTTTTTCCCAAGATCGTAGTCCAAGTAAGCTGAAAGTCTGACCTAAAGGGGTACAGCCATCGGAGGCATCAACATCTAACTGTTGTTTAAGAATTCTTCAGACAAACTTCAAATCAGACCTGAATGCTCAACTCCAGCAACTACAGTTTCAATCCATCTCACCTCTTTGAGCTTGGCCTGAGCGTCATGAAGTTGTGCCAGAACAGCATCGAGAACGCCCTGAGCTTCAGCCAGCTGAGCACGCTTTGGAGCGACAACTTTGCACACTAGGTAGTAAGAATGCATGGCCCTCACCCACATGCAGATAGAGGTGCATGCTTTTGACACTCTTGCCACCTGTTATGATCAACAAAAATTGGAACATTGATCAACTTCAACCGATTGGGAGTTATGACAGCACGCTGGTATTAATCGAAAGTTGGTGTAGACATTCTGGAAGCCTCCGGACCGACAAAGACGTACTCTGACAATAATCCTCGTTCGTAGTAGAATACTATACGCAAATTAAAGGCAGATTGAACAAGCATTCAATGCAAAAGTATAGACTTCAGCAGGAAGAGCCTTCGGATTGCCAATTTTGTTTTGAATGTTTTGAAAAGTAAGTGTAATGCTCTTACAGTGAAGCATCAGTACTTGGGGAGAGAAGGTTAAAATATCGCTGAAGAGATGAATAACACTGAGTTCGGATCCTCGTCGAATTCCACGAGGATCCGAACGTATCATGGTATGCGAGACTGAAGATTATTATTTTACGACACTCAGTGTTTCATCCGAACATTGTATGATGTACTGAAGGGGCCTTCAATTGTATTGTCTCATTAGGACATTTTGGTCTTTTGACTGAGACTTCACGATCTTCCCGTGTAAAAGACGCCGTTTACCTGCTCAGGCGTAAATGCTTCCATTGTAATAAAAGGCTCAATCTTTACTATCACAGATTCAGGAATGTTGTCCTTGTCAAATCCCAACAAGGAATCTAAAAACTTGGTCGGATCTGTCAGCATCTTCGTGCTGGCATCCCAGTAATCTGCAAGTTTTTTACCCAACTGCAACAGGAACAATATTTGGTCAGTTAAACAGCAATTAAGTAACTCTCTCTCATATCTACATGAAAATCTCAGCCAAAAATGACATACATTAGTCTTCAGACCTGTAAAAGATTATCTTACCTTATTCGGATCAGCAACCATTTTTGGAGCTTGCTGAAACATGATACAGCAAGCCTCCATGACCATTTTCACACCCTCAGGGGGGTTTCTTAAGGACTTGACTTCGACAATGTCGTTCCTTGTCAGTAATTTGAGAGATGAGAGCGCCGCCTCGAGAGCTGGTAAAGCTTTATCAAGTTCTGCTTGTGCACTGTCTGCAATGGCTTTTGCCTTTGCGGCCATCTTGTTTGCCTCTGCTTCTTGCTTACCTACCTGCATTTAAAGTGAGAAAAAAGCAAAAATGTATCGATTCCAACTCTCGCCAGACGGGTTACAACCTCAGAGTTCCATTACGTATACATCAATATCGTTCAATCATGCTTGGGAAAAAAGGTCAGATAAAATACCTCCGCCTTCGTAATATCAGCAGCCTTTTTGTCGTTAGAAATGACAGCCATCATCTCGTCTGCTTCTTTTGCAGTAGCTTGAAGAATGGGTTGTAAACGCTTCAGCTCTTCCTGCATGACCTCTACTTCCTGTGCCGTCGTCAATAGTTTGTCTAGACCTGCTTCAAGCCTTCCTTTCAATCCTTGCAAGTCAGATTTCTTCTCACCCATTAGCTTGATGAATAGCTGGAGAAGCTCAAGGTAACTTGTAGGAGTCACGTAATTATGACGATTTAGTTCTTGCAAGAAATCTGCAGAACGTCTCTCCACAGATTGATGTATATATACACACACCTTTACAACCTTTTGCACCTGTTTCATGAAAATAATTTTCAGATTAGAAGCTAGCACTCCAAGACCATGGAGTGCTAGGTAATCTTTCGACGAGTTAAGAGTACGAGAACAACGTAATTCAGACATATTCTTGCTTGATTAAGCGTCGGACGAAGCAACTCACCTCCTCAGGAGTAAACAGTCCAGTTGCGGTGAGAAAGTTGTTTGCAACAGATTTTAAAGCTTCCTCTGGCCACTCACTAAACCAGTCAATTGTACAACAATTGACAAGAGACGGAAACATCCTCAGCCTCGTACGGAAAGCATCACCAATTGGACTCATTGCCAAGACCACGTGAAGATTTTGTCGGACGCGCTTCAGGAAGGCAGTCTGGAGGTTCAGCTTTGTTACAGGAGTTCCAGCAGCAAGAAGAATAGGGCGCATTGCAGTTGCAATTATGTCCAAGTCTTCGTTTTTCCACAAATTGGGTACCTGCAAGAGTCCATGAGTTTATGGTGGCTGTAGTTTGTATCGGTTAGAATAGAGGAGAAAGAGAACTACGTATTGATGGTTTCTATCGGTTAGAATAGAGGAGAAAGAGAACTATGTCTTGATGGTTTCAAAATTGGTTACTCGATTCTGTATACAAAACTGAGATGGATGTCCACATTTGACTAAGGGTGAAAGACTAGCGACGACCCAAGCATCTCAAATTACTACATTTCCGCTCATTTCAGGGTATTAAAAGTGTTTGCCTCTCCAGAGTTCAGAATGTTGTTGATGTCCTCCAGAAAAGATTCCATGAGAATCTGAGTGTCAGAAAACAGGAACACTGTTTCTTTATCATCTAGGCCAGCCTTGTAGAGTACTTTCTTCAAATCTTCTTTCCACTCGTTATTGCCATATCCTTTGGCAATTTCCACCTGTGACAATGACAGTTTCAGGAAACTGTGACTCGCAAAATTGTAGGCGCATGGAAGAGTTTGAAAGGTTGTGCATATAAGCGGTGTCCAAATCTTGTAAAACGTGCTTAGTTTGCAGCCTTTGTAGGCTATACATAAAACAAACTGCGATGGGTGGTACAAATACCTGAATAATTTCATACTCTTCGATAAATGTCGCCAACTTAGACAGACTTTGTCTTCCACTGCCTCCGACTCCAAGCAGGAGAGCATTTCCAAGTGGAAGCCTAATAACCCTACAAACTCGTGACACATGTTCGATGGCATCCAGAAAGAGTACAAGATTCATAGGGGCATTGCTGTTGCTGTTGTATTGTTCAAGATACTCATACATGACTTTCTGAAGTTGTTCTAGTTCTGTGATCTGCAGTCGAGAGAAATAGGTGTGTGAGAATGAAATTGAACTCAATCTCTTCCGTCAAAAGCTGAGAAAAAATTCCTATCATATTTCTTTGAGCTTTACACAACTATCTCTTAATACAAATCTTTTAGCTTGATACATTGTGTTTTTATCACAGTCAGAGTACTTTCCGCATAATATTATAGTTGAACTCCTGCCTTCGACCATATTTGCCATCTACATGTGCTCGAAATCAATCCAGAATGACCCTGAAACTCAGCTTACTTCGAAACTACATGGGTGAAAGAAAAACAATTACCTCTTCATAAAGTCTGGGCTCAGCGCCAGGGATGAAAAAGTCTCCAAATATAACTCGATCTATCGAAAAAAGAGTATCCCATTTCATGTCAAAATATTTCTGCAACTGGGTTGCAAGAAGGTTTCTGAACCAGCTCCTGTCCTCGTTGTTGATGAGCCGATCCTGCCACATACAAAAGTCTTTGAATTTCCTCCCGAGTGCACACGATTATCTTGTATGCCCATCAGTATATATGATAGACTAAAACAAGGTATATTTTCGTATACGGGAGACATGTTAGCTTGAGACTTATCTAGGAACAAAGCCACCAACAACTTTCATGAATGCTATGTGTCTAGAAGAAGCCAACATCGTAGTTCCCGTGCTTGTCTTTTTCTCAATTCAGGAAGGTTCCAATTCTATGTTATAAAAATACTTTTTCTGAGATTGACTGCTAGTACATGTCACGGCAGGAAATCAGACGTCACATGGATACAAATCAGCTTATTCCAAACGCACCTGAAAAACCCTCATCGCTTCATGAACCCAAAGTTTTATAACTGGTTTAAGCTCTTTGGTAGTTTTTGGATCAGCCCGGAGCACTCCCTGTATAACCTTACTCAAGTCTCTCAAATTGAAGGTATAATGAGATTTTGCTGGTGTTGGTAATAACTCCCTTCTGATGGTGTTGTAGACGTCAATTGTTCCTATCACTATAGAATCTGCTGCTGCTTTCACGTCATCAGGGAACCCCAAAACAAAAGTTGCATTCAAAATTGTTGAGAAGATCAGTTTCAAACTATCATCTGGCATCTCAGTGAAAGACAGAAAATTGAAATGTCTCAAGAAACGCATGGTTACAGGGTTCCTGCCACCTCCAGGTGGTCCCATGCAACCAACAAACTGAATGTCCACAATCGTACGGAAGGCGCACGGTGGATGTCTGTCATACCATCCTTTGTGATCCATCCATTGGCGGAGGATCTCAATAGGAGGTTGAGCAAAATATTTTTCTCTCTGGGGCATATTTACATCATCAACAAATATGACATACTTCTTCATTGCTGGTGGACCATATACACCTTTCCTTCTCTTCTCTGTCTTTGAATCGATAAGATCTTGTGTTTGGTTAGCTCCGGTCCTTGCAGAGAAATTTATGAACATAGGAACATACACAGGGTCCATGTAGTTCAGCAGTTTATCCCTGACAACAAGGGTCTTGCCTGTTCCAGTTTCTCCAACACACAAGACGTGCTTCCCAATCACAAGCAAAGCATGTATCACAGACTTGTATCCTACAACACCTGCAGTGGGAACTATGAGCTCAGAAAAGGGGGTTTTGGGATCGCAGGTATATTTGGGAATGGTAGTCATCCACTCTACCCACTGCAGATTAACATGGTCATAAGAATACTGAAAGACATCCATTCCTTCGGGATATGGAATCTCAATCTTGTGCTCTTTCATTGACTCTCTTATATGCAAGTCAAATTTTGAACGCGACTCGTTATCGCAGCTGGCCCCGGCTGACCAGCAGGTTGCAAACATAAACAGTGGCTCAATGATCTGCAAAAGAATGTAGAGGGTCAGAATCCTGTGACCCAACCAGGTATATATCGATATATGAAATGAAAACCTAACTTGAGTCAAGCTAAGCTTGAAACTTTAATGAAACATATTTACTTTGAGCCTCGAGAAAACTGAACTTGCCTCAAGAACTAATAGCAGACACTTCAATTTCATGAATATTTCTCACCTTGGGTAAGCGTTGCTTTTCCTCGTCTGTCATCACTTCCAGTCCTCCGTCTTTACAGTAAGGAGCCATGAGAGCGTCCATGATATTGAACATGCTGAGAATCAAGTTATCATCCGACGTTGCAACTGTCTGCTTGAGTGATTTTCTTACAAGCCTAGTAGCTACAACCGATATATTCCTGAACCAAAAGGTAAATTTATCTGCAAACGCTGATACATGTTTTGGAATTCTCTGTAGCCACGAGGTAAGCAAGGGATCAAATCCTCGAGCAAATGGTTCCATGAATACCATTCCACATCTGCTCACTGTTGCAGGTGATGCAACTGCTAAGTCCTCTACTTCAAACATCATGGTCATTGTCTGCGACATTTGTATGATTTCACCACTAACCAGGCACAGCTTCTTGTTGTCATCAAGTACCGTGTTCTGTGCATATTCAGGGACCAGTTTCAAGTTAAAGTATCAAAAATCCCTGCGAACAAGAGATGGTACCGAATTCTCTAAATTACGCATTGTTGATCCTAGAACTAACTTAGACATACCAACGGAAGTTGAATAATTGTTGCCGATGAAAAAATGTGTTCAACATGTAAGCATAGAAAAAAGCTTCAATCACAGGTTATATCCAACTGTTTTGTAGTCTATCCAGTGTTTACAGCAGGTCTGCGTAGAATCATATGCCTGGCATATCTAAGATTTCTTAGGCTGGTTCGAAGTTGTCTATATGAAGTCAGAGGGTAACTACTTAGGCACACGTACCATGTTTTCTATCCAAATGGCATCAACAGGCCCGTCAAACATCAACCACTTCTTTGCTGGTGACGGGTCCTCTGCAAGCTCTCGCATATAGCAGGCCAAAACTCCATCCGTCCACTCATGAGTATTTTCATCGAAGTCCCCATATAGTTGACCCATCGTGATTGATTTAGGATTCAGACAAGCTATTCGCACCTGGTGAAAGTTTATGATGGCTTTGACCTTCAGTGAGAAGCTCCACTGCTGTATTGCACGTAACATGCTACAAAGCACTTATCTTTTGACCAAAAAAACGAATAGTTCTCTGGCTCACCTATGGCCACACGTAGAAAATTGAACCCACAAAATGACTGCTTCTGTACACTCTCTGCAGGTTTTGTTTCCACATAATGAGATCTTGGAGGGGAAATAAATAGACGACATAACCTTTTCATATACTGTAGAACCCTGAGTATTCAGAAGCGACATTGCTCCAGCAAGGGATCGGTAATTGGCTGTCTTTCCTCCTCCAGTAGGTCCCACAAGCATCAATCCATGTCTCACGATTGTCGTTTCGTAGAGCTGAATGACCTGTAAGCCAAAGGTTCACTGGTCAAAGGTTTACTGCATATCATCTGCAGCAGAGCAGTTTTGATGTTCCTTCAACCTAAGTTGCAGCTTTCGTCTCCTCCTTGGCACAAGTATTAGGAAAGTGCAGCTGTCATTAGTGCATTGAGATATACGAAAAAAGTTTGTTTCCTTCACAGCTCAAGCATGGATCATGATGAATCAAGACACGTAACGTTGGTACCTTTGTTGTGAAAGCTTCAACAGCTTGAATGTTCAGATCCTTGCCGACTGTTACTAGAGCACCAATTAGATCATCATAGGAAATAGCCGGCGGTTCCACCCCTGGAAAGAGATCGGTGATAATACCAGCAAACAACGGAAGATCTTGACTTAGAAACTTTGGAACGTTGATGTCTCGTAGACCACGCAACAGTAGTACGTCCTCATCTTCATCAGGATATGAACGCTTCAGATTACCAGCTGCGACGATAACACTCTTCACTGCCCTCATACCATAATCATAATGATCCTGCAGGTTACTTCTGTTCCTTAATGAAATGATATGTCTTAAGAAGTTAATAAGTTTCAATGATTTTAATACCCTCTTATAGTACTCCATTTGCTTAATTGTAAACACCTTCTACTGAAATTAGATCGGCATTTACGAAAAAATGTACCGACCTTTTTCGGAACCTCTAAAAATCATTTATTCCATTAGCTCCAGTATTATGATACCTCCAGACAATCAAAGATGGACCTCTGCTAATGAGGTCCTCACGGCATGTGAAGTCAAACGATCTGGAAGCAAGTGATAAATTTGAAACAATGCCTACAGAATCAAGTTACCGGAGAATATCTATGTACCTGAGATGAAAGTTGCTCTGAACACAGTTTAAAAGTGGCTACCATTTTCTGGGCAAGACCTTTAGCCTTGCGGAAGCCAAATGAGAAGAGACTAATTTCACCGATCAAGGCGTAGTCAGGAACCATCATAGCGCAAGGTCTGAATAAAGCCTTCAGGTTATCCGGAAGTTCCGACCGACCTGCATACCTGCGCCAATGACGGAAATTTGATGATAAGTGTTGCAACAAGTTTGAACGCACGATTCTGTAGAGCCGTTGAGAGGTATCCACTGCTCAGTCTCTGGAAACCTTCAATACATAACAATGGTTTTTCAGCAATAAGTAAACTGGGTTTAGGGTCAATACGATTGAACCAATATTTTGGAGAGAACACGAGTGGACTATACGCACCCAGGATTCATAGTAATGTAAACTGAGCATGAAGGATCAAGTGATATTTCAGTATCTTCAAAAATAAAACGCTTTACTTTCTGCTGAATAGCGAGTTGAATGGTAAGGATCTGTTGTGCAATCACAGACAGCACTTCCAGGTCAATACGATTGAACTCATCGAAGCATGCCCATGCTCCACTGCTGGCAAGGCCTTTGAAGAATTTGCCCATTGCTAAGTAGTCCAACCCGTCTGAACAGTTGAATACAACACACTGCTTGGCCAGAGCCTGCAAACATTCCGACCTCAAACCTTTCAGTTTGTCTTGAAAAAGTTCTGGGAGAGGTTAAAGATTTTTGCAGCATGCACTTTTATGTAGCGGGCATAGATTAACTTAGTGAAACGAATTAGGGCACCACACCTTAGCTAAATCTTTCGTTGTTTCTGTCTTCCCAGTTCCAGCAGGGCCTGCTGGTGCCCCACCTAAATTCAAATGAAGAGCCCCCATGAGAGTCATATAGCAACGATCTGTCAATGGAGTTATAACCAATCGGGGAGTGTTCCCTAGGTATTCATATCCATATACGATTGAAGCTTGCACCATTTTAACCCAGATGCCCTCATTCTCCCAGTAGTATCGCAGCTGGCTGACCCATTCAAAATCCGTGGGAGCTTTCACCTGCAAAAATGTACAAGACATTCGTGTGAGCTTCTGGGTGCCAGAAAACTCACGCGATATAGATACGAACGGAGGAAAATGCTTCATCTGTAAAAATCAGAGCTGGTTGATTTTGCTAATGTTATTATAGCACTGAGATTGCTGTACAGCACTGAGTTTGTAGAATTTCAAACTTATAGAAATAAATTAATTTCATCTACTCAACATACCTTCTCATTGATCAGCGCTTGAACAACATCGCGAGCGTGCACATCAATGACAATGAGGGCTCCTAGTGTCAACCTCGCAAGTTTACTTAGTGGTGCACGGACAAGATCTGTTAATCCTTCGAGTTGCACAACCTGGTGATGTGAGAAATCAAATTGGTATTTCATGAAATTAGCATTCTTTCCGCACAATCAACCTGTGCATTGTTAAAAAACTGAGCAATCGGGCTCAATCGCAAGAGAAAAGTTCAAAGGCTAGAATCTAAACATCCCATTCATCACAAAAATCTCTCTACATTAGAAAACTCGTTTCGGCAAGGTGACACTCTCCTTCTGGGACACCTTGGAACTGGTTCTGGAAGGGAAAATGAATGTATGTTGCACGTACCCTCAGCACAAGTCTAGGTTCTACATTATTGTAGATTAGAAGATGAAATACATAGATGACGTGGAATGAAACACAAGCTTTCTGACTTCATTGATCCAGGGCTCCTAGTATCAGCTTTCAATTTCATTGGATCTGAAAAGGGGGTTACCGAGCTCACTGGAGGAGAGAGACTTCCTTCATGCAGGTAATTAATAAGCTTTAGACTATTGTTTCCACCATCAAATTCTTAGCTCAAGTTTTCATCTGTCGGGGTTGCCTTCTTTTCGTTCTCTCTATTTATTTGGTTATTAAGGCCATTTAGTGAAAATGCACTAAATGGCTTGTAGCTCTGAAAGTATGATCTTCTTTGCTCTTCATCAAAGAACTTTACCACGATTTGAAATGTATGACTCTCGGTTTGCTAAAGCAAATATGTGCTGGAGTGCTGGAAGGATCCTCACTAAAGTTTTGCTTCGTGGTGAAATCAACCGAGGTGAACTTAAACGTACCGATATCCGTACTCTTCAAGCCAATTAGATGTAGAATTCAACCTCATGTATATATATACTGCAACAGTCCAGCATTACCTGGACAGTGTCAAAAAACTCCTGCAGGTTGGCTTGTCTAATAGCACCTTCCACACCCATAGTCCAATACACGGAACTGCCGGCTAATACAACTTGGCCAGGCCATTCCTGTACCCACTGGGTTCTTACGGTATTCCTATAAGCTGTAACAGCTAGTTTGATCTGCAAAAAAGGACCAGTTGAAATCTTCAAAATATCTTCACTGGATCAGTAGAAGAGATGCAATATTGGGATTACACCACAACAAAAGGAAGAAATATCACACATATATCTCATTTACAGACAGTATAGTGACAGCACAGGATCTCCGGCACCTCCAAAAGGAAGATATTTCGCAAGAAAAACTTAAGAATGAAGAAAATAAAGTTTTAAGCAAAGCATAAAGCAAGATCCAAGAATAATGAACAGCGTTGGAACATAATCAAAATTATGTGAGATAATGGGATGGAAAACAGATTGGCTTTTACGCTGGTCTGCATTTAAACACCAATATCTTTAAGATTAAGGTTTCTTCTAGACTGCATCTACTCAAGACGAACAAACCGCGTTAGACAGACGAACTAGCGAGAAGTACCTGTTGGTGAACACTTTCCTTCATCCTCTGTTCCACCTGACTGAGCCAATTTTCCACATTTCCAATGGGGCTCATGCTTGCTGAAAATGGAATCTACACATCAAATTTAAACTGTTGCTGAAAAGCAAATTGGATGTAACGAATGGTGTTCAAGGGACTGTGTGAACGAAGAGTCCTTTAACGCTGCAAAACACAAATACATGTTGTAGGATAGGCAATGTGAAGTGAAGTGATTTTAAAATCTCTAACGACATCATAGATTTGTCTGCCAAACCTAACGACCTCATAGATTTTAGAGATAGAGAGAGACCAAAGCAAAACATGCGTTCAGATCTCAAACCACAACTTGAGAAATGAACTCCCTTAGTAGCCTGTGAAAGGTCACAATTCGAGCACGTTTGGACATGAAAAGTGCTTATTCTAAGTGCATGAGCTACCATGCAATCCTCCGAGAATACAAGAACAGCTTGATCGAAGCCAGGATAAAATGTGATACGGGAACATGGAGGGCCATCAAGGTGTCGAAGTATATGGTTAAGACCCAGAAGCCGTTGTCCAAGGATTCTGTTTATATCAGAAGTAACCAGGGCATCACATAATTACCATCAATCTAGGTTAAGTACTTCCACCGCCAGTGTTCCATTTTTAATGACCGACGATGGTCAACAAGTTTGTTAATCATCTGCTGTTATTTTTTTTATGTCGAGGATTCAAACGTGAAGGTCGATCAGCTTCCTGGATGATCGTCAACTTTAAACTAGGCAACAGAAATACTGCATCCTACTTTGGTAAGACGATTATTAACCCCTCGATTTTAAGTTTGATATGGAATCTTCTTTGTCGATGATCCCAGGCCTTTCTGCCCCTTGGATTTTCACTTTACTTCAAAGGATGACTATTGTACGTTTCTAGTATGTAAGAACCAAGGCAACAATTTGTCTGTTACCTTCTCTCCTTCAGCCGAATTCATTGCAGTTATCTCTAGATCTTTCTTGAAATCCAACGAATCAATAGCTTCAAAACATTTATGCAGATGAGGTTGCACAGCAAGTGGATTCTTTGCTTGTGATAGAATCTGGAGCAGCTCATCATTTGAAAGGAAGAAGAAACGGCTGAATGCCAATCTCTTTGTCTCCAAATAGTCTGCGAGTCCTTTTTGTACAAGATCTAGAAGCTGTCATGCACGACAAGTCTGATGATCAGCTGATGTGAACATAAGTAGCATTGCAAGGGTAGTGTTTTAAGTGTGGGTTAGATATGCTTCATAGGCATACTGAATACGATGAAGACTAGCAAAAAACCAGTAGAAAATGATAATTGTAGCTTCATGAGATAAATCCAATGAGATAGTTGCACTTGACAAAGCTGCGAAGATACAGGTACACCAGAGAAGAGGCCAAGTAAGGCCAAGACGAGCATAATTTCTTAGTTTATTCGCTCTAGACAGAGTTTGAAGTGATACCCTATTCGACTCCCGAAACTGTTCTAATAGTTTTTTGCTGGAGCACATGGTTAAGATCTGAGGTGTCGTATGGGCCTGCGCTAAAGCTTTTCGCCATATGTTGTTCACAGTCTGAAATCTTTTGCTTTCAATCGGAAGTTGCGTCTGAATATCAGGGCTGCTGAAGATTGGTTCAAGGTACATCCACTGTCGTTGCACCATCAACCACTCTTCAACAACTTCCGATACAAGCTGAAGTAATTGCTCCCATTTGGCAATCTTGTCCTCGAACGGCTTCTTGAAGGGTGAGAAACTCATTGCTTGAGTAAGCACGATATGATCATCAAGCTGCTGCAAAGTAGCTTCTTCAATCTTCATAATGTATGTGCCAGTCTCTTTGTATTCCAAAATCTGATTTCAGGTTACACAAGATTCGTAAGTTTTAAAGGATCGCAATTCATAAGCATCAGCATGTAAGTTAACTCTGGTCAGAATGTTCAGCTCAAGCGTCTGTTCTCTACTGTTGCATCCACGCTTCCACTCTTTGTAAAGAATGCTGATGTAGGACTAGGTTCGATAATCTGCAGTCTCATTGTTACTCCAGAAAGAGTCTTTGAATAGAGATAATTCTCCTATGGATGCAGTAAAAGGGGTTACCCATTGACGAACGGTCAATATCAGGACTTCATCATTCAAAATTGAAACTCAGATTAACAGCACAACATCTTGCATCTACAGCGATCTCATAACCGTGTCGACGTTATGACAAATTCTCTTCAACTGGGACAACAGGGGACTCGAGTGAGATACCTGCAGATCAAGACTCTTCCAATCAGACTCCATCTTCGAAAGCTGATTTTCTATTCCAAATTCCTTGCTCGCAAGATCTGCAACCTCCTCCAAGATTGGAAGATGGTTGAGTAAACCCATTTGGATCCCTTGCTGAAGAGTGAATGCATCAGTTGGGTGGACGTCCAGATTGATCTGCTTGGAGATTTCATCCCAGTGCCGGTCGCGCATTCCCGGCTGCCTCAGCGCAGCTATCAGAGGAACATAAGGTTTGAACTCACCGACCTGCGACGATTGTAGAGTCAACTATCAGAACAATCGGGCTGAATGGCAGAGTATTTTCTGAGCAGCAACCACAAATCTGACACAAATCAATCCAAATTACACCGTGAAACCAATGCTCTTTATTCTTCTCCATTCAGTAGAAGCATTCCCAATAAAACTTCATGAGACCTGGTAAGACGAAGTGAAAGATAAGAATGTGTAGTGAAGTTCTAGTGCGGAGAGTCAGTAAGGCTGTGCGGAAGTCTGTTATGAATTCAAAATTGCTTCAAGAATAAGTACGACAGATACCTGTGCTCTGATGTCCTCGCAGTATGTCGCTTGAGTCATGAGGTCCCTCTTACTGAATTCTCTACCATACTTAAACAGACCTTTCCACCAGCCCATGACTAATTTCTCCACGTCATCTGGCACCAAATTATTCCAGGAATCCTCCATCCAGCCTTTGTAGCGTTTTTTCCACTCATCAGCGGCGACCCAAAGGTAGTTGAATGGTTCAAATGCTTCCTGAATTCTCTTCAACCGACTGTAATCTGTAGGAGGGACACCGAACAGAGCCTCTCTTGAGTTGAATAAGCGAGTCGCAGCCTCTGCTTTGCGCAATTTGTCAGCACATTCCCGTGCTTCGTAAGATACCAGCTCCACCTGCGATTTAGAACGGTCTCGCTTGTCAAAGACTGAGTAGACTTTCTGGTTCTAGAAGGCAGACAAGAAATGTATGAATGAGAAATATTGGTTTCTAGAAGATCTTGGGGTCAGAACCTGGCCCATGTCGGTGTAATTGTTGAACGTAGTTACAGTTGCGTCCACGCTTTCCAAAGTGTTCACAAATAAAGCCTGCTCCGCTTCCATCTCCTTCTGGTAACGTTCATTATCAACTGCCAGAGATTTCTCTATCTTCTCACAAAGTTTCTCAATTTTCGTTGGCCATGTCAGCAACGTCCACTTTTGACCGAAATCTCCGTCAGTGAGGGCATATTGCAGATCATCCATTGCAGTATAATACACCTGTAAATCGGCCATCATGTGTTAATGGATCAAGTAGAGTGAACTTAGACTAAACAACAAAGGGCAGCAATTTGACGGGTTCGAGGTATTTGCATCGTATGGCTTACAAACTCAACTTTGACATCACTCTACAAATTAGCAGGAAAAACGTGGTAGTTAGGGGTTAAGGTTTTGCTTTGACTGGAAATTCATGGTTGTCAAGAGACGGATATTCCTCTAGGATGACGGTGAACAGACGCAGAAGTGGTTGTTGCCCATGATTGCAACAAGTAAGATTGTGTCAGTGAGTCGGATCACGGGTCTCATCTAGGATGGCTACTCAGCGAGCTCCGTGCGCCCTTCTTGAGGGCACTTCGTGAGTTTCACGAGCACTGTGTGCCCTCGAGAATGACACATGTACGCTGCAATCTGACTGGGGTTTGGAAAGTTCCTGTTCACCCTCTGCTTCTGCAAGCTGTCATAGAACAAGTCCTAAAATACCTCTTGAATCAAAGAAAAGGCGCAGCTTTCAACTTCACTTGCCGGGTACATGGTCTGTGCAAGTTCCTCGCGAAGATCCAGTAATGCTCGTTGTGTAGTGACATGAAGAAATGATGTGACAAGTGGCTCACAAGCTGACAACTAAATCTCAAAGCTTTTCACCCAAAATGGTCTATTCCGACGTTCACTGCTGCAGTTCTGATGAAAGACACAACTCTGACCGCATGTAACAGTCTAACTTCCCTCACTAACCACCCCATTGGAATTATCAGCTCGAAATCGCACAGTGCAGCGGTGCACAGGGCAGACAACTAGTCCGGACTATACACATTGTAGACGTTCTTTCGACTGCAGCTACAACTGAATCTGAACAGACAGAAAGATTCTCTTTGGCTTGACTCTGGATTGCTTGTAAACGCCAATCTTAGAGGGCTGATCCGGCTTCTGAGATTGGACCTCTGGAAGCGAAGTAGCATGCCACGAAGTACAAGATTCAAGACACTCCCCAAGCATGCGGGGAGTCGTGCGGACCCACTGGAATGGCTGCACGCTTCCAGAGAAGCTGGACACTCGATCGTTTAAATGCTCGAGACGGCGAAGAGTTATGCGGTCCTCGAAGAAGAGCTGCAGAGATTGCAAAGGATAGGGGTTGCATTGGTACCTCCACTTGTCAATGCTGTAGACTCACCTGCTCTTCCTCGTAGCCCGATCGATCTTCAGGATAGCGAACTGAAAAAAAATGTCGACTCTCAGTGAGCTCGTTAATCTGAAGCTCGGAGATGTTACTGACAGCATTATCGCTGAGTACATCTGGATCGGGGGGTCCGGTACCGACATGCGGAGCAAGGCGCGGACTCTTCCAGGCCCTGTCAAGAGTCCCGAGGAGCTACCCAGATGGAACTATGATGGATCCAGCACAGGCCAAGCTCCAGGCAAGGACAGCGAAGTCATTCTCTACCCTCAGGCAATCTTCAAAGATCCATTTAGAAGGGGTGACAACATTTTGGTGATCTGCGACTGCTACACTCCACAAGGGCAGCCTATTCCAACCAACAAACGTGCTGCTGCGGCTAAAATCTTTTCGCAAGTCGAAGTGAGCAATGAAGAGCCATGGTATGGCCTCGAGCAGGAGTACACACTCCTGCAGAAGGAAGTCAAGTGGCCTCTGGGTTGGCCCATTGGCGGCTACCCTGGGCCTCAGGGACCATACTATTGCGGTATAGGAGTAGACAAGGCTTGGGGCCGTGACATTGTCGATGCTCATTACAAGGCCTGCCTGTATGCAGGAATTCAGATCGGTGGCATCAACGGGGAGGTCATGCCCGGGCAATGGGAGTTTCAAGTAGGGCCAGCTTTGGGAATTACTGCCGGAGATCAACTCTGGGCGGCTCGTTATATTCTTGAGAGGATTACAGAGATTGCTGGAGTAGTACTCTCTCTGGACCCAAAGCCTGTTGAAGGCGATTGGAATGGTGCAGGGTGTCACACCAACTTCAGCACCAAGAGCATGAGGAGGGAAGGAGGCTTCAGGGTGATCAAGGACGCGATTGAGAAGCTGGAAAAGCGACACAAGGCGCATATCGCTGCCTATGGCGAGGGCAATGAGAGACGATTGACCGGCAAACACGAGACGGCAAGCATGAACACCTTCTCCTGGGGAGTGGCGAACCGCGGTGCTTCCATCCGAGTCGGAAGGGACACCGAGGCGGAAGGAAAAGGCTACTTTGAAGATCGTCGTCCAGCCTCGAACATGGATCCATACATTGTTACCTCCATGATAGCGGAAACTACAATCCTCTTTCAGCAAAATCACCCTCGATGCCTCTCCTGCCAACATTAGACAATCGTGCTACGGCAGGGATTTGGGTCACATGTCTTGGCGGCTTTCTATACATAAACGGGGATCTGATCATCACCAACACAAGTTCGACCAAAAAAGAACAAGAGAAGATTTCATCAAGAGACACTGAACCAATCCCTCGGTGCGGCATCCTTCATGTTTGGAGTGCTTCTGGGTTGGAGTTAAGGCATGATCTGTACTGATAGATCTATCGAGTGTACCCAGAGAAAATAGCCTAAGGACACACTCGACGATACACAGTGACTCCAACTTCGCAACTGGTGTGGTTTGCACGATCTCTTCGTGCAAGTACTTCCTGGTCAAGAGTCCTGGTCTCTTCCGATCCAAGACCTCGAGGAGGGTTACAACTCTCTTCCAGGTGATCGTAGTGGGGCGCTCCACAGGTACGTGGCGTGGTCGCAGAATGCACAGAGTTAATATTGCGGGAAACGGTGGATCCGAGGAGGGAATGTCGACTTCAATGACCTTAGCAGCCACGAAGGAATCAGAATTAGGTGATTGTGTCAACTCACACAAGGAGATTTAGGGTATGCCCAACAATCACCTCAAGTCAGATGATACAGAGAACTTTTTAAAGACTTGTCCAAGGTTCCTTGCGTAAACAGAGCAGAGTGAATCATCTATGGTGTGGCTGAAGAACCCAGGGCAGAGATTGGAAGAGAAAAATGATAGAACAGGAAAAGTTGATAACAGCATTCTGCTAGATTTCACAGTCCATGTATCAAGCTACCTTATTGAGATAGAAAACTGGATCCGATAAATGTTTCTTCTTCTTTTTTTAACAAAGCTCTGAAACTTAAATAAAATGAAAGCTTGTCCTCACGAGTAAGGAGTGTTGCGGATTGCCATCTCAAATTACAGACCTTTCCATCTCTTTGCGTTGAAGTTGAGACTTAATGCAGAGGAACTTTGTCGTGATTCTTACATCGAAACTTAGGATACGATTGCGCCGAACAAAGCAAAGAAAGAAAGAGACTGACTTCGTGACATTCGGAATCACTCTCCAGTTGCGCCTGATGCACTCCCGCCTTCAGGTAACTAGCAAGTTACCTCACCACAGCTTTCTTACACTCGTCCTTACCGTATCACCCGGAGAACCAAAGCTTAAAACTCACATCAGATATCTGTGTGTAATGTTACTCACTTCGAGTTGATCGATCTCTTGCTTAAGCTCGATAACTTTTCCAGGCACAGTAAGGATGAAATCTTTCTGTGCAGCCACCTCCTCTGGATTATGTGTCTTGATTTTGAGCTGTTTTTCTATCTCTTCGAACCTCTTGTGTTTGTCCTCACCCAACTGCTTCGGTGTACTCGCTATCAGCTGCATTACTGCGGAATCAGATTGACACCGCTGTCAACCTCAAATTGCAGTAAGTTTCCTGGTTGAAAACATTATTTATTCTAGTCAGAGAGGATCTGATACGATGATGTTCTTATCAAAATTCAAGCGTTTGTGTACTTCAAAGGAGAGCTCTGAAGGCAACGTCGTACCGATATCACAAAGTTGCTGTTTCTTTTGAAGTAAAGATTGTCGAATTTTTTTGCACGTTATTTGAAATGTTCCAAAAGATATCGAGTTCGGAATCCTTCACATACATGTGAAACCGATCGTGTGCATTTTCTTCAGAAAAAGTTCAAGCGTTACCTCTTGGATCTTGTTAGGATCTAATTCAAGAATGGAGGAAGACAACAGAAACACGCACTGCCTGAGAATCGAAAATGTGAAGCGATTGAGTTCACGATTCAGTTGTTGCTTTATTTAACATGGCAATTGAGAACATGGAGCAAACCTTCTGTCCAAGTTATCTTGCTCTGCTTTGTGGGCGCGAACCTCTTCAAGCAAGTCTTTAAGTGAGAGCTTCTTTGCTATCAACTCTGCTTTGTATTTCGGGACGTCCATCTTAAGAAGCGGCTCAAACTCAACATACTTGTCCAAATACAGTCGAGCAACAGTCATTGCTTTCCTGATCGCTACCTACATCATCTTGTTTGCAGACGGTTCAGTGTCCAAAAATACACAAATACTGGATAAGACGACCACCATCATCAAGTCACTAACCTGTGCCCGTCTACACCACAATGGTCCAATCGAGTCTGTCATCCGTATGCGAATGAACCATATTAGTATAACCTGACAAAGTCTACTATCCCGCCTTAAAGCGATAGTACGTTTTACTGCATGAGAGTAGTCATCGCTCACCCATAACTTTGTCAAGCAGGGCATGAAAGATTTAAGACTCCTCGAATCTTTGAAGCAGAAGATCCAAGGACATATGGCCGCCGTACCTGAACCCGACTCTTGAGAGCAATAATCAAAGGCTCTTCTAGCATCGGAGTCGACAGATTGGGAACTTTGCTCCAAAACTGGTTCTCCATGATCGATGCTTCGATTTGTGGGATCGTCTGAAGACACTTGACGGCAAACTCAAGAGAACGTACGGTAACTTCTTCGAAATTTTTAAGCTGCGTGTTATACTCGAATATACCACCCTCAGCAGTAACAATTTCCAAAGCAAAAAGTGGAGGCTTTTTGACCATCTGGAATCAAATTTCAATGCAAAAGATTCAGCTCCTTCCCTCACTAGCTGTCAGTGGGGCTCCACAGGAAGACACTAGATACACGGAGAGATCTTATGGCAGATTCAGAAAGAAGGCATTGCGTTTCCGGGCTTCTTTGGAAGAAAGATTTAGACCGTGAAAGGTATTGATGGCTTTTAGAGAAGTCGCGATACATCAGAGAGTGGAGAACAAGGAGGGAATGAAATCAAGAACCTACAGCTGCAAAGTCCTGTTGAGGCCAAGTGCAGTTGGCTTCATCAGTATCGACTATTTCCACCATAGGACCTCCACATTGTTTCTCGATAAAAACTGTATACCTTTCAAGAGTTTCTTCCACCAGATACCGCAGAGCATCTTCCATGATGTAACGGACCATTGTGAGGTACCTCTTCATCTTGCTTGCCCGGTAAGCTTCCAAACTTGCCTCCTTGATGTTAAACCATCCCTTTCCAGCATCTTTGAAAGAGCTTCGAATAATGTTTCTCAACAGTGTTAACCAGCTGTCAGTTCACTATAGAAACGCTATTAGGCTTCAGCATCAGGTTGGCCTGATCGGGAGTTACGTTTGTTTAGAATCTCAAGGGACCATTCTGAAGAGAGTAGACGCTTCGCTGCACGCAAAATAATCCTAACATTGAAAAGATGTAATAGGTGCTCGTACGCATTTGCCATGCAAAACTATCTTCCCGGACCTAAAATAACACTTCATTGTGTCAGATGAGATACCTCTCTTTAAGATGTAGTAAAGCCTGCTCAGCTGTCTGTGTCTCCATGGACTCAAACTCATCCAAGCGCATACTTTTGATGTAGTGGGTACTCAACAATGTCATCTTGGGAATTTTGTTGCATTCAAAGCGCAGCTTAGCAGTTGCAATTATCACCTCAGGCCTTGTCAAACAAGACATAAAGTAGAATTCACTGGCCTGCTCCTCGTAGTCATACTCGGGAACTTCGACGGTTCCAGACCTGAGGATGAGAAGATACCAGCGGTCAGTCGTTTACCGAGGTCCTGAAGGCAATGAAATCAGCTTCATAGAATGATGAACTTCCTTTTTTCTGTCACCGTGAGGATCAATGGCCGTTTAAGTGATGGAAAGGGCTTGAGGCTTGGAGATACCGTGGTACAGGTTTTTTTGGTTCATCAGGTGGAAACTCAACATCCATCTCCACGATAAATTCATTTGAGGGAGTGGGCTTATACTTCAAACTGTCATCAAAAGTGAGTTTGTTCATCACGTTTCCATAGTCCGTATTCGCTTCTGTGAGAAGCCCTGACACGTCCATTAACTTCTCTTTCATGAACTTCGTATTGTATGTATGGGCCTTCACCCGTTCCAGCTGTTCTGGTGTCATATAAGTTCTGTCTTCTATGGGCATGGCTTTGATGTAGCAATTATACTTCTGCAATTGAGAGACATGAACACTTTGGGAATGAGCTTGACAATCTGTTTTACGTTTCTGATCGAAAATAAAACAGAAGAGCTTTGACATATCTAACTTTAACGTTGGATTACTGTGGATTGAGATTACACATCGATAAACGAATGCAGACTTGCTTGCCCCGACCACTCATTTGGTTTTTATGCTCATCTACCATTTCAGTCTCCACAGTTGATTACAACGATTCAGTGATCAAGTATTCAAACCAACCAAAAAAACTCCGGACATCTTTATGTTAGCAAGCATGGCGTAACTTCATTCGGGGCTGGTTTCAGAGACTACAATTTGTTTTTCTGATTTGTGAAGGTTTCACACAGAAGAGTAGGGACTTGAAAATCATAGGGTGCGGAGTGAACGTTGACCCAACTTCATCTAGAGTCGAAATGGAACTTCCTTCTCGATTCAGCCGCTCAGCTAAAGTTTAATGTGTTTGGCTAAGATATTTTAATTAGTCCAGAATAAAACCAAGAGTTTGAGTTCAAACGACAATTGGATTTCTTAAATATCTGTCAAAATTTCTGATACGTAGTAGATGGTAGAAAATCTGTCAGTTAAGAAAGAACGCATTGGGCGGTATAGAAGACAACCAGCTCGACTTCCGCCTTCGCTCTGGCGTCGTGTGCGGCTTTCACCCTCTTCACAAACAAAAATGGATCCTCCGCTTGAAAGTGAACCTGGATCCTGTGTACATCAACGTCCGGATACAGAGAGATAAATTTTTCGGAAAGGCATGTACAAGTCCAAGTCAAGGCATGTCTTTCCTTTCGAGGCCATGGACATGCTCAGCTTTTGGAACTTCCTCAGAGTTCTCTCTGTCTGAAGCTATCACAAAAATTATGAAGTAGTTATTACCGCGTGCGTTCTTCAATCCACAAAAAATAGGCACATCTTCGCAGTTACGACCTTTCCGTCACTAATTACAAATTACAGTCTGAGCTTTATAAACAGTCAACCTTGGAAGCCAAGATGTGTGTCCGGTCTCATCCCACTGCACCAGGTAAGTGTTACTTTCTTCTAGAAAATCTGTTACGATACAGCTCTTCCAAACTGATTTTCCCTCAAAATTTGTAAGCCCTGCTACAGCGGGAACTTTCGTCACCTTATCAACCCTGACATTTAACAGTGTGCATCAAACATAAGTACCAAAGTCGAAGTCAATGATTTACCGAGTACCGACTTGAAGATTCTTTAGTAGCAATTACTGAGACAAAGAAGTAATCAGCTCTTGCACATATAGAGTGGTGTACATGTCAACCCAGCACGGTTTGATCTACGTCTCTGAACTGCGTAATTGGTTCCAAGTAGGCTAAAACTTGCAGAAAATTGACAAAAATAGAAGGTCTGATTAATTCGTCATTTATGACTACAATTTTCTCACACCCATTATAGTGATGCATGCGAAGACTGTATTTACACCAACAAATGATTTCCTACCACTGTTGAGGGAAACGAGTTTCAAAAGTCGTATTGTCGAAGACGTGAAGAGGCAGCTTTTTATTGTCAAAATCCAATTCATCAGGCTTCAATCCTTCCTTGGCCAAAAGATCCTCAATATTCACAGTTGCAAAAAGCCTCTTCTTTCTGAAGCCAAGCACTAACAGCTGAGTTACTTGCCATGTTATTAAAACAAGGTCGATTTCAAAGTCCTTCTAGATATCGCTGATTATCATGTCTTTTCTGAGGAAAATTGGATCTTGTACGTATCTCTGGCCTGGTGCACGATGAGTAGTGTCAAAGGTTCTAGGGAGGCCAGAGAAGATCACAGTTGTTGCATTTCTGCGAGTATGCGAAAGAAACCAAATCACAAAAGAGTCCACAAACCTTTCAATCTGGACTTTCCGTGGAACCTCCCCAACTTTCGTAATATAAGGCACCATAACCTTTGGGTTCAAAACGGAAACTGTATCATCCAACATCGCCTGCACAATATGCAGGATGTCACACGTGATGGGATGAGATTGGGATCTCCACTGCTAGAACTCTCGATGAGGATACTGCTATCCTTGACAGAACGCTGTGAAAGAAAAAATACATTACACAAAAACGTAGACGTTCTTAAGATAATAATAACACTGGCAATGTTTTGATGAGGCTACGATGACCAGAGACCAGTTGTTCAGCGAATTTGTTTATGCTTTCTTCCCGTTGGTCGGTCGGTAGCATGTGACTCCTGACCAGAACTCTTAGTCTTGAATCAGATTTTTTCTTTACGGCTTTAGAAGATGAATAAGATTGAATATTTTTAGTTCTTGCATTCAAGCAGAAAACAAGATAGAGAAAATTACAAATACCTCGAGCGAAGTCCTCTTAACACCCGTCACTTTTTGGCCATCCGATGTGGAAGCAGAATTGTCAACATCCATAGCTCTATCCATACTCATTCGCGATTTAGCTGGCACATCAAACACAAGTGTATGTTTTTGAGTATGTCCAGAAAGGAGGCTGATGGACGAGGGCTGCAGCTGTTTCAAAGCGACGATGCTTTGAACATTTCTTGACCGTCGACAAAATTTAGCTTTTTTTTATATATAAAATTCGATTTTGTAATTTTGAAACAACGAACTCTGAACTATCTCAAGCATCAGCTACCACCAAGTGTTATTATTCTTGCCATGTTTCAAAAGAAATCCGACTTGCTCTCCAGCGCCAAAAGTTTGTCCATCTGGTCTATACGTGATACTTACCCCGAGGCTTGGGCTGAGTAGGCCGCACTGGTGTCGCCATTGTTTACAGTTTTTTTTTGTCACAACTTTGTGTGGCTGGGCACTATAAGACGATCGATGTTTAGATGCCAAACCAGCTTTACGCCGGCGGAGTGCTGCTGGTGGATGTAGACCAGCATCTGACGATGAAGGGAATTTCGGGAACTCGCTGGTTTTTCGCCAGTTCAGAGAAGCCAAAAGCTAAATCTGATATTCCTGGTTGTGTTGTGGGTCTGAGAAAATCTGATAGCTGAAGCATTTCGATGTCAAGAGCTTCTCGTATCATTGATATTTACTCTTGTTGTAAATGTTGCCACTCGTTGTTGAGGACATGTGCTCGTTACAACTTCTGGATCCAGGCCTATGATGTCTACAACCTACAACCTACAACCTAGCCGCCAACAACGAACTTAAGCTCACAGTATGAGTTAACTGGACTGACTGTTCCTGCTTCATATCGACCTCCATTTAGAACGTAAATTAGGTTGTTCCACAGTTCCACAGTTCGAAAACAGGATTGACTGTTCACGGAGATCCACACTTAAATCCATGACCATGCCTCCAGCTAGATCTTCCACATTACAGGCCCGAGGCTGGGCAAATAGTTTGATCGGGGCTTTCCATAGGATACTCAATCATAGATCACTGACAGGAGAGCTTTCAGAGTCTGCACTGAACCATCCTAGCTGGCACGGGAAAATGCGGGTGTCTGTCCGAAATTTTGAGGTGACATTGAAAGCTTGAAAACTGGGGTTGGGCATCAGAACGTAAAGAGGTCTGGGCTCTCCGAAAAGAAATTCTTCTCAGATGCAACCTTGCGCTGACCTGACACCATGCAGTCACAGAAATTAGGTCTAAACTCCTCCAGAGGGAAAGGGACTATTTTCCCGGTCGAAGGAGCATACGCATGAATTGCCCCATCATCCTTTTCAATAAGCTGAAAAGGAAAGCACTAGTACCCCAAGATCGGTGCGGAGCAAAAGTCTGCGTGGTCCTGCATATCCAACCGAACAAACACTCGACCACCCCAGGTCTTCAGCAGCTTTGCAGCTGCTGAACTAAATGTTATTCCCACACTTACACAGACAAGAAGCCATGAGACAGATATATGGACGCGGAAAAAAATAGGCTGCTCAAGAAAGTGAATTGAGGAGGACACCCATTCGCAATCGAGCGAAGCAACGGAACCTGACCACTCAAATAGCACTCAACACCTCGAGCGACAAATTTACCCCGAGAACATGAAAAAACTTAAACTTCATTGATTTCTTCAACCTCTGCTTTCAAACGAAGAGAGTGACGATGTGCCGCAATTGCTGACAAAGAAAACGTGGTGGCATCCACAAAAGCTCAAGAAACAAATCGATTCCAAATTTGCCTGCTGTCAAAAAATAAGCAGGGCAAACGACCGATCGCAACCAAGATGCCCAACTACAGCAACAAAAGAACCATCGGAGCGAGCCGCACGAATTCCCCGACGGGAGCCGAGGCTATGCGGGGCCGCATGAGCATCGAGCACATTCTCGGAAGGAGGGCCCGAGAAACGGAGGGGGGAATCGTAGTCCTCCTTCGCGTGAAACCAGCGGTTACGAGGTTTGGCGGGCCATACGAGCTACCACGTCGGCCATCATGTCGGCTACCTGGTCGTCTTGCTACCATGCTGTACACCTGGCGCCCCGGCTCACGACGCGGTCTTCTGTCCGCATCCACCTGGGCTGTAACTCCATCCATCCATCCACGAGCTGTCTACGGCCGAGAGCGAAAACAGTAGAATCATAGAAATGCGGATCTGATTTGAGGTTCTTAAGATCTCCCCGATGTGTCTATGAAAAACATCACGAATATATCTAAATTTTTCTTCTTCTTTAATCCAAATTAAAATGTTTGAATTGCAGTCATTGGTTGCTCTTAGACACTATGGAATGCCGCGTGTAGATCTTTGTTCACATGTTTTTTTCGTATGTGAGTGCGAGTTATACTGGATTCAACTTCTTCTATGAAGAAATTTTTTCATATCATTTCAACTATTACTTTATGAGTCAGTGATATCTGTAAGAAATAAATTATCAACAAGAAAATAAGTAAATTTCTTCAATGGCCAACACTAAGCTCTGATGTCTTAGAATGAGGATCTTTCCCTACAAGGAAATTCAATGCACTCTACTCACGCATTGACTAATGAATGCCAACAATCCACTTGTAGTCAACTCGTGCCATCATCTTTACTAATTGGGCTCTCATAACAATAACATATATGTAAATTGATTCATAAAAATCCATAGAATAGATTTGTAAACAATTTTCCTTGATATAATATATCCACCACGAATCAATAGGAGATTAGGTTAATAAATCACGCTAAAAACTTTCTAAGCCAAACGATTTTATAATTCATGTTATCCATATATATTCCGACAACTTTTGAATATATATATATATATATATATATATGTATGTGCGCATACACGAAAGATGACTAAAGATGACTCAATCTAGAGTTATTGATATAGTGACATTATTATGTTTTAGATAACTTATAGCTCATCGTAATTTTTAGATATCTGCTTGATACTATTTCTACTGGTTAAATAATGAAAATTTTAAGAGAAAACATCTTGAAATGTTCGAGATATAAAATGCTCTCATCATATAGAAAAGTGAAGAGAGTCAATATCAACGTTATTATTTTGATGTTTATTTTTCAATACTAGATGTTATCACAGTCGTTTTTTAACATGATAACTGTGGCATTAAAAGAGTGTAATATCTGTGGATGGTTTTGCTATGTTAATTTGATTTGATTTCACCATAGATTTCAACTCATTTAAAAATTAATGAGGCAAGAAATAAATATATTTCTGAATTATGGCAAGGATAAATATAGTAAAGTATCTCTAATAAACTTTATGCTTTAAACTACATTTAAACTTAACATGTTTTGAATCTTGATATTTAATTAATAAATTTGGCAATAAATATTAAATACATATTGTCGTAGAATGATAATACAAACTTCATATGTTTTCATTGCAGGTAAAATAATATTTTCATAGACATTTATTTTTAATTTTAGATTAATTAATGCATTTATATAAATATTATTGAGTTTGAAATTGTTTTAAAAACTTTGATTGAAAAAATTGAAATTTTAGTGATTGTGAAAAAACTAAAAAAAAGTATTATTTTGTGAGATGAAAAATAAATTAAACGAGTGAATTGGCACTTTCTTGTGATGATTAAAAAAAATAAAAAAATTATCTACTACAAACTTCAATAACAGCAAAATCTTGTATTTGAAGATGTTGAATTTCAATTTATTCAAATGAATGTACATACGGGGGACTAGTTATAATTCTCCTTACTATACTATAAAAAACAGAGCTTTGTGATTGGTCAGAGTCATCTTTGTGTTTAGTAGAGATGTGTGATATAGTTTTTGAGTACACAGTGAAAGGGTATAAGTAGTGCACATTAGCCTCGGGTGTGGTATAATAGGCCATTCCCTAAAATATGTGCACATGCACAAAGTTACAATATTCCATTTATTAATACAAGATTAATTTAGTTATTAATAATTATGTTTTCACATGTTGTAACAATAAATTATGCTAAAGATTTAATACTGAATTTTTGTATTTAAACATGAAAAAAATTGAATGAAGTATCAAGATATATAATTTACCTAGAGAAGATTTTGAGCTTGTGATATGTGTTAGTGTTAATCCACCATCTGGGGTTAAGGTTTCTAATCTAGGGTTAGGGTTTTTGAAGTTCGAGGAAACGCTGAGGTGTCGCAACAAGTCTCCTCGTCGCTTGACCATTTTTCTGAGCAAATGAACCTATTGGCGACGACTCGGATTCTCGCAAAAAAGTCGAAGTGAAATCGACTTATTTAATTATTTTTGAGCTGTTCCAAAAAGTCACGCAAATCGGCGGGGAATGGGCTCAGAATGTGTCAGGAAGGTTCCACATCATGCAGCTTCTTTGAACTGCGCACGGACTTGAGAGTATTGCATTTTTTAAGATTTGCAAAGCAGATAGTCATCGTCGAGCACCGACCCCTCAAATCGCCTTCTTTCGAAGAAATTTAGCTAAACAATATATCTCGAGTATATACATCATATTTTATTTGTACTCCTTCTATAAATATCCCTTCAGCTTTCCTTGTCTTAGTAAATGAAAACTCGTCAATCAAACGAGTGAGGAGTCAGGCAGTTGGCAGGCAGGGTGAGTAGCGCCAATGAGTAAGAAGGATAAGGAGGATTGTATTATTGAGCTGAAGAAGCAAATTCAGGCATGGGGGTTTGACAATAATGATTTGATCGCATCTATTGAGAGGTCGAAGAAGAACATCCATGCAGCGATGAACGCCATACTGGATTATCTGTCTGTGTGGCATGAGTGTCTGATTATCTCCCGATGGCGCGATCAGCTCATGAGCAGTGGCATGAGCCCGCATAATGTGTCCGGTTCATCGTCAGGATCTGGTGCATTAATGTCATTGACAGCTTCTACACGAGTGTCGGAGCTGAGCTCTGTCGTCGAAGTACTGATGAAGAAGTGAAAGTATGGAGGAATCAGTGGATCTTATCAATGTGTATCGCAACGCAATACCAAGAAAAACTCCAATACTCAAGACAACGCAATGAAGAGGGCGATTTTGATTATGGGACAAGAGGCTTTCGCCAAGCTGAGATCAAAATGGGACACAATGAATACCAAATACGGAGGCGAGGAATGGCAGCAAGAAGAAGGAATTGTATTGGATCTTATGCATCATGATCTATCTGATAACGTCATTCGGACAATTATCCATGTTGGTGGCAGCCGAATAACTCGTTTGAGGAAGGTCGTGAGGGAGGGGATCGACACGCTGCACACTCGTCGGCCGCCGCGGATCCCAACGCACGCTCTCACTGCGTATGATCTAGCTGCATTCGTTAGCGTGTGCAACAACTGGAACCTCGAGGACGGATTTCCATGTGCACATCGACGACCGCGCCATTATTTTGTTGAAGAGGGCTTAACTTGGACAAAGTCGTGGAAGGAATATTCTGATAAGATGATGAAAATGAATCGTCGTGTGATGAGTTACAGCCGATAGACTCAATACGTTAAGCTGGAGTATTCATGTGTTCGATTAACAAGGACGGCAGAAGACGTTTGTGATGCGTGTGTTCGCATTGATGTTCAGCTTGACAGAGATGATCTCCCGAGTGAAGAACGCGAGCATTTGCTTTTGAAAAAGATGATGCATCTGTCGGCAGCGATTGATCAGCGACGAGCGATGTCGACGCCAAAGCAGGCCATTCCGATGACGATCATCAGTTATACTTTCGAAGAACCTCAAGCTGATAATAGAGCTATCGAACATGAAGGCGTGCCGGTGATACAGATTCAAATTGAGGATTTTGATGGCAGCTTTGTGTTACTTCACTATGAGCACCAACGTCCCTTTGCTGATTATTTAATTCCAATTTCATGATGCAGAACTTCATCATTGCCGACATCACGAATGGCGCCAACAACGTTCTGGTCTATGATGAGCGCGACCAAGGCAAAGGCGCAGACGCGCTATGTAGACTTTGTCCTTTGTATCATCGGCAACGTGGCAGCATTCCGCCGAAGATATTGTTAATGATTCTCGATAACTGTGTGGGTCAAAACAAATCTAAGCTTGTGTTCATGTTCTATGCCCTCCTTTAATTGCTTTTCTATGATAAGATCGTCATTCACTATCTCATTCCAGGCCACTCGCACAACGTGGCTGATCGTGTCATTGCTTGATGTCGAAACAAGATGTGCGGCGTCAATCTATACAGCCCCGGTGCGATTGTATCTTTGTTGAATGACATCAAATCTGTCTCTGCCAAATTTCTAGATCATCGTTTTGCGACCCGACCTGTCTTCAGCGAATGGAGCCCTTTACTCATCAAGTACTTGAAGCCGATGCCGACAAACTACACGAGCCATTACTACTTTGAAATCGAGAAGAGCGTCGTGGAACGCATCAACGTCGTCGTCGTCATCAACGCATTTCCACGACGACCTCGCAACGACACTTGATGATGAGTCGATGCACTTTCCAATGATTCTGCCCACCAATATCGATGTTGTTCGTCGTGCGATTTTGTATGACCTGCTCGGGCCCGGCGTCAAATCCATTGATGATATTGAATCCATTGATTATCTCTAGCTGCTTCGACTTGAGATCAAGACGCTGACGGAGAAGAAACTGGTATCCTTGTCTCAAAAGTACTTCTCAATTCCGCCTGAGTTTCTCTCGTACTATCCTGCTATCCCTGCTGAGGTGGCCGCCGCAACGGATACTGCGGGTGGCGAAAGCGGTGATCTACCAGCTGCGCCTGTAACGCGATCAAAGAAGGCGAAAATGAAGGCGTTCGGGGTGGAGAAGCCAAAGATCCGTCTTGGGCACCCGCCCAAGACTCCCGCCATCCGTATTAGCCAGACTACTCTACTGTCATACTTCGACAAATAATAAAATTGAGTTTGATGTCGCAATATCATAAGGGCACCAATACAGTGCATTGAGCCAGGTTTGAGGTTAATCGGACCATTATTGGCGGTGTTATTGAGCTTTTGCGAGACCCGGGTGTTTTTGGCGACCCGGGTCTTCGCCAATAGGCATTTAATGCCCCGTGGTTTGCAGACTTGGTTTCACTATGCATCTGTTGCGATAACAAGAATATGCATATCTGTATATAAATGTCAAAAGCTCAAGTATTCGAAAAAAATTTGCAATCATAGCACAATTTTCAAAAATAAACAAAAGTTCAGTTCTCTCAATTTTCCAATCTTCGTATACTAGAAGTCTACCCCTTGCAAAATGTATATGTTCAGGCGGAGAAAAAAAAAATGTCCCTTCACACAAAAGAGAAGTAGCTTTTATTTGCTTCCAAGCATGTTATTTGATAATAAGATGCCTTCTATGTACAATGTGTTTTGGATGTTGAGTGGATCTGTGACACTTGATCCAAGTAATGATATTATCACAACGGTTGATGAGAATAGAATCTTCGACTTTTATATTGTAATATGAATATTCCTAAGACTGTCTAAGTTAATCGATGTGTATATAAAGATATACGTATATGTGTATGTATTATATTATAAAAAATACTCTTGCCGTTTACCTAAAAATCAAATAACAAGTTTGATCCTGATCCTAAAAAATCCTCTGACTTTACGAGAAGAGAAGCAATGATACCATTAATCAAACTACAGAAGTAAAAGACGGATAGATCCGCTGTGCTGCGGATTTACATTATATGTAAATATAAATATATATGTATAAATATATATAATATCTATATAAGTAAAAAAAATGCTGAAAGTTTCATTGGAATTAGCATACTTGTATATTGGTAAATTCACCGTATTGAAGGTTTCTTAATCAAGTGCACTTGCCAAGTGTTTTGGATATATGCACAGAAAGGGCTCACTAAGACATTGACTCTGATTTATATCAGTAGTTTAAAAATTGTCAATTATACATTCCATAAATGCAAAAGTGACCTACAGATGATTACTAAATTGCTCAATATTTTTATGACATGTGAAAGTACACAAAACTGCTGAAATATCACGAGAAGTTTAATAATTTATTGCCGTTGGCAAGCGCTACGTCCAAATGTCTCAAAACTTACTTCCTCAAGTTCTCGCAACAACTTTTACTCCTTGACATCCCAAAGAATTAGATATGAAAAGACCATACTAGTGGGTTTCGAAAGCGTCCCGGAAGTAAGTGAACACTCCCAAACGACATGTATGAATCTTATTCACTGTCTTCAATTTTAGAGTAAACTACATGTTTTGAGGTAGCATGTGGTATTTTCAAGTTCATGCTGCTACTTGCAGCTCACTGATGCACGTCAATTACGTTCCCAGTGAAACTCACGCTTTCCAAAATTGTATATTATCACTCTGGCGTCGACAGACTGACCAAGAAAATGATTTTTTCGTATATCGATTCAGAAGAGATGGTAATCATTGCGAGAGACAGACAAACATGCACGATGTCACAACCCGGTGTCTGAGGCTCTTGAGGATGTTAGGGTGCAGACATCAGGGGAACTCACAACAGCAAGCATGGTCGGAAATACGGAGTTGTGGGTGGGAATACAGTATCAAAGACTCGTGAATGAGAAAACGCATTGTCCATCCAGAAACAAGATTTGGTCAAGGTGATGCGGCTCAGTTTTGAAGGTTCGACTTCGATCATACATTGCGCAAGTCAACGCTGCATTTGGTACAAAAGAAGGACAAATGACACTCCCGAAAAAAGTGTTGACAACATTTTGAACCCCGCTCCAAGTATATGCCTCGTGTTACATCTCAATTTCTTGAGTCATCATGATAATGTACATATCGTCTACAACTAGAACTTTAGAGAGGTTAGTAAAAATTGCTCGAGGTATATTAAAATTACACTGCTATTATATTCAACCGACACTGTGTATCAGTTTCTCCAAGAGAACATCTGCGTGATGTTGAAGAGATAGAAACGACCTTACACGACAATGATGTCTCCTCCACGGAATCAGTGACGGCACCAAAACCTCCACGACTGCGAATACTGCTGAATCATGTTACATCGCCAGTAATGGCACTTTTGTCAACAAGCCGGCAATATTCCTGCTTTTAGAAAGCGTGAGGATGAAGGTCATCACGCGTTGACTGTAGTGAAGCAGGTAAACGAGAGGTAGGATACGAACGTGTAGGATACGAACGTGTAGGACGTATGCATCAACAATGAAGTCAATCCCTTGATTGGCGCGCAGAGTCCTGATTACACATTGATAACAAGTAAAAATCCGAAAATTGGAAGTAAGATTACGACTGAAAGAATGTAGAAGATAGCGCAATCTTACTCTCAAAACCGAAACGTCGCATAAATTATAAAAACAGCACACAAGCTTGCAGAACTTCGATGTGTTAACTCCACCGTCAATGAAACGCCTCGCATAAGAAAATGTGCATACAAGCGAGTACATACCCAATCAACTTCGTCTTGCGCCAACTCATCATGATCCTGCAGTGCATACGATACGTCCAGCTATGAGAAAGGGGAAGTGCACAAATCGTATCCACCTCACCGAAGTCTACCATCTTCATTTTAGAAATTCATATCACAAAGACGGCTGGAAAACGATACGGGAACATAAGAAAAACTAGATGCAAATCGTGTACCTGCTAAACGACGTCACTCTGAATTTGATAACCCATCCTCTGACTCGGTACATAAATTTATGAAATATCCATGAACGATACTCTACTGGGTGCGAACATGGGGGCATACTCTGAAAGCAACAACACGAGAGTAGAAGCGTACACATATCCCAACACTCACAAATTCAGGCCACAAGTGACCACATCAATCAATGCAAAGTTCAGATGCAACCAAAAAGAAAGACATTACTTGTATGGCATTAGCTGTGTACGAATCAACAGACGTAAATCGTGGATAGAAGAAAAAACAAACGATTGGGACTGATGTATTTGAAACTCTTGCTCTCAAGACAACTTGATATACAAGACAACACAGGAAACGGTGATAGTCAGTGAATGAAAGTAAAAAGTATGAACATTCCATGAGAGGCACTAGAAACGGTCAAGAAAGCTCCATAACATGCAACACAGAAGGTTCAGCTTTGGGAGAAACCATGGCAACAAACAGCTTCAACGGAGGCGAAACTTAGGTACCAAGCACTGCCAACACAAAGACTTGATCCAGGAACTAAAGACGAAAGTTGACAACACTTTCCAGATTTCAACTAAGCTCTCGCCTCCTTATAAATGCCAGCATACAACGAATCTAGGCATGAAGCACCCGGGACCGAGCCTCGTGATAATACCTCTAACTGGGAAGTGTCGAAGTGTAACATTTCTCTAAGAAGCGAAGAGCTGTCTAGGGAAACAAAGCTGGCAACATCTATAATGAAGACCTTGTGATTGTTGAGCCAATAGTACAATTGAAAGAATCTTCTAGAAGTATTTCCTATTCCTAAATCTGATCTTATCTACACGTGCATGATGCAGATAGGGGATCCAAGACATGATTGCTCACAAAACCATGGAACTAACACTCAGAGATGCACAATGTGTGATCCAAGTGTTAGCACAGTGGTCACGGGAATCCTAAGCATGAAAGCCAGCTTAGTATGCTCTAAATTGAGAGCAGCTGCTTCGCACCTTCAAATCTCCATGTTGTTGAAGCATGTGTGCATCTCAGCAGGTGCCATGTCCTGCTTCGTACAGCTCTAAGTGACCATTATCTCTAGCTGTGGGATGGATCTTTGAAATGACGCTGACTTGTACCTTGGCTTCCTTTCCACTGCATGCATTCTACAAGAAGCTGGAATACTAAAACTTTCAATGGGTATCGTCCCCGAAGTGCAGAAAAACTGCCCGTGAGACATCAACCCTCTTAGTAAGGTTTTCCCTGCTTGGTATCTCTTTTCAACTGAACTTTCAGCCTCTTCCCGCTGAGCTGAAATCCATTCATAACGTTTATGGCTGCCTGAGCTGCTTCAGGAGAATCGTAGCTCACAAAGCCTGGAATGACATCATAAATTTACTCAGACTCGATTCGAAAACTCTTTTTAACTGTAGATAAAGATAAACTCTTCATACAAGCATTACATCTGTCAACTCCTGGCATGCAAGGACATATGAGTACGTACCAAAGCACTTGCTAGCCCCGGTGGCTCTGTCCACGAAAACTTTTGCGCTTATCACATTGCCAAAGGACGAGAACGTTGTTGACAGCTCTTGGTCACCAAACTCCAAAGGTATGTGATAGATGAAAAGGTTGGCACCTGGTGGTCCTGAAGAAAAATTAAAACATTTTAAATACTTCTATTATCAGAATTTTCAGCCCATTTCATGTCAAGGATCAGAAAGAACGAAGACTTATGGTAAATGGTAAATAGATCAAGCCCGTGGGGTCCAAAGGGTCAAAGGGCTAAAAAACACAAAACAAACAATCAAACTCCAAACCAGGAGAGAACCAAAAGAACCCCCTAGCTAGTGCCAAGAGCACTAGAACGAAAACTAATAACATCTCTCATAAAACAACCTAAATCATTAGGCTCAAGCTGCAGTAGAGAATAAAAATTCTCAACAACCTTATGAGCCACTCTAATCCCTATATATCTAATACAAGTAACAAATACATATTCTTCATACTGAAATTTTCTCCAATGACATAGCCTACAAATACGTTCCACTCCTATCAATGTTCAACCAACGCCCTTCCTCAATCCCAAGACTATGAGATCCTGTTCTATGCCGAGCAATAATAAGACGTAAAGATGTAGAGATCAAGTAAGCGGACGATTTTCAACCAAAGCATTAGCACACCCCAGGATCTTTACCTTCCGTCTGTGGGGCGATTCCGGCATTAACAGTTGTTGGTCCTGAGGCAGCTGGACTCATTCCTAAAATAGGCATCCCATTCGTTCCCACAGTCTGAGGTACACCTTGGTATAAAAGAGTTCCAGGATAAGCCATCGGATACTGCATGCCAGAAAAGTTCTGATACACGGGATCCATGTAACCCGTGTATTGGATAGGTTGGAAATTAGGATTCGCCATCTGAGTCAGGAGTTCCGGAGATTGCTGCTCAGGTACAGCCATTGAAAGATTCATGGGACTCATAAGGCCACCGGATATTCCTTGCTGATTTTGCATCTGAGGGGTCGAGTAGGGCATCATCCCATAGGCATTTGTTGCCTGCACACACGTATCCACCTACTTCTCAGGACATGAAAATCTCAAAGAATGCTATCTGGCATGGTATTCGTTGACAACGCCCCTGTTCTTGATGATGCTGCATAAAACAAATACAAAACTCAGAATTTCGAGGTTTTACTTTGGGGATCGGAGTTCGTTAGAGCTACCTGGTATGCGTACCCATTGATAGGGGCAGGAGCAGCAACATATCCAATTGGCATTGCTCCAAAGAGAGAAGGTTGTTGCTGTCCGGCAAGTCTATTCGTCACTGAAGCTTGGGCTTTCTGTTGCTTCCGCGCTAGCCTTTCTTTTTCGGTGTCAGCCCACTTCACTACTAAAGCTGATGTAGAACCCTGAATATTTATGGCATTTAAGATTACAGAATGCAACAACACATGACTTTCGTTAGCTCTCTGCGTACCATGTGTTACACCTTATTTTCATCAACGTACACCACTAATATCAGTTAGGCGGTCAAGACGCTTACTGGTATCGGCTGTGTAATTACTATTGGACAACACCTTCAGACACGCCGAGTCCTGACTAGCGTAAAGTTCGGACATACGATAGTGAAAGAAGAAGCGACTTTAGGCGGGGCACTGCTCGAGGAAAATAGTACCTCCATTTTGTGCACTCCATTGAGTGCTTCAATGGCAGCAATTGCTTGATCCTTCGACTCGTACTTGAGAAATGCACAGCCTACGAGTACGATATACAACCAAGTGCCCCAAAGTTCAGTATATGAATACAAAGCTGACGAGGCTTTCATAATAACAAAATACAAACACTAGCAGAAAACAGAAAAGGGGAGAGTGAGGGAATTTCGGCACCTTTACTACTCGGTTGCGATCCTTTTATGACTGAGAGCTCTTTGATCCTCCCGAACTTTAAAAAAATGTTCGTCACATCGGCCTCGGACACGGAGTTTGGGAGCATGCCAATGAAGAGTTTGTGCTCTGCGCGAAAAAAGGCACACGAGACATGAGAAAACATAAACAGGATTAATTTTTCGAAAAACTTTATCGTCATGAACGCTGATCTCTCCAGAACCACACTGCTTCACGATGGTAAAACTACCACACACAGAGCGGCATGGTGATATGATCCACTACGGGAATAAAGCTCCACGGTTGAGAATCCCAGACCGCAGTAGGAAGCCTGAGCAGCTTCAAAATTTCAGCCGTTACACAGCGAATGGGGCCGTTTCGTACATTTCGAAAAAAGTCATAGTAAGGACACGAGAGGATAGACAACACTCATGCTCATAAGACTTACCCAGTCTCTCTAGCTCTCCATCGGCGTACTTCACTTGCAATGGACTCGCAACCTACAGAAACGGCATGAAATAGAGTGGAGACTGCTCAGCACACTGAGCGTGGCATTCACAAGACCTACGTTATCACTGGACTGCTAGACGGTCTAATCGACCGAGGCGACCAGAAAAACATGCTCCGAGCTTCACCAGCCGTGATGAAATTTAGAAAGAAAGAAATCTAATCCCACATCAAAAAAACCATTTAAGCTAGATATAAAAACCCTAAATGACGAAGGGCCGGAAACAGTACCGGCGGAAGCGTCCGTTTATCGTGGAACATAGCAATGGCGTTGTCTGCCTCCTCCCTCGTGCTGTACGTCACGAAGCAGCATCCTGCACAGACGGCGAGCGGAAAGAGCAGCTCAAGAAACGGTCACCCTAAACCCATACACCTCGAACACATCTGAAGTAAATTCTGGTCACTCTCGAAGAACCCTCGTCCCGGGACATTTTGGACTCCCATAGACTCGTCAAATGGAGACAAGTATGAATACACCAGCGTCGTTATATCGTCCAGCGGCGTGCTCTTCGTGAGAGAGCTGTATGCTTTCATAACGATCTCGTGGCGACCTTTTTTATTTTAGGAACAGAAACAACCTCCAACACGATATGTCAGCAGCCACAATCTAGGACCATGACAATCAGGTCAAAGTTCTCGAGGTTTGACAATATTTCATCAATGTCGGCACACAAGCAACTCTGAGAATCGCGGAGGCCGCAGAGTCGGGAGTCAAAGGGGCCGTAGGCCAGCGAAAGACAAACTCAAAGAGTCAGGAAGGCAACCGGACCTCTTGATTGTTTCGTCAGCTTATCCTTAATGATGTTGATTTCTCTAACGTTGCCAGCCTCGCCGAAAATGCCAGCAATTTGCTGCTCGCTGAGTTGCTTGGGCACCTGGCCGACAAACAGCTTCACGGCATCACCACCACCACCGCCGACGCCACCCCCACCTGCTGCATCCCGCTGGGACGCCACAGCAGCCATAGCTGACCAGGGCTGCGTGGCGGAACCGGCTGCACTGCCCTGCTCGCCTCGTTTATGCAATGCAGCGTTGCAGAGGTCGAGGCTTCGCTCAATGCAGTCGGAACTGCTGCAAAGAAGCTGCACGCGGATATCTCCTCATGTTGGGGTTGTTACAACTCTCATATGCGACTCGTTGGCAGTTCAGTTAGAGCAGCTGCAGAAGAAGAACTCCACACTCGACCACCACACTCCCCCTCTCTCCTCTCCTCACCTCCCCTCCCTTCCCTCCCTCCTCTCTCACTCTCCACGCCTCGCCTCGCCTCGCCTCCTCTCCTCGCTCGTCGCGTCCCCTCCCCTCCCCTGCCCTCCCGTGCCTCTATTCTGGGCGCTCTGCTCTCGAAACCCTGCTGCTGCTGCCACTGTTTTAGGGTGCCCTGGGGTCCTCGGGACCCCTCCCCCCCACCACCACCACCATCGCCCTTCCCTTCCTCCTCCGCTTCCCTTCCCTTCCCTTCGCTTCCCTTCCTTCTTTTTCTTTCTGCTTCCCCCACCCCCTGCAGCTGCAGCTTTCAACGGCCGGGTGCGGGGGTTTGTTTGTTGTTGCTGCTGGCGGGGCCTTGCTCGACACGGGAGCTCTCTAGCTTGCTTCACGACGCACTTACTTATTACCCAAGTTAACGCCCCTTGAGTACTGTCCCTGTGCCACTTCGGACATGCTCGCTCTCTCGCTCGCTCGCTCGCCCGCCCGCCCGCTCGTACGATACACGGTACATCTGCGCGAAACTACTCCTACGCCACCACTCCCCCCAACGTATACTCCTGGGCCCCTGCCAGCCGTCGTATGCGAGCCCCCACTGTGCTCGTATGGGTCCTGCCACCGCCCGCCCGACCTATACTTCTACGTCTACGTCTACTGCTGCAGTGGTGGTGGTAGGGCCAGTGGTGGTGGCGGTCGCAGAGGGCTTAGATCCTCCGAACCCGACGACCGTGACTGGTCCTCAGCCTTTCCCCTTCCTCTCCTCTCTCTCTGCTCCAATCGCCTCGTTTCCAGTCCAGTTCAGAGTCCAGTCCAGTCGCCGGTCAAGTCCCAGTCCCTGTCCCTGTCCCTGCTCTCGCGCTGGCTCTGGTTCCAAAGACGTGGCCCGAGGGAATAAGTGTCGACGGGCGGGGGGGGGGAGGGGGGCCCCCTGCGTCCGCGTGGTTGGCACACAAGCCGCAGACGGAAACCCCCCCGCGCGAACAAGGCACCGGATCCGACCGAAGCTCCGATGTGCAGGGACGGGGGGCGCGGTGGGGGCGGGCACAAACACTCGTCCACCTGCGCCAGCCAGCCTGCCCGCCCGCCCGCCAGACCATCGCGTGACTGATTGCCTGACCGACTGACCGACCGACTGACCGACTGGCAGCTCTGCGGGGCCTATAGTTCCATCGATCCGGATTTCCGAGTGCCAACTGTCCCCAGGGAGGAACGGGACGGGACGGGCTCCGAGATCCCCCAGCGGGCTCTAGCCGGGGACCGTATGTCGCGAAGGGGTACAGTACAGTACAGAGGCAAATGAGAGTCTCGTTCCTCGGGGCTCCGTGACGGGCCAGCTGGAGCTGCGCGGCTGTTTAGCGACTTCCGCCGGCGCCTCTTTAAGGGCCGGTCGCCGGTTGCCGGGCGCCGGTCGCAAGCCTTGGGAGCCAGTTGTGCCGTAGCTGGTGAGGCCCTGCCAGGAATAGGGATCGGTACAGCTCTCGTCGTATATTTCGCCCCCGGCCGCCCCTCTGTCTGCAAGCCCGATTAAGCCCCGCCCTCCACATGTCCGGTATGGCGCAACCATATTCCCCCGTCGTGGCCGCGATGGGGAGGGGAGGAGGGGAGGAGGGGTGGGGAAATTTGCCCCGCAGCGTCCTCTCGTTCCCCTCCCCAGCGCCCCCGGGGTGCGCTCTCGAACGAAACTCAGAGCGTTGCGTGCTCCCGGCGATCCGCCGATCCGCTGCGCCGGAATCTTTGTCTGAACGCACCTCCTGCTGCTGCTCGTCCTTGCGGCTGGTGGAGTAACCAGAAATCTGGCCAACAGGGGGCGCCCCGGCATGAGGTAAATGGGCGAAATGGGCTGGTTGTGCTCCCGGAGCTGCTCGGGCTCGTGTGTTTTCACACTCGATCCGCGGGCCGGAGGTCTCGGTTTCGCTTGGTGTGCGCAGAACTGCAGTGGGGACTTCCCAACTGCAAGGAGGAGGCCTGCAACTACCGCATGGTTGTCGCACCCCTTCGGCAACATATGAACTCCGTCTATCGGGAGCCGATTTGTGTGGAGCGAGGGCGGGAAGAGGGGGCGCTCCGCCGGGTGATGATGCTGGTGAGAATTGAGCTGGAATCGAGCTGAGGGTTGGATTTCGGCGCGGGCTTTGCTTGGCCGTCTCGGAGCTGCGTCGGATTTCGAGATGGCGACGATTGCTCAGTCGTTGCTGCCGAACCATGTGTTCGGTGTGCATGGGAAAATGCGCGATGGCGTGCATTTCGTGGACGACTCGACGATCGTGTACTGCGCCGGGCACTGCGTTGTATGGTGGAAAACGGAGGATAAGAATCAGAAGGTTGTTTGTGGGACGGCCGACACGGAAACTATGACCGCCATTGCTCTGAGCCACAACAGGAAACATGTGGCAGTGGCCGAGAGCTGTTTGCCCGATCGCCCAGTCGTCGTGGAACCTAAGAAGGAATCCAACGATTTGGCCAAGGCCATCGAGATGGCTAAGTCTGTAAGCTTGGATATCAAGGGTCCTGTGATTTCAATCTTCGATTCGCAGACCTCGAAGAAGAAAAAGGTTCTGATGGGTGGGGACATCGGTTCACGCTCTTACATCTCCCTTGCGTTTAGCCATGACGGCAAGTGTCTTGCTGCCCAAGGCGGGGCACCGGATTGGAACTTGGTCCTTTGGAGTCTGGAGAAGTCCAAATTAATTGCATCCATCAAAACCTCTACAGGACCTGAGGTTTATCAGGTACATCATCTGATTCGGAGTCTGCCTGCCACTGCGTCTTTCTTGTGGACAGTTGCGGACGCTCGTGCACTGCAAGACCTTTTTTCTTGAGAACACGGATCATGCCCGGATCAGCATACATCGTTGTCGACCAATTGGCATTTGTGGTCATCAAGTATTCATGGGTTTCTCTGGTTGGTGGCTGGATTTTTCAACCCCGTCTTCCTCTTGCAGGTTCAGTGCTGCCCTATGGACCTCAACCTCATCACTGTGATCGGAGATGGGTTTGCGAAATCATTCCGGTCAACGGATTCTGCCCTAAGGCCGATTTCTACTGGCATAGGAAAGAGAGAAGGACTCAAATTTTTCAATCATGCATGGTTGTATGATCCTTCAGCTCCCGTCGAGAAAGAAAAAGAGAAAGGTGATAAGAAGGAGGAAAGTGTGTGCCTCTATGCCCTGGAAAATGGTGAAGTTTTGTACACCGAAAACGGAGAGGTAAGCCTCCTGTAGTTGTAGTACCGTCCTTCTGAACTCAACACAAAAGCACTATACCGTAATTGTGGGTGAGATGTGGAAAGTAATCTCGAGATTGTCAGGTTTATTTTTATTTAGTCAACTCGTAGTGTTCAACATATTCAATACGCTAGGTCTGGGTTTCTCCAGTGTCGTCTGTAGAACTCATCCACATCTGGAGCTGCCCCTCTCAGTGCCGCAAGCCCTACTGTCACAGTGCACTGACCCACAGTGTCTTCAATTTGTCGAATTACTCTAATTGTGTGAAGCTTGATGAAGTCGTCTCACCACAACTGCAGATTGTGTCATCAATATCTCCTCCAGGTGGGCTGCCAGGAGCTGGTTTCGTTGAGGTTATCCTTCAGTTTTCCAAGGGGTTTATCAGCGCTGAAAGTGGAGCGATTATAGGCGTCTTCGAGAAAGTCGACGATGAAAGTTTCAAAAGAACGCGCTCGTTCAAAGCGGACGTCAATGGAACGAGGATAGTCAGTATTGCTCTTTCGCCCGGTGAAGAGTTACTCGTCTGCGTATTAAAAAACCGACAGATCATTTTGGTTCCCTTCCAAAATTCGGAGTTTTACAAACCGGATGAAGTTCCCAAAGAGGCTACTGGGCATGTGAGTGAATACACTCATCGCTTGTAATCATGAATAGGTGCTTATAAGTTGATTGGAAGGCAAGACGTAGAGGACACGTGCTTTGAGGGAGTTTGTCTGCAACTGCCAACTGTATCTGAGATCCGTAGTTGGAATGCAGGGCTTTCATTCGGAAGCCATCACAGGTTTGGATGTCTGCCAGCGGAAACCACTAGCTGTAACATCCAGCACGGACAAATGTATTCGTGTATGGAACTACTTGGAAAAGACGTGTGAGCTGGCGAAATATTTCCCTCAGGAGGCCTTGTCTATCTCTTTACACCCCAGTGGTGTGTGCCTCCTCCCACAGTTCATCTCTACAAGGTTGTAACATTGTGTTGGAAAGGTGTTGATTCTATCCTGCTGTATCATTGCAGTTATTCCTTAAGGGCTATGGACTCATGCTCACTGTCAGAAGAATAATGGGTTTCATAGGTTCACTTCGACCAAACTTAACGTTAGTGTTGACTTATGAACGAAGAGCCATCGATAGACAGCTAAAGCGCACAAGGGCAACAACGTAACGTGCACTTTGAGTTTTTGCTCTTGCTCGTGGGTTTGGTGCAGCACCTTGTTTGGTATTCAAAACCTCTTCAGACATCTCAACTGTGTTACGAAAACATTTTGCAGAGGTGTATGCTTTCTAAATCCAGAATTCAGTGTAATCGTCATGGCCGCAAGGTTAATGTGTCTTTTCTGTCTCTTTTTCAGGCCTGCATATATTGGTGGGATTCACCGACAAATTGCGGTTAATGAACATTCTGATTGATGACATTCGTATAGCAAAAGAATTCAACATCAAATCTTGCCAGGACTGTGCTTTTAGCAACGGTGGACAGTACTTTGCTGCAGTGCAAAGTAATGTTATCTACATTTTTTCCACCTATAGTTTTGAGAATCTGGGAAACCTACGAGCCCACAATGGTAAGGTATGTTCTTTGATGTGTGTTTGAATGTTAGTTTTTTATCATTGTCCGCCATTCAACCGTCAACCTTGTGTTTTTCGCGTCTTACTATCTTGGACGCCTCTGGGCTGATTAAAGCCCGTGAACCTAAATTCAGCACATCCAGGCACGTCTAGCTGAGTATCAGTTGAATACACAGCTGTATGTTTAAAAATCCACAAAGATGTCCACAAGCAAGCTACGATTTTGGCCTCGTTCTTGCTGCTACGAGGATAATAGGAAAGACCAGCTGCGTAAGACAGTTAAAACAAACTGTGGAGAAGAGAGACTTAAGGTGGACCTCCGAAATCGTTTAAGCACGAGAATGGGAAGTTTTTCTTCTTCACATCTTTCAGCCGTAGAAGATTCAGTACGAAGCCCCTTTCACAAGTGTTCCCCGTTGTCTCGTCTTGCAGGTACGGAGTATCTGGTGGTCTCCGGATGACACATCTATGTTAACGGCTGGCATAGATGGAGCTATATATGAATGGCAGCTACGAGAACTAAAACGGTCTCGCGAGAATGTTATGAAAGGGTGTGTTTACACCTCTGTTGTAGGTTTAAAGGATTCGAAGTCTTTCTTCGCAGTCGGATCAGATCATAAGCTGAAGGAGTTAGATGAAAACTCTACGGTCAAGGTAGGTGACAGTCTGCATCGCGTTATTTTACTTATCCTTAATGTTTATGTTATGAGTGGCTTAATTAGTTACTCGCAGTAGTTGCTGCTTATGTATGCTCTTCGAATTTACATTACTTTCCGTCGGAGCTTATTTGTGAGTCTCCCAATGCAGGAATTTTTCTTCCCTGTACTTCTTACTCAAATTGCTCTTCCATTTGGAAGCCGTCTCCTGTTTGCCGGAACGGAGTTTGGAGCTGTTCGAGCTTGTCGATATCCCTTGACAGGCATGTGAAAAATGCATTACTTTTTAATGCTTACTTGTACAGTTAGCTTCAAGTATCCGTTCCTACATGAGTTGCATGTGTCACTCTCGTTGCACGCTCATCCGTGTCCATTTTGGTCAGGACTCGTTATTCTACCGTCATTGTGGGTGGCGTACTAAGAATCTACTCCCTGTCAGCAGTAGATTGGTCATCTTCTGTCTCTATGAACTCTTCAGACGTTTCTTGAAAGGCCGGTACTGGGAGCAGGAGAATTCTACGAGGTCCAAGCCATCGGTTCCCCAATCAGTCGACTAGTCATTACAGCCGATTCAAGCTTGCTCCTATGCGGAGGCGAGGACGGAGCCGTAGTGATATTTGATATTAGAGACAAGGAGAAAGCGATTGCAAGTCACGTAGCCCGACACGAGAAGGACGCCTCTCATTGGACTAGTGAGGTGCTTGTATTAAAAGCTGATTTGGAAGAATTGAAAGCACGAGTGCAAGACTTGGAGACTCAGGTACGTCAGTATATGTTCCTGAGTGCGATGTCGTGGCATGTGAACTTAAGCTGAAGGTTTTCTGTCAGTCAATCAGTTTTGCTTATCACAATCTGGTGGCAACAGCCAACCCAATTGAGAACTTTACAAAGTTTATTAAGTACAAAGCTCGATGGTTGCATCTATGCGTTTTAGGTGACCGAGGTTCAAGCCCACTGTGAATACCAAATCAGGATCAAGGACGAAGGAATAGCTCTTCGCATCAAGGAGCTTACGGATGTTTCTGACAAGGACTTTCTGGAGAGTAAAGTAAAATATGAGGCAATCATACAACAAAAGAATGACAAGGTCATATAACTGCGATGCTTTTCTTTCCGATTGTTCTTACATTTGTGTTGCCTACATCAATTGTTGTTTGAAGCCTTACGGATATGCCATCCAGCGCAGGAGAATGTGAGGAAACCAATTGTTTTCCATCTGAAGGAGCAAAGCTTGATGTGTCGGTTGGAATTGTTTTGAAGTCCCTATTGCTGCTTTGAGAAACTTACACATTCCGCCCTTTGAACAATCCAGTCTTACTGTTAGTAGTTTTTTTTTTTTCTACTGTCTTTCCTCTGTCCGGGGGGTAATGGGGAGGATATTCAGCTTGCTGATCCCGTTATAGACCCCAATCGTGTCCACATTCAAGGGGAAAGAATTGCAATTTCTCTAAAACCGGGTTGCAACTCGATTGAAGGACTACCTCATAAGGTAGATGTTCCGAGTTTCAGGTTTGAGTGGCAATGTTGCAGGAGTTGGAGTTGGAGCAAAAGTACAAAGCACTGGAAGACTTGCAGGTGGTTCGCTTGGCAGAAATGGAAGAGCAGTATCAAAAGAAGATGCTTGTCGAGGTTGCAAGGTGTGCAGAGTTTACCTTGCGCTCGTCTCCATCAACATTATCCTCCAGTGACGGCTAGTACATAAGTAATAAAGATTTTTCCTGCATTCGACCTCAATTTATGTCTAGGGTCTCTTCGTCGCATCGCACCAACATTCGAATTTCTGAGTTTGATCAGGTACACTGCTTTGGAAAATGACAAGGAAATTCAGAGGTTGGAATTTGTGGAGGACCGTGCTATCATGGCCGAAAAACATGAGAAGGCTCTTGTGGTACAAATCTGCTACATTTGTCCTATCTGTGCTTGTAATGTTTCGGGCAAAGAACAGTGTCACCTGCCAGCACCATCTATTGTGACGAAGAGATCCTCGCTTGCAAATTATTGAAGAACTTCTTGTAACAGGACATAACCGATGCCTATGAAGACAAGTTAGAGGTACAGCAAAATGCTTATGCAAAACTGAAGGAGGAGGCAGCCCAGGCGCTTCTTGACTTTGAGGAAATCAGGCGTCAAATGGAAGAAGACACGGACAAGGAGATTGAAGATCAAAAAGAAAAGTAAGTTGCTTGTCACTTCTTACACTATCTTAGAGTCAAAGAAACGTCGCTGCTTAAAGAGTCCATTTACTTGGCGGCTTTGATCCACCTGCGAATACCGGAAGCTGATCCTCCAGCAACTGAATGAAAGCATCGGTGGTGGAAGGGCACATACTCTTCCATGGAGCTTTTCCGGGTTCAAGTCCCGGCCGATGCGGATTTGTCTAGCTTTAAGGAGGCTAGTTAGTCTCTATCAAAAGAAGGGCAAGGTCCACATTTAGAAAGGATAACTGCGTGCTGTTTCTAAAAGCTGTAGCGCTTGTAGATTTCTTCGGGTCCCATTTAGATCGTCATAGTATCCATCTCTGACTACGCGAGGAGAACAGGTTTCACAAGCAGACAGGTCTTACTACAAGAAAGGACGCACCTCAGCAAAGTCTTATTTCTCATGAATTGGAATTCAACAACGTTTACGTTGCTTACTTGTGCACTTTTATGCCTTAATAAAACAGAAAGCAGTAAAAGCTTCGAGGCTGTGAAGGAACGGTCAATCACCTGGTCATCAACCTTCTTCTTTCTTCTCTATCTGTTCCTGATGGTCTGTAGCTTATGACAAACCGAACTTGAAGTGAGAGCTGTCTGATACACTATCTAGTTGAATCGGTGCACAAGACGTGTGTGTTGAACCGTCTCCTTTTCTGAACAGGTACGATTCGCTGATCGCAGCAGAAAAGGAGACCGTAACAAGGTTGAAAGGTGAGAACGGGATTATGAAGAAGAAATTCAACGAATTTCAAAAGGAAAATGAAGAGCAAAGGGAGGAGCTTATGTTGCTGTTCCAACAAAAGAAGGAGCTCTACGAAATAATTGGGTCGTTGGAACGAGACATTGCGTACTGTTTCTACCTTCCCATGTCACGATCCAAGTTCTAGGCATTGATATTTTCTCAACTGCAGGAATTTGAGTGAATCAGAGAGCGATCGCTAACTGCGGTTACTGTAGCTGGTTGCCTAGTTTGTTTGCTCGCAAGAGCAATTGAAAAATCTGGATTATACATGTCATATCCTCTTGCTACATGAATGTCATCGACCGGCCGCAGTGGTTTGAAAAAAGATGTACAAGAAAGAGATGACACGATTGGAGAGAAGGAGAAGAGGATCTATGACATGAAACGAAAGAATCTGGTAGACAACTATGTTCAGCCCTATTGCCTTCAAGACACTGTCAGTTTTTGGCATTTTAAAACGCATCGATTATTTCCTCTTACCACGTCGAATAAGAACTATTCTATTCAGACGATGGTTGACCTATTCAAGTTTAATGTAGCCTTGTTGAGAATCTTACTCGTAGACACTTCATCAAGTTACACCGCTCACATCGATTGCGAAAATCATTCCAGGAGCTCGAGAAGTTCAAATTCGTGTTGGATTTCAAGATCAAGGATCTCAGCGAACAGATTGAGCCCAGGGAAGCGGAACTACAAGATGCCAAAGATCAAATAAGGAAGATGGAAGTTGAACTGGAGAGGTTGTTGGAACAGCCCGGAAGTCAACTCTGTCTTAGACCTGTTCAAAATCTTGAACTCCGCTCATTGTCATTACAGCGTCTGAAAGGATTTAACTTGCAGATTACGGCAGGCTGTAGAAGTCATATCCATCGTCGTCATTGGCACCTACACCAGATGAAGATCTGAATGCGTTTCGAAACCCCGTAAGAACAGAGATGCCGAATTGTGCAGCTTTTGTTCATGTTGCTTGCAGGTCCTCATCGTCATTATTAATCCTTTGATGTGCCAGGTCGCATGCCATGAGCGGTAAGAAGGACTTGGCCATCTCTCAGCTGAAGTTGAAACTCCAGGGCGTTCAGAATGAGGAAGACGCTCTAAGACGAGCTAATGTACTCTGCACAACTACGCTTAAACATTTCCAACATGACTACTACGAGCTTGCTCAACTTATAACCGTATGTTTTCTTCACAACCTTTGACATCGAAGTCATATTTTAATATTTCCTTGGGCTTCTCTAACTTCGAAGCCTTAACTAGACTTAGTACTAGGAGAGGGAATGCCCAGGGATGAGCCCACAGTGTTTACATAAAAAAAGAATAGGCTTGGTTTGCATAGCCAAGCTCAAAGTAGGTTTGAAGAGTAGTCAAAGAGATTGAACCGTCTTAAATTTGAGACCTTAATAGACGACATCTATGAGAGTCAAGCTCATGACGCTTGTACGAACCCGTCTCTTGAGCTCATCCCATGATCTTCGGCAATTCTGACATTTTTGCAGGATCCTGAGGCTTTGAAGTCCGCAGTCATATCAGTGTTCAGAAAGTACGTTGAAGACAAAGTCACTCTCTTTCCAGTCGATGAAGAGCTGGAGAAGGACACTAATAGACAAAGAGACTTTTTGGAGAGATCGGTACTGCTGCGCACCTCAGTGTATACTTAATGACTAAATTCAAGATTTTAAGGAAGCATAATCCAAGGGATCAGTTCAAAATAGAATAGATGTCTACTTTAAGCATGCGCCGTTATTGAACACCTGACAGCGAATGCTCGGCTGCTGGGTTCAGGTTGCTGGTCTTCGGCGAAAGCTTCACAAAGAAATGGAAGCTCACCATACGAATCATCTTCACATCATGCAAGACAACGTGGCTTTGATTAAAGAGCTTAATGAACTGAGAAGGGAATTGAAGATTATCAAGCTGAACCAACAGAAGGGAGCCTTGGCAGACGGAAGTGCGTCTCAGCATAGGGCTACGACGGCCAGAAAGCTCACAGCGCTGGCAAAGGGTCTGGAAGACCAATTAACCCTGAGCCAGCAGATGGAACAGGAGAACTTGCGTCACAGGGTTGTACAGCTGGAGACAGAATTGGCGTCGAAAGTGGACAGAATCACGTACCTAGAGGCCATGCTCCAGGAGCTGGAGTTGGTGCAGAATCGCCCCAAGTCTAGAGGTGAGCTGCCACCTATGGAAGGTGTTGGCAGGTTTGGTGGGTACAGCAGCACTACGGCATCGACGAGAAGTGCATCCCCCGGTATTAAGAAGACGGTGCAGGTTATGACACCCTCGGAAGCATCATCGTCGCCCCAAGGAAGACCGACGTCTTCTCCGGGAAGCAACAAATGGAGTAGGGAAAAGGGTGCTCCGTAGTCTAGGACCCGTTGACTCGAGTTGGTAGGTGTTGCCGCTCTTGAAGGCATCCAAGCTACAGGAGGGCCGAATGCTCGTGATCCTCGTCTCCACACAAATCACGTCCATCCTTCAAAATAGAAGAGAACACCGATTTCAGTATGTCCAAGAGTAGGGAGCATGCGCGTTGCCGTCAAAGCTATGGCAGCCTTTTTCAAACATGCCATACCGGCATACCTTGGCCCACGTCCTGTTGCCTTCGTATGGAGAAACTTACCGAAGCTATAATGCAGATTTGGCCCTGTAAGTGGTGAATGTTGAAGTGATCCTGTCTTCTTTGGTAAAAAATTCTTTGAATTTAATACTCCGCACTCTCTTTTAGACCACCCCATGATTTGCAGTCCGGGTGCCGAGGTCGTCAATCCACTGAAAAGATGCCATCACAAAAATCTCTGTTCTGCTTCTCAGAATGCTTGGAAACTCGATAGGATTCTCCCTGAACGTCGGATTGGCACCTCGGTTTGAGTTATGCATTAGTCTATGCAAAACTAGCCATTGCCTGCGGACAAGACACAGATCTGCAGTCTATGCACGCTGCAATCAGAAATGTTCTGAGGGACCACCACCACCACAAGCGAGCATCAAGACTACAGGGTACATTCTCGAGAGTTGTGTACCGGCCAGAACTAAAAATTCTACCGACAGGTCTGAGAGGGAGCTTCTAGAAAGAAAAACCTACATAGATTGCCATCTATGTAGAAAATGGGCCAAATAGTGCATAGATTCTACAGACGGAGCAATGCAGCACAAAAACCGACAGAATCCGTAAGGACACTGTATTCTCTCCTCAGGGCCGACCACACACATGGCGCGCCTTCCGCTGGCAGCTTCCGAAAGGCGTCCTAGATATTTGCCGTCGGTGATTTCTTTAGATTAAGTTTCGAGTTGCTGATTTCCGAAGCAATCATTGCCTCCAATGCATCAGGACGCAGATCGAGAGTGTCGGTCTGTCGACTGCGGATCATCATTCCCATACGCTGGGAAAGACTTGGACCTTTAGAGAAAGTCAATGTGACTCTGCCGATTTTCCGATCCGACTTTTCTGGGCCTTGACGGCAAGGTACAGCATGAAGAGGTGGTTCATCTGATCGATCATGTCCACCTGCTGTGTGGGGCTCTGTGCGAAGCCAACCTCTTTCCGCCCTCTAGATTCGTGAGCAGACTCCTTACAATCGACGAGTCTGAAGCTGATCTCCGGCTGAGCATTTTGTGACGTAAGTCGGTGTGAATTTTTCTTTATCATATCTGAGAATCCGTGTTTAGTTCAAGTCGGAACCATGACTTTGGTCGCTATACGCTTTGTGAAAGATTGGGGTTTCAAGCGTCAGCAGAGCTCGTCCTGTCTCCTTCACTTGGACAGTGACTGTTGGTGGACCCTGGGAAGAATCGACCCCCACGTACTCAACGACCCCTTCTCCTTTTCGCTCTCAGTGCTCATGGCTCACCAGTTTCTTCCTTCGATTGCCTTTATCTTCCCGCATGCACTGCCATTATTGCTTGGGCGACTGTTGTTAATGGAGCTTAAGTTTGATCGGAGGTGTCCTGTGGCCACTGCGAGTCTCTTTCATGCCTCTTTCAACCCATAGCCGCCCTCTATGTCTGCTCAGTGCAGATAGTTTCCACGAGATCTCCACAGCTGATTGCATGGGCGATACTCTGAGCGAACTCAAGGTCAACTTTTGTTAGAAATTTCGATCTCAGGTCGAGAAGATTTGTGTGTCGGAAATTGGACGATTGTTTTAGGAACCTGAGATTTTGCTAAGAGCATGGGACTCTGCTTGATTCTCGCACAGAGGGCCTTAGTTTCGGGTGTTGCTCGTAGAAAGTACAGGACCGATGGATGTGACTCCATGGGTGGCAGACCCGGCGCTTGGCGTTGGTTGACAAAACTTCACCTTCGGCTTGTCTTCGGTGCTAGATGCTTCTCATGACGCCATGACTATAGAGCCATACAGGCTGTACATTATATGCAAAGTATTTACTCAAATTAGGTTTGTACACATTGTAATGAACACCCGATTACACGGTACCGAATGCAAGTCTGTGAAACTTCAACACGTCGAAAAGATTCCATCACACTCTTTTCAAAAGGTCCTTCCTTCCTTCCTGCACCTTTTAGGACCTTGCATAAAACTTTGAATAGCTACAAGACGGATGGATCAGTGATCGACGCATGGGATGGCGAGATCGTAGCCATGTTTCCACTCTTTGCCTCTCCTCACTTGATTTGGGTTTGATCGATCGACTAGAAATGGGCGTTTCCGGCAGTTCTGGTATTATCACGGAGCTCGGCATGCACTCCATATCTACAAGAAACGAATGGATTGTTTCCAATTCGTCCTGAGACACGATAGCTCCACAGACTAGACCGCAAAGTGAACAGAAGAGAGAATCTCGGTAAAACTAAAGGTTCTCTGCAGACTCGTGCCACGATACTGAATGCAGGTTCATTCACTCCTCGATTGCCCCATCGCCCCCCGACTCGTCCGTCTCTGGAGCATACTCTGGAGCATCTCATTCGCACCTCGTCGATGAACGCAGGGAGGACTAGCAGGTGGACGGCGCTCGCGGTTCATGCGCTGCTCCAGGCAGGAGAGGGTACGCGCAGCAGGAGCAGCAGGAGCAGCAGGAGCACTAGCTGCTGCTTCTGGCATCGAGCCAGGCCGTGATATCATCGAGCACTTGCGCCCGGACGTGCTCGAGCTCACCCTGGAGGAGAGAATGGAAAGCACCCTCGTACAATTTGATGGATTTGTCGTGGCTGGCAGCCGTGTCATGGAGCTTCTGGCTCAAATTGGGATCGGTGACGTTGTCGTCGGTGCCGTGGAGGACGAGGAAAGGCACGGACACCTTGGCCATATTCTGCTGCAGGAAGTCGCAAATGCGCTCCATCTCCAGCCTCGTTTGCGCCCTCGGGGCCCCAACGTAGCGCCGCGGGTTCTGGAAAATGAGATCGCGGCGGGCAACATCGCGGAACACGTTCGGGGCGACGGGCCCGTCGGGAACGAATTGCCCCTGCGCGGCCAGAGGGCTGAGCTTCTTGAAGCTGGCCAGGAGAGCCTCGGGCACGGCCATGGCGGTGCCGATGCCGATGAGCGGCGCCGAGAGGATGAGCCCGGCCCAGCCCTGCTCGTCGGAGCTGCTGTGCAGGTGAATGAGCAGCGCAATGGCGCCGCCCATCGACTCGCCGAACAGAAAGGCCGGGAGCGAGCGGAAGGCCGGGCGATGGCGCACCGAGTCGTAGAAGCTGGCGAGCGAGGCGGACGAGGCGTCCATATTCTCGACGAGCCCCGGCATCCCCCACGAGCGCCCGAAGCCCGGCATGTCGGCGGCGAAGGCCGCGTAGCCCCGCTGCGCCAGCGCCATAGGCAGCAGCTCGAAGGTCCAGCCGCTGTCGGCCCCGTATCCGTGCGTGCAGCAGACGAGCCCCTTCGGAGGCTGATCACCTGCCGGCAGCCACGACTGTGTGAAGAGCTTGCCCTGCGGGCTCTCGTACTCCTCGCGCGCGTTCTTCACCCCCTTCGACGCGTAGTACTCGTCCTCCGGCATGTCCCCCCACATGTTCGCCATCCTCTCCCCTTCCTCCGCCATCGATTCGATTGCGAGTCGCAGCTCGGGGTCACGGTCGCTGCGCTATCGCCTTGCGCTCGTAGTTACGCAGACACTCCCGATGGAGGTTCAGGTCACCACCGAGCTCAACGAAGCCCTATCAAAAGATCCGAGAACACTCGTCTATTAAACGATGTCCAAACGCCCGAATTCCCCAGAACCCTGAATTCAGCGAAGCAGTGAACTCCTCGATGGAAGCAGGAATGGGCAAATGGGCTCAGGCACAGAGAGAGAGAGAGAGAGAGAACCTGGTGATCCGTGGGCCGAGGGGTGCTGCTGTCACCTCGAGCGAATGGATCCCGTGAGCTGAGCTCGGCAGTTGGAGCCTGATGATTCCTGGGCCGAGGAGCGCTGATGTCACCTCGAGAGACATGAGACGATGTTGAGGGTCGAGCACACCGATCCCACGTCAGCTGAGCTCGACAGATGGAGCCCGATCGGGAGAGACAGCATCGAAGGAGCGGACATCAGCTCTGCTGCGGCAGTCGAGGGCAGAGCTGGTCGTTCCTCGCTCTGTACGTAACCGGACGCGATGAATCCTTTCGTCCGACATGGATACCTGATCGGCGCGACCTCCTCGTGACACTGCCGTCATGAAACGTAGGTCACTCCAGAGACTGGTTCTCGCAGGGATCCGGCTTCTGAGAGCCTGTGGTTGGTCTCCTCTCGCCGACCAGCAGCAGGGAGCGACGAGGCTTTTCGGAATTTTCATGCGGAAATATATTTAATCGTTCCGACGACCACTTTCCGTTATCTCAGATTACCCATCGAGGATCTTCCTCCGCGGACGCCACCTTCGTTGACGGATTTTCTCTTACGCGAAGACTTTTTGTTGACTCGTTCGAATGCCGAGAAGATGTTTTCGGAGACCTCGTAACAACCGACCGAGATGCACGCCTTGAGAACAAGTGTTAATTCCACAAATGTCCTATTCTGTAAAGATTGAGGGTATCCGAACGAGCACCTTAACTTGTCCTCTCGTGGCAGAGAAGCGAGGACGCTTCGAATCGGAGGCTCGATGGCAAGAGCCATCGAACAAGATGAGCAAGCAAAGGCCAAAGAAGCAGGAGGACACCTGTGCCCCAGGTACCATAGATCGATATTTCAGGCTGAGAAATTGGAAACCCGTCACGGCATTTCCAGAAGGCAGCTGCGCTTCTTCATGGTCCACTTGCCAACCGAAAGATGCAAGTGCACACTCTGCATCAGTGACATCCAGAGCGAGACGATCACGAGACGATCAGTAACTGCATCTGAGGGAATTAGAAGTTTTTCTTTTCAATGGCATCGCACGGAACTGAACGCGTCATCTTAAGAAGGAACTCTGACTGGCCGGACAGTGAAGACACGAAGTAGCCTCAGATGAATAACCGTGAAGGACCAGAACTCATGAGACAGTCCTGGACCGATGAGCGAAAACTTCGTTCTGACCATGTACAGATTTCAGAATTCAGAATGCTTGGCACCATCTTTCGAATTTCGAACTCTCATGGACTCCGCGTGGAACTATTCATGCAGAAACTGTACAAGAAAAAGAATTCGAGAGCAATGTACTAGTGATGGATCCGTAGCTTCTCGCTGCTTCGTTTATACATGCGAGCGTTGTCGAGCCGAATCGATCGGTCGGCATGTGACGTTTCGAAGTGCGCGGAGTACTCCGGACGTTCCTGGGAGATTTGGAAACAGCCTTTGAATTCGAGTACCTCGCATCCAGATGCGACACTGCGAATCTACTCTCCGGAGGTCCTCGTGAGAGGGTTTGAACTTCAGAAGTCCGAGGAACCTCAGAATTGTCCGACTGCTGGCCGATCATCGCCACGTTTTCTCGAGTGCCTTCTTAATCTGTGTCGACGTTCGTCTTCTCTGCCATTTCCAAACAACCGGCCATGCTCTCCGGTCGGACTCTCCGGCCTTGAGGCTCCATATTCTCCGTGCCAGCAAATTTCTGAAGCCCTGCCTTGAGGGCAGCGAGGTTGACGCCGTTGTGAACCTGCACGCTTTTGACACCCATGTGGCCGACAGCCTGAATGTTGCGGTCCTCGTCGTCGAAGAAGAGCATGGAGTTATAGGGAATGCCCGTTTTTTGATGGATTTTCTGAAAGTGATCGGTTTTGTCGCTCCAGCTCGGGTACACTTCCATGACGGAGAAACTCGAGAGAAGATCCAATTTCGAGAGAAACGTCCGTGCTTTGTTTGCGGTGGGCGACCGCGATGCTATGGCCATCAAGACCCCTTTCGATTTCAGGGCCTGGATTACCCCCTTCGCCTGAGAATACAGCACAGGGCTTTCATTCTCGGAGCGACAATCGCAGAAATACGGCCACAGAGTGTAATCTAGATCGAAAACTACAAGAGCCGGCAATCGACTGGCGGCGTTTAGAATCCGTGTGGCCTCTGGCTCGTCGTTCGTGTCGTAGTAGGTGGACCAGTATCCCACTTCAGACTGCAGGAACAACAACCCTCATCAGGAAACCCTGTCCCATGTTTCGCAAAGTGCGGACGAAGGGTGGGAGCTATTCATCCAATTTTATATATCTGGAATTCGAAGAATCTTGCAGGTACATAAGACATACCAACATTGGAGGGAACACAAAGCTTGAGGTTCCAAAGTCTCAAGGAGATGCGCTTACGGGAATTGCCATCAAGCTCGATGACCCCGCGCGTTTCGTACTTGCTCGAGCTCGAATGATCCTTGCGGACTTCGACCACTTTTCAGACTGCGCGCGCCACGAGATCGATGTCCTGGTCTCCAATTCGGCACCACTGTGCCGCACAACCGGGTCCGCCGTTCGAGAAAGGCCAGAACGTGCTCGGAAACCCTCGCCTGCTCTTGAAGTCGGCAGAATCGAGGCAGAATCGAGGGTTCGACTTCTACGTCACCGCTAGAGCTCAGTGAAGTCGACGTGATTCTCCGTCGTTCGTCACTTCAGTGGTAGCTCTCCTCAAGTTCAGTTGAAACTGGCGGGAAGTCCGACTCGGTCAGAAGCGGGAGAAATCCGATGATGGCTCCTAATATCTTGCCGAATTTTGAGGGAGTGTCGCGAATTCGCCAGGATGAGAAAAGACCTCGTGCATTTTTCTGTCTGTCACTGTCTGTTTTCACCGTCTACGTCTACGAAGGGAGGTTGCAAACATCGAGAATCTTGTTCCCACACATTGACCGTTGGGAATTGACTGCTGTGGATCCGCTGGCACGATTGCTTCCATCCTGCCGGGGAACAACTTTCCTCGACCATCGAAATCGCCAATTTGTTGCCTAATTTTGCGGGGATTCCGCCAATTATCCAGGATGGGAAGAGACCCCGTGCATCTTTCTGTTCGTCACTGTCTGTCCTCACCGTCTAAGTCTACGTCTACGACGATAGGTTGCAAACATCGAGAATCTAGTTCCCACGCATTGATCATTCAGAATTGACTGCTCTGGCTCGCGGTCACGATTGTTCCATACTGCCAGTGAACAAATTCCCTCGGACATCGCCATCGCCAATTTTTTGTTCGTTTTGTTCATGAGCCGACGTGATGTAGGCCGGGAGTTGCGAAATGCATTATTGGGAGGTTTAACCTCCCAATAGTGCATCTACGTGACGTAACTAGAGAGTAATAAAAGTTCAACATTCTAGTTCGTCACACCACTTCCGGCTGTTAAAAGGTCTTATATAGTTATTTTGCTTGCATCATAATTTAATTTAACTACAATGTTGATGGAGTCCACCGAAGCCCCTAAGAAGCCACCATGCAAAGTTGTAGTAGCAAAACTCCATTTCAACACCTGTTACAATATGGTAACTTGATCTAGGCTTGGCCACGGTCCAATTAACCCGTTAATTGGTAGTTTAACCGGTCCAAGTTTGAACAAGGTCAGTTACGGTTCGAAGAAAGTGCGCAGGCGTTGACACCCAGCAGCGAGAGAGCGAGCTCGAGTGTACAAGCGGGCGGCCATAACCGACGCCCTAGGGGCGAAGGACAACCAGGACGAGCCGCAGCATGAGCAAGGGTACTGTGTCTTGTTAACTACCGGTCTGACTTCTCAATTTGGGATATAACACTGCGCAAGTGTGAGCAAATTCCGCGAGATAGATTACATCTTCCCCTTTTTAAAAAAATAATTAATTTAGCATGTAATATGGACAAATATTGTAGGGTCTGCACACGAAATACAAATAAGAGAGTTCAAAGATAGTGCGTACCAAGGACTTTTCTTGGGATAACACTAGATAGTGAAACACGTTTGCCACATACATATGTTCTACAAACAATCAATACTTCCATGGGGAGAGTTGAGCATGGAGATTGGGATCTGGCCGTTGACACAAGGCAAATTCATGTGTATAAATAGCATACTTCCACACGAATGGGAACAAGAGAAGTGGTGAACAAAGTATTATAGCAATAAGATGGAACACGTTATCCATTTTCAAAAATATTTTTTTACTTATTTATTCATTCGGTAAGTTACAAAGTGAATAAAAGTGGAACGCAAGTTCCAAGAGTAACTTACTTTGGAAATAAACGGTTCCAGCTTTTCAATTTCATCATCATCTCAATGTTTTCATCGAATAGTTTAGATCTATCAGGATTATCAAATCCAACACTCTCAAAAATTGTCGATTTAGACGTCACAGAAGAACCTTGAATCATCAATGTGTCCCTGAACATCCTGGATAACGTTGGAAAACAATTGTTGTGATGTTTCCACCATATGAGAATGTCGGACACGCTACGATACGCTTTTGTCGTGAGCATGTGAGTCATCAATGTGTACCTAAACATCCTGGATAACGTTGGAAAACAATTGTTGTGATGTTTCCACCATAGGAGAATGTCGGACACGCTACGATACGCTTTTGTCGTGAGCATGTAAAAGTCATCAATCTCGTCAATGTGTGCAACGTATTTAATGGCACTGTCTCTCTCTCCAACAAATAGATCAAATACACCAAAAGTTAGAGATGTCTGCTCCTTCAAACACAAACCGTAATCCATTATCAAAATAAATCAAATCTAACCTTTGAGTTCCATTGTTTCAAAGTAAGCATTACTTGATCTATGATCAAAAAGCAAAGTCATTTTGAAGTCTAGAAAATTCAAATTTGCACTATATTTAAGCAACTTGAGTTCCATAGCAGTAGTAGCTTGTTTGACTCTCGGAGTGGTAAACCAAGTGTCTAATTGTCCAGTACGGGTTTTTTCACACAAGGTAAGTAGATGCTTGTAGATCAAAGTCTGGAGAGAAAGTGAAACGTAACCACGTTCACTAGCGGCGACAGTGCAATTTGAGAACACGCCAATCCATGTCAGACAAAACCATATTGGCCAATCAATCACAGAATTCTTTGAAATTATAGAGCTGAGAAAATTAATCACGATATTGAAGCGACTGGTAGATCATAGTAAACATGGTATTCCAACGCGTCTCTATATCCAAACCTGGAACTTCAACAATGTCATTGGAAAAGCCCAAAACAACAGTCAATTCTGAAAACTTGACGCGGATAGCAACGGATCCACAAACAGCTTTCAGTATTTGACGGAGCATTTGTACTTTTTTTTTATGAAATGTGTAGCATCACATACAACACGATTGATGACATGACAAATGCTTTGGATATAAAAACTATACTCCAATCGAAGTATTGATCATTCAGATTCTGTCTCACAATAGTCATGGCCAGTGGCATTTTTCTGCCGCTGCCAGATGTAATGGCCTTGATCTTAGACCACATGTTGAAATCTTTCACCAGTGAAAGAATCAAGTCTGACGTAGTGTGTTGATTGTGTGTAGGTGGAAAATAGCAAAATTCTAGCACAATTAATTGAAGTTTTCACTCTTCATCAATCCAATGAATTGTAATCATCATATAGTCACGCATCACACGCAACGACCAACAATTCAGAGTGAAAGTAATTTCTTCCTTGATAAAATCTATAGTTGAACAAAATTGTAGTAATGCTCGTTCAAAATGATCAAATAATGAACGTGTTAGAGTTTGTCGCGATGTTAGTGAGCAATGGGATGGTATTGTCGCCAAAATGTCTCTTTCTCGACCAGGTTGATCGCTTGTTGGTGATCCATTACAAATGCAATCAAGGCATTTAAATTGGCTTCCTTTGACTCGTTGTTCAATTCATAGGGATCCCGCAGTTCATCATTTACACTAAAAAAGGTCTGCAGAGAAACGTCTGATTTTTGACTTTTTGAAATATTGTGTTTTAGAAGGAAATGACGAAACAACGAACTTGTTTCAGTTTTGGCCAAAAATAATGTGGAGCATTGACTGTTCCGAGAAAGTATGCGATGAAGACACATGATAAGGAATTTATTGAAATCTTTCACCAATTTAAAATGATTCCAAATCCAATTTGCACAGGATTTTGCCTTTCGTTTACAATCAGTGGATGTCGTCATCATCCGACCAAAGAGAGCGATAGATTTTCATCTGTACCTAGAGACGAGTATGGGATTAAATCTGCAATGAGAGTAAAGTCAACCATGCTACAACTAAAAGTATCTGCATGAATAGGAGAATACATGTTAGAACATATTTAACCTTCAAAAAATAGACAAAATACATGGAGTAAAGCATAAACAAAGACTTTAGTAATCTAATTTTTTCTCGACAAGTCTTTTTTTGCACTTTTTCATTTGACATTGAGTTTCACAATCTCGATTCGTTGGCTCAATCATAGAGTTCGTGATTAGGTTTCGAAGTTGGAGATTTCGATAGAAGCATCCGAAACTCTTATGTGAACTGAACAGTTTGCGTTGACGAGATACCACCTATACCTGAAAAGATTCTTTTGTGCAAATTAATGCACGGATGATGGTAGCAGAAACTCGGGACTTCACAACTCATGTAATCAAACAGATCGTGAAACAAATGACTTCCTTCGTCGATGATTACTCATGACATCGAGGATTAAGATTTCATTGAAATCCTGAGCTACATTCGAAGTGCAATGCACATTAATCAAACGCATCGTTGTATCAAAGTGCGAAGAAAAAGTCATTCAATTTGGATCCGCTAGACATGATCAGAGTAGTTCATAGTTCATGAAATGTCACAATCTAGACCTGGGAATGATCTAAAAAAGTCAATTACAATGAGGATTCTCTCTAGACGACTATTGGAAGTATTCTGTATCGCATCGCAAGGCCACGGACGAGACATAGAGTGAAGAGTGTACACCAGCAGCCTAGATCGGTTAATTTTTTGCATCTGAACGATGAACAAATTTGAATTTCTGAACATTTGAATGAATTATATTCACTAAGTTCAAACCGATGTTAAGATAACTTACATGAATGACACTCAATGGATATAGAATACCACCACTGTTGGCGTATTGGCAATATCTACTCCTTTATCGAAGACTTGATAACACACCGTCAATCAATCCAGACTAAACGGGTCGAATCAAACGAGTCTGAACGACTAAACGAAGCAAATCAAACATATATGAACGACTAAACGAAGCGAATCAAACATATATGAACGATTAAACGAAGCGAATCAAACAAATATGAAAAACTAAACAAGTCAAATCAAACGGATTCGAACTATTAAACAAGTCAAATCAAACAGATTCGAACGATTAAACAAGTTAAATCAAACAAATTTGAAAGACTAATTGTGTCAAATCAAACGGATCTGAAGTACTAATTGTGTCAAATCAAACGGATCTGAACGACTAAACGGGTAGAATCAAACGGATCTGAAAGACCAAACGGATTAGATCAAACGGATCCGAAACACTGAACGGTCGAATCAAAAGGATATGAACAACTAAACCCCTCGAATCAAACAGATCTGAATGATTGAACGGATTAAACGGGTCAAATCAAATGGATCTGAATAAATTCAACATTTAAGATTCGAACTGGAACTTTTTTGAAATATGATGAAATAGGATCTGAAAAAAAAAATGATGATAGAGCTTCGAGTCGCAGAAATTGTATGGTGTTGTTGTTGTCGAACATCTTTCACAATTGGATGGGGATCAAGCGTTAAGCCCAAGGCATAGTAGAACAAAAATGAGATTAGTCGAGCGTAGATGAGACGATTACGCTCGAGGAGAACGCTAATTAATAGTTCTCGGACGGTACTCCACAATCGTGGAAAAACTCGTTGCCAATATCTTGAGCCAAGTCCGAACTTTTTTTTCTCACCGGTTAACCTGTCCTAGAGAAATCTGGAATCGACGGTCAACCGGTCTCGACGGTTAACTGTCAGTTCGGATCAGACCGTGGCCAAACCTATCTTGATCCTCAATACTCCAAAAAACTTGTAAAAATTGATTGGATGTATTAACTTGAAGTTCTGTATGTTATGTAAGCAATCTTAGCAAGGTCTAAGGGACTTGATGAGATCAATCATGAAAGTTTTGACTACTTTCTTACGTCATGAGTTTGGAAATTTGAAAAGAACATGATGTAGTTTTGAATTATCAAGATCGTTTGGAAGTTTTTTGGCAAACAAAACTATGTTGATCAAATAGTGGATGAACACAAGCAGCTTTTGATCTTTGGGTACCGTGAACATAGTCTTCGCCATGCATTAAATCTTCTGATTATGACAAATTTTATATGATTTTAGCATTAGGTATACTCCCGGGTTCTTTGGAGTATTAGCAAGTCCATTTCCAAACACTAACATAATTTTTCAATGCTGAAATGAAAAAAGTATCTTCACATATTAAAAAAACATCCATATTTTTTCAATTTGTACTCAAATTCAAACATGTCTGAAGAAAACAAGAGAGTTTTGTACTAAACTTCCTTTATTATGTTTTTGTTATGATTTGTTGAAATACTGAACATACATAAAGTTTGTAAGGATGTGTAAACCTACAACATTAATAAAGTTTGTAGATCACGATCTCATTCATTTAATATTCTATATTGCTCATGGCGATTTACGTGGGTGTTATTTTCGCTTTTGAATATGGATACATTTAAAGAAAATTCAGTTAATATAACACTTAGTAACGATGTACTATTGAAGCTAAAAAGATATATTATTATATAGACATTTAAGAAAATGTATGTTACATTATTTTTTTCATGACTTTGTATTTTGATCTTGATAAAAATTTAAATTTCAACATTATATTCAAAATTGCCATTATTAATTAATATCATGTCACTATTGTTATTATTAGACAGATTTACTGGTTAAAATCTAATGATTTTGAAATTGGACTCATTAATGAGAGTATGTCACTCATACGAGATTAAACTCTATATATAAAAGAAAAGCAAAATAACACAAGAGAAAGCAAGGAATGAATACTAAAGAGTTAGAACCTCATATGAAATCATTCACATGTATTCAAAAGAAGAGTAGACTTGATATCCACTATAGACAAACTAAACCAAGAGTGAAGACACAAGAATTATTTGAAAATGGATGAAGAAAGATTCATCTATTATCAATTTTAAGTTTATTCTTTGCCCATGTGCCATGAGCAAAGAATAATATCATCATCATGGGTACATATAATATTTATGAAAAGCAATGTTGGGTAGAATACATAACGTCAAAGTCTCGCAATCTCTTCGTTGTTGATTTTGGATTTACAATGAAATGTGAAAAAAAAACTTTCAAAATTGCTTGTGAGATCTCATAATAGCATATTACATTATTGCATTAAATTATTTTCAATTCTTTTCTAAATTACATCCCTTGATATGTGAATATTGCAAACATGTGTAATTTGTAAAGAATTCATTCATCATAGTTACTAGTAATACTTAAGAGTCTCGTTTGATATATGTATTTTTTGCCTAGATGTTATGATATCTAGGCATTATTATAACTAAAATTTGGTTTCATCCATATGACAATTCATGATATACTATGCAATTTTTTACTTACATTTTTAAAAATTATTTTCTCACATGAGCTAAACATTAGGACAATATGGCATAATGGATTTTGATGTATGATTTTTGGATCTATTTTGAGACTCATGTAACATCATTCTCATCTACTATTCAAATCCAGATTCCATTTCAGTTGTTGTATCACGATAATCTAACCGTCTAAATACCATTGCGCAAATGACCAATTTTCAAAAGATGTATGCATGATAGCCCTTAATATTCAACGACTACAAACTTTCAATGTAACTTTCTCAAAGAGAGTCCAAGTGGATAATTTGTATTTCAATTATCTATTATATTACCCAAAAATAACCTGAATCAAGAAACTAAAATATACTACTCTTGTAAATCAAATTGATTAATTTATACTACATCACTCACAATATACAAACCATCAACATCAAACGTTAATTCTGAACGTTTGAACAAGTTGCTTAACTTTGACATCACTATAGAATATAGAAAGTGAGCTTTCCTCTTAGGTTGTCACACCCTCAACACTTTTTCACTAAGGTTTAAAATTTCATACGTAGTTTCATATAATCTTTATACTAGAGTAAAAAAAGGTTGAACTATTGGTAAATTCATATACTTACATACATTGACACCACACTCTCATCGGCCATATATATAGTCTCTAAAATTCTGGCACTATAAAGATTGATAATCACCAAGTCTGCAATCGTAGATTGGTCTAGTTAAGACTAAAAAAATGAACGAAAAGTCAGAATGCACTAAACCATCAACCAACTTTTAGTCCAAATGAGTTATCCATTGTATAATTGAAATAATAGATTCTCAATCGAAATTTTAAACACCGTAATCCAAAACAACATCATGACTTATTATCCGTTACATTTGAAGTGATATAGAATTTTCCGTGGATTTATTGCAAATGCAATATATCAAATGCGCACACAAACCATTAGCATGTGCAAATTAATTGAAGTTATGTCATTTGTGCAAATGTATTACTTTGAAATGATTCTACGGCAAACCCTGATATATGAAAATGCATCTGAAGAGAGTAATTGGCTATGTTCATCTAGTACACATTTATGGCCTATCACTAAAATCACTAATTCTATGGTTTTGTGGAGCAATATAAAAGGATGATTGAACATTTCTCTTGACGCTGTTTCGGTTCAATATGGGGCGCGAAACAGAATATGGACTGTGCAGTACTGACGTCCGCCCTGTAGACTGGTTACGTGGTTCAGGCTATCACCATGGCGTACGCAGTGAATCTTGTCAAGAGTCATTAGGGTTTGTTCGCGGGGCTCTCTCGTTGCGTAACGACAGTTGAGATTGCTCCTGGAAGCAATAGGAAGAAGGTGAAGACGGCACATCGGAAGCGGGAAACACTTAAGTGTGTGAGAGGTCCCGAAGAGTTAAGAAATTGTGGTGCAAAGCACAGGAGTGGATCGATGGCGGAGGAAGTGGGAGAGTTCTATGTCCGATACTATGTCGGACACAAGGGCAAGTTCGGTCACGAGTTCTTGGAGTTCGAATTTAGACCCGATGGCAAGCTCCGGTACGCCAACAATTCTAACTACAAGAACGATACGATCATCCGGAAGGAGCTCTTTCTCTCGCACGCTGCCCTTCGAGAGTGCCGGCGGATCATAGCCGATAGTGAGGTTAGTGTCCACTGGCGACCAACTTCATTGCATTCAACGACTAATGCGGAATTATTTGACCCTGTTTCGAAGATTTCATGAAGGGAATAGCTTATGCCGTGGCCCGAATCTAAATCTGGTTCTGGGTACTAGGGTTAGTCTGAGTCTATTAGGGCACTGATTGCATCCCAGCCTTGGGCACTGTCGAAAACGATGTACATGCGTATATCGTTGGTGACTCACTTGCCAGTCAAGCTGCAGATTCAGACCTGGAAATCCCCGTCTGTATGTGGGACAATCGAAAAGAAATCCAGGGGAAAAGATCCTCTTGATTCAAACCGATTATTAATTTCCACAACTTCTGTAGAACTGCTTCCTGACCTATACTGTGAAATGTGCCTGAAAAGGCAGCCTATCTCCAGCAACTTTCAACGGCTAGAAAACTTCCTGCAATGCATCCATACCAAGATCCAGGTGGCGATTAGCATTCAACATTCTCCCAAGCATGGCATTATGTGTGGATTGGCCGACAGGTCACTCCTAAACAGTCGGAAAACCTAGTTCGTATTGCCGGACATCTACCTAACTGTCCTTCTCTCTGTCCCTTGTTGAAGCGTTCATCCTAGCTATACCCAGAGCTCGAGCATCAATCGAACATGTCATCATTAGCTTTCTCGTTTCAATGAGATGGTTTGTGACTTAGTTCGACAAGTGACGCGTCGCAATCAGCCAGCTCTGCCTCATATGCATTGATTGTGCGAAACTACGGCGCTACAAAACCATTATGCCTTAGGCAACCGCAACAGTAAATCAAGTTAGCAATTTCCGGGCTTAAGTCTGAAACTGGTGCACGCCTGTCAATGACATGTGTACGCGCGGTGAGTTGAATTATCAACTAGGCTGTTTAGAGTCGACACTTTAGATGCAATGAAGTACATTTTGCGGATCTGTCTTCCCCGAACATTGATGTAATCGGGCGGCGAGAAGAAAATTTAATGACTTATCACCTTTCCGGAACATTATGTAGATCATGAAGGAGGACGACAACAACTGGCCAGAGCCCGACAGAGTAGGGCGTCAGGAGCTGGAAATCGTTATGGGCAACGAGCACATCTCCTTCACTACTTCGAAGATCGGCTCACTTCTCGATGTACAGAGTAGCAAAGATCCGGAGGGCCTGAGAATTTTCTACTATCTTGTACAGGTACGTGCTTATGTATGACTTTTGCGTTCAGTATATGGGAATGGTAGAACTTTCGCTGCCCGTCAGATTTTTATTGGAGTTCTTTAGGTTTTAGACTCGGTTGTCATATCGGAGTCGTTCAAACGTAAGAGGCCCTTTTTTCCGCTCTGGCATGCCCTCTAATTGCTGTATCTGTGCGCAGGACTTGAAGTGCTTCGTGTTTTCTCTTATCGGGCTCCACTTTAAAATTAAGCCCATCTAAACATCAGCTGTTGCCCAGTTGCTTATGGGGTTAACAAGAGCACTGAGGTCGTTAGCCGTGTGAACCACCTTCCGTGGAATTCGTACGACTTCAGGTCGAAATTTTACCCACTGCGTGTATTTCGTGGGATATTCTGGATACTTTGTGAATTATGAACTTGGTTGTAGGTCCTGCTAGAACGACTTGTTAGACATTAGGCTTATGTAATATACTTGTGAAACCAAAGCTGGAAATTATAATTTCAACATTTTGCGTGCGATATCATATCAATATCGTCATCTCTGTCTGCATGTACTTGTGTGGATCATTGAAGAGGTCCTTTTCTTCTGGTATCAGTACGTAAGGCCTGTAGATGAGCATTTTTCAGTTGAGCGTAATAGCCAGGATCTGAACATGTAGAAGTGATGCAGGACTCTTGAGGACCCCAAAATTCGGGATGCCGGACTGCTTATATAGGATGACAGCTGGGTTGAGGGAAGTTCTGTAATAGTCTTGTTTGACAAGGAGGCGTTACATACTTGCGCTGCGTGAAGACATATCGAGCAGGCCAATGTACTTTGAACACAGTCTAAGTTGCAATCCTGGCCCTTTCTACTCCGAAATTCGCCAGATCTCAGTAGAGAAACGCACTCATCGATGGCTGTGGAGGAGGTGAAGAGCGTGCATAAGAGGGGTGAAAGTCTTCGTACAAGTTTTAGACATTTGCTCACGGAAATTCTGACATGAGCGGCTACGGCTCTTTCTGTCGATTGAAAATGAAGTTCGAGGCCAGCGCTCACTAGGAGTGAGTGATGAAGACAGGTCGTAATACGGCCTTTATAACCATCCAGCGTTCGTTAACCTTCAAATTGTGGATGTTGCGAAGGAAATTTGGTCGGATATTATATGATCGTTTCATTTCTATTCTATAAAGTACGACGTGGCTTAATTCCCAACAAGATCAATTTGTCTGTACGTGCCGAATGTTTGACAGATACAGGATTTTCAACAAATAAGTGCGAACGAAATAAGCAAAGTTGAAGTTTTCGTCCATTTTCGATTCTTCCTCCTGACTAAACGTTTCTACTACAGTCTGTAGCCCTCACAACTGTACACACCTACAGAAGCCACATCCCATAAACGGGAATGCGTCACCCGAGAAAACATTTTGAAAGGGGGATAACTAGTCGAAGCAGCAATGTGCCGAAATAGCGCAGGACTAATCCATCCGATTGGTCGAACGAGTTTGTAACTCCAACATGTACCTCATCCAAAGTCACGGTAGAAAATTGTGATACTCTTCCAAACTTTAAAACATATGCACCCAAGAGGCAATACCTCAATCTACTCTATCATGTAACCAATCTGAATAGCATTCGTAAGCATAGTCGATTATTGTAAACTGTCGACGACTACTAATTTCCCTCCTCAGCAATTACGATGTAGATATGCAAAATCAACCAAACACTTGTCACATGTACACAACATTTCCAAAGAAGTATGCATAATGATTATGCAATAGTGTGAAAAGATGTAACCTGGACTTGAACTGATTGTTTTTTTAATTTCTACAGGTTATAATTTATATCCTCAGATGTTAAATATATTAACATTTTACTTCAAGCATTAAATAAAACGTTCAATTTACGAATCAAATATCTAAATAAGATGTATTTTATTTCTAAACGAATGTTATCAACTAAATAAATATATTTATTTTCTTAAATCTTTTCGATTTCAATCAATATCAAAATATATGGTTCATATGTATATATTTGTTTTAAAGTTCCATGAATGTTTTTAGTATGATCTATCTCATTTCAGATATATAATATTTATTTTATTAAAACCTAAAATCTTATAGAAATTGATGTCATGGTATGTTTTGGTTCGACTTCAAGTTTGGTGGGAAGAAAAATTTCTTTATTTTGCTTCAATTGGGAGTAAAATTCGTTAATAAGATATATTATCTAAAATTAATTTTACATAAATTACACAAAGATGAAACCTGATATAAATATGTCTACTTTAATCGGAATAGAGAATTCAAAAAAAATGTAAGATGATTTTCATAGTATTTTGAACTTTTAGAATTATGATTGGCATTTAAGTTCGATGCGTACTATATAAAACTGTTTATTTTCATGAGATGAAACTTCATCTTGGAAAATATCAAGCATCTATTTTGTGCTGCATGTTATTCCAGAGAATATTTGTATTTGAGTGATGTGTCTTAAAATTGTTTTCTGTATCAAGTCGATGATCAACTTTTGTTTAAATCTAATTTCTCATATAATTTAGTATAAAAATTGTGCTCAGATCTATATTTACAATCTATAAAATAGTAGTATAGATGTATAACGTCGTCGAGTGATCTACAAAAATGTATGGAATATATGTACCATGTTTGGAGATTTATACTCTAAATGTTAGTCATCATGAAAATCCAGTTGATGGTTTTGAATTCAGATCAGAAAAGATTATTCATGTTTTTCTTTTGCCAAAAAAAGTGTGACATTAGGTGTGAGTAATATGATCTTCTTTTTAGTACCCAGTAAATTTAAAAGTTATAACTTTTAAATTATATCTGATATACATAGAAAATTGATAATATTTCATTGATAATCAAAAAAGAGAATTAACAAGAAACATAAGATTATTCTAACTAAACTTGGCCACAGTCTGGACCGAAGGTTAATTAGTTAATCGTCGGTCTCGTTTAACCGGTCTCAATTTCGTTGTCATCGGTTAGAGGTTTGGTTAACTTGTATCCATTTTGTCACCAATGTATACATTTCTTCATCCAATACTAATTTATCTATTCCATCATTCGAGACTTATTTATATTTCATAAATAGATTAGAGTGTTTTTTCGAGTGGGTACTACTAGTGAAGGATAACCATTGATTATCCTTCACGAGTACGAAGACATTATAGATGAGGGGATGAATCAAGATATATGAATATTCAACGCTAATATTTTGCTTCTCTGCAACGAGCTGTTCGCAGGCCCGTCAAGCCACCGCAAATCCCAATTCCCATCCATCTTTGACGTCGGTTGAACAGTCGGACAACAACAGCATGGCCGATTCCATTATCTCTATCTATTTGAAATCATACTTATCCATCCCGTAATACATAGGGAAAATTTGTCATTGTCTCTAGTAGAACGACGACATTCATTGGACGATAGCAAAAGGAAAAATCATATGCAAGTTGGGTTTGAAATCATTTCAAATTCGTCAAAGATTTCAATCAATCCAAGATTATTTGCTTGGATTCCACGGATTCTCAGAACATTAAGTATATTGCAGCATTCTTGACCAAGACTGGGACAAACAAATTGTCTCGTCATCTCCTTGTAAAACACAATATTTCAAAAGGTAAAGAATCAAGCAATATTCTTCTGACAATTTTTGGAGCAAATGGTAAACTTTAGGATCCATATGAGCTGGATGACGAGTCTTAAGAAACCATTCTGAATTTCCTAGTTGCATTTGTGTTGGATCACCAACAGGTGTTCAACCTGGTCGAGAACAAGGTTCAATTTCCATTATCAATTGCTATTGCAGCAGAATCAGACACGCTCATTATGTGATCATTTGTAACGATCACTGCTGACATTTTGTCCAATTATAGGTTCAATTGAATTATCAATTGCTCTCATTTTGGATTGTTGATATTGTGACGAATCTGAAATGATTTTAAACTTAATTTGCATAGGATTTTTCATATGCGTGATACATGGCTATATGGTGGCTTCCGTTCACTGGATTGATCAAGAGTGAAACTTCAATCTATTATGCTCGAGTTTTGCTACTTTTCATCTTCGTACAATCTGTACACTACGTTGGACTTGATTCTTTCTCTAGTGAAGTATTTCAATATGTCTATCAAATCAAGGTTGTTACATCCAATAGCGGCGAGCGATGCCACCCGCCATGACCATTGTGCGATGTAATCTAAATAAGAAATACTTCCTTTATTTGGAGGATGGTTTTCATATCTGATGTGTTTGTCACGTCATCAATCGTGTTGTATGTGATGCTACAGACATCATTCAAGAGTAAGTGCAAATGTTTAGTCAAATCCTCAAAGTTGTTTGTGTATGCGTTGCTATCCGCGTAAAGTTTTCAGAAGTGATTGTTGTGCTGGATGTTTTTAACGGCCGTGTTGAATTTCCAGGTCTAAAAATGATCATGCTCAACATGATCAACTAGTACTTTCAATATAGTGATGTATTTTTAATGCTCTGCAATTTCAAAAAATTGATTGTCCCATATGAATTGACGTGTTATCAAATCATGCAAAGACTTTTTGCAATCTACAACAATGCAATTGCAATGTCGTCGCAAGTGGACTTGTTTGACTATTTTTCTAGTCCCTGATCTACAAGCATCTTCTTACTCTGTGCAAAAAAAAAAACACCAATTTGGAAAATTAATTCATCACTTCAATCGTCAAAAAAAAATTTGCTGCCATGGAGCTCAAGTTGCTAAAATATAGTGCTAGTTTGAATGATCAAGCCACCAAAATTGCTTTGCTTCTTGATCCTCGATCCAGCAATGCGTACTCTGAAATGATGGTACTCAAAAAATTGATTAGATTCATTTTGACGATGGATTACGGCTTGTGGTTGGAGTGACTGCCACTTCCAACTTCCGGTGTATTGAATCTATTTGCTGGAGAGTGGAAGAATGGCATTGAAGTCGCTGCACACACTGACAATCACAATGACTTCTTCATGTTCAGAGAGAACATGAAAAAGTCATTCACGTGACGATACAAGAAAGTATCGTCACGTGTCCGACATACTGTTGTGACCAGCACACGTTGATGACTCATTGTTCTTTTGTGACATCTGAATCGGCGTTTTTGGAGAATCGTGGATTTGTTTGTCCATATAGATGTTAATTATCGGACAAAAAAAACAAAATTATGATGAAATTGAAAAGCTGAACCAAGCAAATCACAAAAATGATAAGACTTATATCTCCAAAAAATTTGAATGGATAGGTTAACATGTTAATTAATTGATTAATCTGATAGTCGCCAAGCCTAATTCTGAGTGGATATTGGACTTTTAAGACTATGATTGGCATTTAAGTTCGATGCCTTGGTTATAAAACTGCTTATTTTCATGAGATGAAATCTCATCTTGGAAAAGTTGTAATACATGAATTGACATGTCTGCAAAGAAATGAAAACATGCCATCCATGCTAATGTACCTACATTCAATACTTAATTTTATTGTTTGATGACATTTGAAAGATGTAAAAGCATGCATAATGTACTAAACCTTAAACCTATCCTGACGGAAAAGAGTATCCATCAAGACGACACGTTTCTTCATCATGTGAAGCAAACCTTAAATTGCACAAGACAACAAGCGGGACAGTGTTGTGAAAAATGGGACCTTGTACAAAGGGAATAACAAGGTACAGCCTTCTGAAAGTAAAGTCAGAACCCACAGTCCAGTCCCGATGCGTCATGAGCACGAAAGACGAATGAACGAAATGACTCCCGGGTACCAAGGGCCGTCTGTCTTCGCAGTCACATCACAACGTCCCTACTGTGCCGGTGCCAAATTGGGACATTGCTGAAGGCCAGGTCTTTCCGAAACGTGTACCCTCGAAAAGACAGGACAGCTCACGCACTGCGATGTAATAATGCTCGACGACGTCCGAGGCTCCGAGCAACATCATCAACCAAGACTAACATCGAGTGACGGAGGACGCTGCCGGACGACGACGGCGCCGTAAAGTGGCGTGAGTCACGCCAGTTTACGTCACGCCGCGTGACGTAAAATGGCCTCCATTCGACTGACGCGGAGTGCAGACGACACTTCCGTAAGTCGTGCGTACCCAGTCCAGTCCGAGCCCGGACCTTATTAGAGAAAATAGCGCAGTATCGTGCACACTTGTGTCACAGTAGCACTCAGAACCACGTAGTGCTGAGAACACTTGGTGGTCGTGGTAGATTACACCACGATGGGGCATGCGGCGAATGCGGTGAGGCGTGGAGGCTTGCAGATGAGGGACGAGGGGTCGCAGCAACCGCCGAGAGCAGCCTCGATGCTCAGTAAGTCAACTATCGTGCCACGATCGAATCGAGGGCCATTTTTCGAGCTCTTCTGTAGGAGCATTGGCGAGTTAGAAGGTGACCAATGGGCTCACATCGTCCACCTGTGTTTGAAATGTATTTTGCCCATTGCTGGGGCCGGAGTCCGAGCTCGGAAGCTCCCACCGTCGCCCACATGAAAAGCTCCAAATGTGTGTCCCGTTTGCTCAGAAACCTGGCTGTGTCGACTCCAGCGAAAGCAGCCATGTCCTAAGCTTGATGTGGAAGAAGCCGGCAGCAATGCAGTGATACTCCCTCCCTGAGATCGAGCTTGTCCAGCTGAGCTGTGACCGATGTCAAAGCACCGATGTTGCATTAGGAGGATAAAGAATGTGCACGCTTCATCTGAACAATTCCGGAAGGAGGGCGGCCATTGGTCTCGCGATAATTGGGAGGGGCTGAGTCCTAAACATCCGCCCGAGTGACTCCTTCTCCGGGTCTTGATGCCGAGCTGTATCGGAATGTGAACCAGCAATCTTGCATGGGCAGGAATATTGATACAGGTTCCTTTCATCTGATTAAACAACAGTCGAGCACAGACATCGTTTGCTTTTGGTGCTACCTTTTCGCATCCACCTTGGTGATTAAAGCTCTTCCGAGCATGGTGTCAAAGGCCTTCAAGGGCAGGGGCTTTCACTGGTACCTTTAAAATATTGGCAGTGCCGACGCATGACAGATGGACAGAAGTATCGGGTTTGGATGATGTTGTGAGATTAATATTCTTCAGTTCACGAGATTGGGAACGCCTTGCGCTGTGACGTAGCGTTGAGGAATACACTGGCTCATGCGAGGCTGCTAGGGGAAGAGAATCAACCAACAGAAGCGTTTTCATTCTCTCTCCTTTCCTTCTATCTGGCGATGTTGGCCACAACATTGTACAGTACGATAAGGGAGGAGACTTTGTCGGTGTTTGCGAATTTCTGCGGCCCGCTTGGAGCTCCAGTGATCGACGTCCAGATGCTGATGCGGAAGACGACTATTTCCAGCAGATGCCTCCGAGCTTCACAGGCATGCTTCGACTGAGCGAATAACAATTATCCGCACAACAACATTAATGGAATTGTCTGATCCCAAAGAATGTCATATCCGCCTGACTACAGACATGAGGTGAGAAGAGGGGAGCACCAGGTTACAATCAGTCGCAAAGATGAGAATGGAATCATACCCGCATCTGACGTCTGGCACACAAATGACCCAAAGTGTTCGAGAACAGGCTTCCCCCACAAGAGTGACGAGACCAGTGTATTAGTACACAGTACAGGGTTCATCATGTATTCACATGAAGGAATGGAGAGGAATACTGGGAGCTCAATCATTAGACGAGAGAAAATTCTCCAAGAGTTATCATGGATACGATGGTGGAAACTTTATCCCTGGCTCATAGTCCAACATTCTACACAACAATCTTTTGCACGGGGCCCCGTTACTCACGGTCCCAACTTTCTACGACGAGATCATTCTCCTTCTGGTTCGGTGTAGGTGGCGGTGACCGCAGTTACTAGCGGATCCGCCGATTTCATTGACTCCTGCGCTTTATCAAATGGTTATCCGGCAAAAAATACTGGACAGTAGTGGTGGTTAGATAACATCTGACACGATTGAATCAAACCTGTACCATCCACTGCATCTTTGAATACGATGGAATGGTCTCCCAAGAGGTAATTATCTCCTTCTTGCAGTCAGAAGCATGGTTGTGGTACAGTACTTGGATAGTTCACATTTTTTAAAAGATTGATCTCCACAGGCCTGAGCTTGTGGTGTATAAATCAGTCAGATCCAAAAAGGTTGCTCCCAGTGAGGATCGAACTCACGACCTTTCCCTTACGAAGGGAACGCACTACCACTATGCTATGGAAGCGAGAAACCTGGGGGTTCTTGTCAGGCTCAACGGACTTGGAACATATAAATGTTTGATTGACCTGAGACCACAAGGCTGGCTTCTGCATTTTGGTCTGAGGACGGAAGGAACCCAGAGGCTAACTGCAAGGCTTCTATGAAGGAGCACGTAAACTGGGAGTTGACGAAGTGTGATCAAACAAGAGTTTGAGAAGAGTCCTGCTCCAGTTCCGACACACAGATAACAAACAGTGCTGAATCCGAAAGTACAGGAAGATAATGCAACATCATCGGCAAGCCCTGCTTCAACCAAGCTGAGCGTGGTGGAAAAACAGCTACATTCTTCCTTGTTTTATACCAACCGATCTCCAAAGATAGAGAGAGACCTTTGGTAAAGAGGAATGAACAGGGCTGATGTGTCGCTCGTGAAAGATGCTGAGAAATGTCCGGGTTTGTTATCAAGGTTTCCACTCCCTGTAGTATGAAGAGTCAAGATCATGGCAGACGATCAAGATCACTTCCAACCCAGATCTTGTGCAATTCGACATGCAGTTGTCATTGGTGCATGACGGAGAAAGGTGTTGATACCCAGTCGTTTTTTTTTCGCTCCTGTTATCAGTTACTCCACTGCTAAAGTAATTCTCTATGCTTTGCAGCTGGGCGTCAAGGGCTAAACATCTTCGTTTGGCCCGCTTTCAAATCTAAAGAACAACCGACTCGGGCCATGGAGAGCCTCGAGAGGTAACTGATGACATGAGGTCCCAACTCAAAGCAATCAGAATGTGAGTTTCGTACCACGGGAGTGGAAGAGTTCTACCGAAACCTTGACGGATCGTACTCGTGGAACGACAGTGACAGCCAGAAATGAAAGGAAATTAACTGAATCACAATTACTACAATTCACGAGGTGGAAGAACCTGATGAAGACTGTGACGCTCCGATGCAGCCTAACAAGTGGATCGTCGTGACGTCTCGGTGAAGCGAACCCATCTGATTATCTTCAAGAGAAGGCAATTACGTTCAAACTGATACAGCCAAACAATCTATGTAGCAGCAGCGAGCGATGTGAATTTAGATATATTTTATGTACAGTGTGCAGGAGCAGATAAGGTTGCATAGCATTTCAAAGTGGCAGAAGCGATCAAAATCTTTTCGTTGTTATTGAGAAAAGAACGAATTGTACAATTAACCTAGAGGGAGTTGGCTATGTCGAGGGCTTGTTTGGTGTGAATTGCTGTTTGCATTAATCTTTCCAGCAGAGTTTTATCCTTCCTGGCCGCAGCGACGAGCTGCAGGTCCATGTCTATGAGCTTGACTACTCTAAGAATTTCGAACAAATATTGCTCGTCTACTCCGTCCACTCCGCGCAAGGCTTCTACTTCTTCACCCACCCTCTCGGTGACAGCACCACCGGCGGCAGCAATCATCCTCCCATCACCGCCGAACGGTCTCTCGAGAAGACTCATGAAGACAGTCAGCATATCCGCAATCTTCTCGCCCTTTCCCTTTTTCGCTCTCGGCGGATAAACCTTCGGAGCGTCGGTGGGCTCTTCCCAGAGGTCTTCGGTCGACTCGTCCGCCCCAACATCTTCGACAGCAACGCCACCAGTTTCGAAGGCAATTATAGCGTCTCGTTCTTCATCCGTCATGCCTCCAGTCTCCTCCTCATCCTCCTCCTCCTCGGCATCCTCGACGAATGCTGCGGAAAACTCAGCGAATGGATCCCTCTCGGCGCGGACTTTCACACTTCTCGACGACGTCTTGCCGGAACAGACGTGGAATCCACTGGCCAGTACAACAGCTGCTCGTGCTTGCGCTCCAATGCACAGAGCTCTGGCAGTCCGAGGTTTACTAAGAGAAGCCTTTCCATTGGAAAACTCACGTGATACTGAAGGCACAGCGCCTACTGTGCAGCACGAAGCTGCCATAGCTGGACGCTTCGAGCTGCTCGACCGATTCGAGCCGAGGGGACGTCCTCGAGAGCGATTATGAAGGTCGGGGTTTTGGGCTCTGTAAGACAACGAGAGGGGTTTCCAAATTTAGCACGCTTTTTGGACACTGGGATAAGGTCCCAAAATCGACTTGGCCGAGGAATGCCTCGTGACATTGGTTTCCACCAATCATCGTCGCGTTTGCTTTAGTCTTCTGATCGCAGGTTTAGCTGAGCTAGGCCCAAAGAGGCCGCTACACTGGCAAGACGATCATTCTACATACAGATTCTCGGGCATATTCGGGGTTTTGGCTTCCGGCACGCTTCTTCGCTTTGAGTGACCCTGCAGGTGTCGAGCTTAATTGCCTGAGTTTCAGACGATACACAGCTGGGTTTATGTGTGGTGGGTGTGCAATGATTCCTGTCACTTGGTTGTGTTGTGAGGTGACCTGTTTCCAGTTTCATAATTATGCACCTTCACGATTCTGGTAAGGACTATAGTGAGGGAATCCTTACGGTTCCTTTGTATCTGCATAAAATACACTACATTTTGACCTTCCTCTCCGAGGAGGCGTAGGTGTCATGTAGCTTTCCTTGCCAACCAGGACTTCGGGAGGTCGAACTGTTTAGTTATAATTCTCGGACAAGGATTGTTGCTACAGGGCAACAGCTGCCCATGCTGAGGAAGCTGTCCACGACCAGCCTGGATTTATTGAACTCAAGGCACTATGACATACTCCAAGATTCACGTTTTCTCCTACATAAGATAGTGTAAACCTACACACAGCCGGACCAGGACTTCGTTCTCTCAGTGAATAGCGCACTGCCCTGAGATCCAGGGAGTATCTGCCACTTGGAGAGTGACATCACAGCCTGTACGGACTGTCCAATCTGCAGAACAAACCTGCATTGTGGAGAAAAACTTGATGATTCATTTGAAATCGATGCTTGCGGTCAGAACAGAGGCTTGGTCACACAGATAGACGGTTGACCAGAAAAAGCGTGAAGACCCAACATCTTTCGAAAAAATGGCCAAAATCTGGATTATAGAAAATTATGCATAGCCACATCAACAGACTTGAAGGTGTGGCGGAGACAGGAATATGTACAAGCTTCTTACTTTGTCTGCAGCGCCTTGAAAGCGCTGGATATACAACTTCACACATTTTTTTAAAGGCACTGCGAGTAAGCGCGTTTCCTAATTCTAGACCTTCCATATCTAGAAACCTACATGTTAAACTTTTCTCTTTCTTTCTCTCTCAAGAACCGTGCAACGAAGAAGATATTGCATAGACCTTCTCTAATCTGCAAAATTGTGTTTCAACTAGCTAAAAACCCCACAGTCAGCCTTGATACTCCAACTACTATTGATCGTCGTGTCTACTTTCAGCAGCGCTGATCTCAGCGTCGATACTTGTAATGAGCGTTTGACTCACTCGCTTAGCTACAGAAATCATGTCCAACAACACACTCGGATCCAGCCCCGTCCCACCACGCTTTGTTAGTCCACATATTGAACCTTTCTTGTTGACTGCAACTGAGACTGCCGCAGTCATTTGTGATTCTTCTTCGGCCGTTGCATCGACAATGTAATGTTTACCCACCTGTTTCAGTCATATAAGAAGTTCAGATAGCTAAAATAACTGAACATATGTAAAGACTTTCCAACTGAACGACAGGTATTTGCCACAAAAATGCACCAACCTTGGTTAGTGTCACAATTACTGGAAAACGGGAGGTGTCCACTGGAGTAAACTCTTCCTCGTTTAGTTCAAAGTCGGCGTCATCCTCAGGATTGGTGCCACTTGTGATTTCAACCTTGGGAAGTCCACAGTTGCTCAGAGCAGCCTGCCATGAACATGCGCGTGAATCATAAGTACATGAAGTAGCAGTAGATGAGTCATACAACGGAAATGGCTCTAGAGTTGTTCAGAACTCATTTCCACAACAACATCCGTCTATATAACTAGGCAGATGATTTTTGCTCTCACAAAACCTACCTTCATTGCAATAGACAGAGCATCCAGTAAATTTCCATCTGAACTCAACACAAGTCCGTCAAAATACAGCATCCAGCATAATTTGCCTTCAAGAACAACTAATGACGCCAAATCAATCGCTGCACCTGCATTCACAGGAGAACAACGTAAACCAGATGAGTAACCGTACCACTCTGCCATGAATGATGAGCTAGCCAACAACTGCAACGAAGCACCGATTGCACCAACCAAATCGGAAAAATGTTCATGAAATGGATAGCGACTTGCACATTTAGCAGAGCATGTCTGCCTTCAGACTGAAGTTAGAAGCGTATGTTAAGAGTGGCATTAGGAGGTATCATATTCTATAATCCATCCCTGTAATAAAGTACTGCTTCTCATGAGCCAGTCCAACTAACCTGCTCCACTTGCACCGCCCAAAAAGCTCCTCTGCAATGCTCTGGATAAATCCATGGAAAGCTCTTCTCCTCCCCTACCCTGAGTTGAGCAAAATGAATCAGGTTACCACTAAAGACAGAAGACAACTGCAAAACAAAAATACTCCAAACTCTGCTCAAAAGGTTGCTCCGAAAGTTCTGCAACTAGAACACTAAGCATCGAGGATCCAAAGCCTCTTTAAAAGCCCCAACTTTCAATCAACCTCAAATTCGGGAGCTGCCGTGGGTGAGCATTCGACATTAATCTCCAATTTTCCATGATGAGGCCGACCAGGTGGTGGTGCACATAATTCAGCCTGCCAAGATTTAGCCTCAGAAAAGTCAGAAGTTGTAAAGTTGTAAAGCATGTATCTAACCCGAATGCTTGCAGTTGTAACGGAAGAAAAAATTGCAAGGTAGATTGACAGACACCTTCACACTCGCGATGACATCCGTGCCTCCGAGCCTTAACCTCGCGGACCCATTAGCCTACACACATGAGCAAATTAAACAATCAACTGATCGCACGCTTCGTCCTCCGTAAAGTTTTGGAAAGATCACAAGAAATTCAAACACGCCACTCATTTCTCGGCTGTAGAATACATTCAAGCTCGACGACCTTTAATTAGAAAACTGTTCCTAAACCCAAAACCCTTGGTCTAAACAAAAAGGCGATTGACGACCCTCCCATTGTCCAGAGTAATCGCATGGACGGGCATTTCATATGGAGACCCCTACCTCCACGAATCTTGTGCAGTGAAAGCTACTGAGATGACTGGGAAACTAGGAGACCTAAGCATAAACATAAGGAGATACGAACACTCTCTAACAAGGATTAAAATCTCTAGAAAAACCTGAGGAATAATCGACGTGTCAATGGAGAAATCCCGGAAGTGATGGCGGCCTCTGCCATCGCCTCGAAGGTCGACGGCAATGCCCCCAGCAATGTAACTCTTCTCCGCCGAGGATAATCCCAAGCCAACCACCATCGCTGAATTCCGTGTTCTGCTTCCTTGCTTCCTGCGCGCATAGTCTCTCGACTCTGCTCCTCATTGCAGGGCCTGCTGATGAATGTATCAAAATACGTCCGTCATGTCAGTCTCTTGCGTCCCACGACCGGAAACATACTTCCCGATCACATGCGGCTGGAAATGTACTGGCATCGGACGACTCCTGTCGCGGACCAATCTTACGACTACAACCGCGACGTAGTAACAGTTGGACCTATTTGTACTCGACGACTACAGTACGTACTGGAGCGTGCAGTACTCTGTACAGAGCGCAGGCGTCTTCCGCAATTTCAAATGAGCAAGACGCCGCAGTAACTTTGGTCTTCCCGCACCGCATAATGGATTGACTATTCAGGAATCTTGAGATTCGGAAGCCTCCTCTCACGGTGATCGTGCGATCCATGCATCTGCGGTGCCACAGTGTTCAGTATGCGGATGGAGATGTGATTCTGACGTGTCAAAAAAGAAGCGTACATGTCGTCAGGGTCGGCTGAGGATGTACCAGGTCAGATTGAGACCGGTAGCCCGTTCACAACTCCACATCGACTGCTTGCCTCCGGTGACCGGTCTGCGAGCTAACGCCCGTGCTGCTCCGTACCACAACCTCAGTCCGACAAAGTCACCAATCGGACGGAACGCGGTCGGATGGTTGTGCGAGTTCGTAGCCCACTTGTGACTGGCCTAGTTCGGACGGGCACCCACCTGCGAATGACTGCCTCGTGCGCGGGCTCAATCCTAAACAATAACGCGGAGTGCGCGACATACACGCGGTCGCACGGGACTCATGATTGGAAATTCGATTAATTCGCGAACCCAGCCGGCTACGCCCATCATGTTCGACCCACTTAGCAGGTCAAATCTCTCACTTGGTTGTTCACTTAACCACATTACGCACATTACGTCGTCCGACCCACTGGAGAGTGAACTCCGAACGTGAGATTAGGACCCCGTGCAGAACGACGGCCTCGTTCGATTCCGTTCGTGATGGGCAATGGTCTCTTCCCCTTCTTGAGACGTGGTCGAGACTAATCAGCTCTTGCTAATTTCTATCTGCTCTGTCATCAGTGACACGATTATATGAACAATCCACTTTAACTGTGTGTACATTTATCCTTCCGATCATAGAAATTGTCATAACACCAATGTTCACTAGTGCTGTGCCTTTATTTGACATTTTTATTACCTGTAAAAGTAGAAATTGTTAGTTCTAATATATTTTTTATGAACATTTTACATATTCACTGCAATTTTCTAAACTACTCTGAAAAGAAAAAATTGAGCCTTATTTTCATTTATGAAACATTACAATTTTGAGGATGGTGAAGAACTTCGAGAAATATCATAGACTATAAACCTTCACTTTTGCCAAACAAACTGTTCTAAGTATATTTCTATGTTTTTGTACTGAGCCTAAACTCCCTGACGCGCTCGTCCATTCTAATCCATCTCTTCTGTGAGGTTATATAAAAGTTAACATCTAGAATAAAGAGTACAACCTGAGCCTGTAGATGCCACCTTTTCATAATATGTAGCATACAAAGACATTTTCTCATGAAACTGTTCATTCATAATCACACTAGCATTTACTACTAGACACGTACCTGAAATGTTGTGGACTGCTCTGATTCCTGTCCACAATGATATTACACCGTGTCGTATTTTTATTTTTTATGAGATATTGTAAGTTACATGTCCTAAGTTGTCGACATCCACATTTATTTCTCCTACTTAGCACTGGGAGCACATTGTGGTGAAATGACCGGATAAGCAAAGCTCGGAATGCATTTCAGAGCTGCAGTAAATGGATTTTGAGCTAGACAAATGCATCAGCATCAATGCAATGGAAAAAATTCAACCTAGTGATGTCCCTGAAACAAACAAAGAGCTTTACAGATATCATGGTCAGATGCTAATCCGCGCACATTCTCTTACAAGGAGATCCTTAGATGAACATCAAATCCACTTTTAGATGAGTTTTGTTAGCATAGAGTGAGTAAATTTCAACCATCCATTTCTTCAAGTTTGCAGTGAATCGGCGAATACCGTTATTTAGGATGGGAATTATTATTGTTATTCAAAATCTATTATCTAAAAAAATTGAAAATTTCTTATTCGGAATTGCGTTTACTTCTGCAGCTTGCTTTGTCATGAACAAATATATTTATTTTCTTTAAAGCAAAATTTGCTCTCCTAACGAATTGAAGACGTGATGAGAAATCTAAGAGTTCGATTTTGAATGTGTATATATATGATTAAACCAATTTCATATCCATACACTTAATGCTTGATAATTGCATGAGAAACAAATTAGTACAAAATATGCTTTGGATAATAATAATATAAATTGTTATTCCAATATCACTGGTTTGAACATATTCACTGAATCTCCAAGATTTTCATTTCTCTGATGACATATTCCAATGATATTCATTTGAAACATGAAAAAGGGGTGAAAAAGTGAATATGAAATCACAAATTAATATTTGTAGATTATTCAGAGATGTTATCCAAATTAATAAATTTTTTATTTAAATATATAAAAAAATATAGGATCATAATTCCAAATTTTCAATAATTTTCTAATATTGAGTCTGTATTCTTCTCTAACAAAAAAAATTCATGAGAAAAAATCTATCTTGAAAGTTCATTGAGTTTTTCTAAGACATATAATATCTCAGCTCAAGAGCACTTCACTCCAAATCATTGTGTAATGTACACAATGATTTGGAGTGAAGTGCTCAAACTTGACTGTGTATAGTTCTTTCATTCATTTTTTAATACTGGATATACTCATACAACACCTAGAGGAAAGTCTACTTCATCGGTGGGTGGTTTACTTTTCATCAGTTGCCTTGACTTTTTATTATGCGAATTGTTATCATTGCTATTTGTCTTCCGATGTACAGTACTAAACGTTTAAATAATGGAAACGTCATTCCGTTAAGAAATCCTCATTTCCTCTGTATTTTTGTGTTCTTGTTTCTACTTGTTGCCAGCGAGGATTTTAATTGTTTATGGAATGACATACATGCATGTGATTACACAGTCTCTATGGCACAATGGACACGTTGTTCACCCACGTAGAATACATTTCTTGATAGTTATTTTGACTAAAACTTATAAAACTCATCCGGGAAAAAATTGAAATCAAGTAGACGGACATTCTCATATGTTGACTACATCATTTAAAACGTAGGATCACAATTGCAGAAGAGCCTCCAATTATTAAAAGCTCAATCTTAGGCAATAATGTTGCCCATCATGCTCGTTAGAATGTAGTCACTGCACACCATTCCCCACCAGCCATTTCAATCTACGTAGAGGAGTCTGATAAATATAAAAACCATCGTGACGGTGATAAGGGGCAATGAAAAAAGCACCTTCATGTGTGCACGCGGATGTTAATTGTTACGGCTGCATCCCATCCATGATTTATCTTTCGATTTTTTTGGACTCGAAGGGGATGATGGTACAGTATAAATACGAAGGAATGTGTGGATGCTACTTTTCGTGTGGAGGAAAGGAGAAAAGAGGTTACATTTATTTCTAAAGATACGTTAATTTTATAATAGAGGATGATTTGAAAAACGTGATTTGAACTTTTGCTCCGGTCCCACAGTCCCACTCACAAGGCGGGCCCAGAACATATTTGAAAGCTACGAGGATGTTTATTCGGCCTACAAACCAAACAAAAAAGTAGTCAGTTATAATATGATGCGGGCCCACGCTTATTTCCCGAAAAGTGGGAAGCATCAATTTCCCGTGGATTTTAAACGGCGATTTCCACCAAAGAGGAAGGCGAGGCCGAAAGGAGACGTTGAATATGGCAGAGCCTAGGTCCGGCCACGGGGGCAGAACATGGCAATGTCGGACGACACGTACGGAGTTCCGTTGACACGTCAGAATGACATCTCCTCGGAGCAACTGTCCCCATCGAGCTGCATGCGAAAATCGACGCAAACAGGTAGTGAACGAGCGACCGTCGATCCAACGATTTCGCCGCCGGAGTGGCGGGATGCTTGGGAATCTGAGGATTCCCTCCGCGAGTCAATCAATCATTCAATTCGAAAAGTCTACTATTACTGTACCGCGAGGCCGCGACGTCGCGCTCGTTCAGAACAGAGCAAGCCCCTGTACGATGCGACCCCGAGAAACCCAATTGCGTCTGCTCCTACGGCGCCGTATATGTCCTCGCAAGAAGCTCTCCTTCGTCCATTCGGTGCCAGATGCCGTACGCGCGACTCCGACTACGGTACGTACGAGGAGAGGTCCGCCGTGATGACTCCGCGGGTTCGGATGTGGTTGAGCGGCGGACTTCAAGGCGGGCAGCGGGGGACGCCTCTCGTCTCTTCTTCAAAAGAGACGCCTCTCGTCTCTTCGTCCGTCGATGGATCCGGCGGGAAGAGATCCGCTTTCGCGGCGAGACTTTCCGTCGACAGGCGTCCGGTGGTCGGCTTTCGAGGAGAGAGGGGGCGAACGGGAGTACCCGGTTCGGGAGGGCGGAGGACGAGCGCCATAAATCTCCCGCGACAAAACTGCCCAAAGAAAGCATGTAAGTCGTCTGGAGATGTGCCGTCGGACCTCGAACATTTGAAATGCCGGCTTGGTTTGGGTTACCGGAGAGCCCGAGCCAACAGTTATGGGCCGGTCAGCAGTGCACGTGTAGAATGGCGTTCAAATTGGTGAGGTGGGCCGATCTGCACTAGTCTACGGCGGTCGGGCGAGGTAACTGGATTCAGGCGGTGCGGCTCCGATCCGACGCAGCGCATGCCGCAAAAACAGAGTGGAGTGGAGTGGAATGGGGTGCCCAGACGTCCATGACGCGTAGGAGACGATCGTAGGAAGGGAAATTGGTGTTTACCGAGACGACCAAGCGACGACGGGGGTCGAGGAAAGGTCGAGGAGAGGGAAGGGGGTGGGGAGCAGGAGCAGCAGCAGGAGGAGGTGGAGGAGCTGTGGGAGGGAGGGACGACGAAGACGACGACGACGACGAAGAGGAGAGAGGAGGAGGAGGAGGTTGAAGGGGAGTAGGCAGAGGGAAGGGAAGGGGGGAGGGGAGGAAAAGAAGTGGGGAGAGGTGGAGGAAGAGACGAGGGGCAGCGTCGACAGGCAGGAGCGATGGAGGCCAGCCACGCTGCTGCGGTTGCCATCGCCAAGGAGAAGGAGATGAAGGAGCTGCTCAAGGAGAAAGAAAAAGAAAAGGAAAAGGAGAGGGAACGCGAGGGAGAAATGGAGGCTGCGTTGTACTCCAATTGCTTGCTTCTGGGGTTAGATGCAGCTGTTCTAGGGCACAATGTGGGAGCGAGAGTCGGGTTGTTTAAGCATTCCAATCCGCGCGTCGGTGAAGCGCTTCTGCATTTTCTTCTCTGTGCCCTGCGTGGTCCCTCGCTCAGTGCCAAGGTTGGTGGACTTTCTTTGCGTTTCTTTACGTGTGCCGTGCGCATTGTAAAAATCGTGACTTTCGCTGTGCCCTCGGGGTGACAGCGCGCGCTCCACAATTGAAGAGCTTTGTGAAATGCGACTGAGAGCGTTGGATCAGCGGATCAGGCAGCATTGTACGATGTTAAGCCTCACGGTCATGTCAAGATAGTGGAAGATCCGTTTCTTGTATCTTTGGACGGTTCCACACCCACGTTTTAGGTCTCGGGGACGTCGATTTATAACGGTCCTCTTGTAGCCTCGCACTCCTGGCCGGCAGGAGAACTGTCAACAAACTTCGGCTATTGTGCAGTAATTTTTTCTTGGACAAGAAGACTGTTCGAAGGTCCACCGAATCACCCATCTCAGCTGTTTCCTTTGAACACTGAGTAGTATTGGAGATCGAAGCATGTGCCAGTATATCCTAAAACTTATATGGGCGAATGGAAGTCCTCCTTCCTGTGACACACCTGCGCATTTTCAACGGCTTTGCTCCTCGACTACCTAACTCTTCCTAGCTATCCTGCTCCTCTGTGAACGGATAATGCTGAACCTTCAGAAGGTTTCCGAAGGAAATGTCAGAGTAACAAACTTAGCCTTTTTATAGCCTCTAAGACCGTGATGTCATTTGACATATATGGCTGTTTTACAGAACGTTACTCAGGAACATTTTTTGCCGTCCGCCATGCGTTCCTCATACGTACTGCTGCTGGTTAACTTGTTACAAGCTCTAAGCACTTGAGATCGCGAATGAGGATGTTGTAGAATTACTGACAGTTATTGAGAGCCGTGGACCTACGCAGATTGCATTTTTACCCGAAGTAGTGTCTGCAATTTCTATCACTACTGCACCTGAGTGCTGCAAATTGATATGCATTTGTAGTAGAATGACACCCGCGAGTAAGTCCTCCTTTTGGGCCGCCTTGAATCAGCTATCCCGTCCAACCTGGAAAGAGATCCTCTCAGGTCTTACACCACGTTAACTTTGAGTAATGCCAAGTGTACCTCATAATTTTTCAATTTTATCAAGCTGCGAGTAAGCTGGACTTGCAGTTTGGGTTTCTAACCCAGAGCAGCATGTTACCCGTAAGCCCATTATGCTCGTATTGCAAAACTTGCCTAATGCAAGGCTGTGGCCCCTTCTGTCAGACTCCTTAGGTCTGGCCGGCAGTGCATTCGATCTCCCTTGACCCTACTTTCTCAAGTCAGTGCACCAGACGAAGCTGGTAATGCATGCTTCGTCTTTGAAGAAACTGCAATCGAGCCAAATTCTGCCATCTCTGTTTGGGGCAACTGGATGCAGTTTACGATGAACGTTACGTGAAAACTTCGTAGAACGAACAATTGGCGTAGTCAACACTTTGCATTCCCTTTTAAGCCATTGGGGACAACGTCAGTACACTGAATTCTCTGTCCTTGGTCTGTCTTAAGTGGACAAGTGATAGTCTTTGAGACATCAGTAACCATCTGTTGTAAGGGATCATAATCGAAATGTTTACTTCGCAATCAAGTGTCCTCCTCCTGTATCAGACGACTTGTGAAGTAATCTGCTCTTTCAAAGCAGTAATCCTGAAGGGTCCCTTGTATCATTCTTCCCGCTCGTAAGGGGTACTTACCTTATGTGAAATAAGCGTGGGTACTAAGAAATACGTCTTGAAGCCATGTTTCACTCAAATAACCTACTTCCAGCATTACTTTAAACTGAGAAAGGATCGTTTGCGCGAAATCATTGCACTTGTACTCGGAAGTAGGTGCTTTGTGGTGGTGAAGTGTATCTTCGTCGGGATGGCCCTTGTTATGCAATATTTAACACCTACTTGTCTGATTCTGAGCAGGACTTTGCCGGTGTGTGGCCTATTTTTGATGCTGCCCAATCACGAGAATTTCGAAGAGTACGCCTCTTCAGCCTTCCACAAGTTACCCCGCCTAGTGGAATAAGTCCTTGTTGTCTTCTAAAGAAATGCATTCCATTGAAGTCACTCCAGCTGCAAGTGAGACAGTGCCAGTCACGTCTCTTAGTCGGAATTTGGCAATGGACTATGCACTTCGGAGGCTAAGTGCTTGTTTCGAACATTGTGGGCAGGTTTACGTTTCTGCGTCTGCAATGTGCAAGTTCTAGATTGTCGTTTAATTCTGATATATATCTGTATGCTCGTTGCAGATAGTGCAAAGCCTTATCAACGAGCTGGAGGCTCAAGGAGCCTTACCACGTAGCAATTCCCGTGTTTCCTCGCTTGCCACCTGCTGCGGACAAAGGTACATGTCAATTTTTTTTCTTTTTCTGCGTAACATTATGGAAAACTCCGTCGATTTGGAGGTTTCTTGTTTATTTCAGGAGCGTCCATTCCTGCGTTTTAGTTGTTGTAAAGATGATCAAATGCCAGTACCTGGCGTTTAAAAAGTTTAAAGTTTAAATGCGGTCGTCCTGAGGGTTTAGAGAGAGGTATTAGCCCTTGGATGCAAGTACCTTTACCCTTTTCTGAGTAAAGCATGGCATCTGCTCGCATTTAGTCAAGTCATGTTGACCTCTGGAAAAACAATCTTTGTTTGCCTGGCCTGCCACTGTATACTATTGCATATACGGAAGAAAGCCTCACTGTCAGAAAAATCCTTGATAGTAACATTCTCCGATTCTGTTTGAAGTCAGGATCCTTAAAATGTCTCCTCGTCGGTTGAAGACGTGAATAGGCTCCAATGTTGAGAGTGGAATTGCACTTGAAATTTTTGCAATGTCATCCGTATGTGTATGACAGTTTCACATTTCGAAACAGATGTATCATAACTGTTTTGTCTTGTTACTAGGGAGTGAATTATTGATGTGTTGCGCAACTTTGAAACGAGCTAGAGGTAGATACGATCTTTACGCTTTTGTATGTCAGCCAAGGCACCATATTTGTTTCTGCTGACTTTGATGACTCTGAATCTAATTCGATCTGTGACGGAATTCTTCCAGGTTTGTCGAATTGTTATGGCAGCTGTCTGCACATGCACTGCGAGAGGTTCATAAGCGTAGTTTCCCTACCGATGTTGCGGCAAATCCTCTTCCCGCATCTCTTACTGAAGTAGTTTCTCAAAATTCGCATGCAGCATCTCTTCTGCCCGTAACGAAGGTAAGGTGGTGACTCTTCCGGACAGAGTTCTCAATAACTATGAAGTTTTTGGTGCTTGGCCAGCCATGGGAGTTTTTGCATCATCACAACTTGTCTCTGTTGCAGTATGACCATAAAGAAGCTTTTGGCGAAAAGCGATGTTGATGTTCATTGCTGTTTATCTTGTCCATCTTAGGCCCGAATAGCTTTAGAGCGGAGACGTTTCTTGGAGGGAGCCACATCTGCTGTGCGAAGGCAGGCATTATGGTCAAACCTTGCCAATGATTTGACTGCAGAGTTTCGGGCTTTGTGCGCCGAAGAGGTACTTACCAGATCTCCACTTGATATAAAGATGGTGATTGACCTTCCTGGCACAGTTCATGTCTGATAGTGTTAAGGTGAAGTTTGTGAGAAAAGAGTTTTTTCAACGAGATTTAAAAAAAAAAAAGTTTGCCCGTGCTAGTCATGCAATAGAGCGTCTAGATCTTGGTGATGTTGTCTCGTTTAAGAATCGAATGCTGGCGCTTAAGAAATTTCTATTTCTTATTCAATCTCTCATACTTTTCCAGGCCTACTTGCATCAAGAATTAGACAAGATGCATGAGTTACAGGACTCAAAAGCAAGGATTTACGAAGGAGCTATGGCAGACGATGAGGCCTTGAGTGTGGAGACGGCCACTGAGCTTTGGGAATCTCTTCTTCAGCACACAGGTTCGGATGTACCTACATACGTGACGTACCCTTCGTATGCTAGTCATTAACTTGAATGAATAACATAACTGCAGTGGTCGTACACCAGAGCACTGGTCTCTGTAACGAAGGTTTGGTGCATTTCAATAGATTCTTCATATTTCTGGCAAATATTCAAATCTTGTTTCGATTTTTTCAGAACAACACGAGAAATTGGGATCTGGTCCAGTTGAAGACCTCATTGCTCATCGAGAGCACAGGTACATTTGGGTCCTTATTGTTCTAAACGTTCAAATTGCTAGACCATACATATGCTCGACCTCTCGACGTCTTGGGATATTTTAGTAAATACTTGGGTTGCTCTTGTGCAGATATCGTATCGATGGCTCTTCTTTGCGGACTGCCATTGATCGGGGCTCAACCGTTCTTCCCACTGAGGCGAATTCAGAGGACCTAAGTCTGAGAACTAGGCCTGAGGATGATGTCTTGCAAAGACCTAGTAGTAGGGACGGCAGTAGGTTAGATTCGTTTCCCACTTCTTCAGAGGGATACGCAGCCGAGGAAAGTCGAGGCCGAGGTGATGAAAGGTCTAGTAAAGCAATGGCGCAGCTTGATGTAGCCGAAATCCTTCGGCGCTGGACACACGCCTTGCATCGTCTACACAAACAAGCTCTCCGCCTGGTTAGCTTCTACATCTTCATTCAGTTTGTTGATATGCATTTACTGAGAGTGATAGTGATAACATTTTTGGAAACTGACGGTAACGGTAAAGGGATAGTTCGACGGGATGTGAACTGTAACATACTGGTCTTTCGTCCTTTTGGACCTCCGCTATCGAACTCAGACCTTCAGTAGAGTTCAAGAGTTCTGCATATTACAATAATAGGTGTATATCAATCAAGGCTGCTGTGATGTTTGCGTTTTGCAACATTTCTTATTGCATGTCAGATAAGTAATCTAACTGAGTTCAATCATTTGTCAACAGGCCAAGGCCAACGATGGTGCCGGTCCAGAACTTCTTAAAGACGCGATGGCTGTAGCAGAAAATGGACACTCACAGTCCCTGCATGCAACTTTAGCGGAGCACAAACAGCACTTGGCCAATATGCAGGTCTACAGATTGTTGGACAGATTCCGTATTAGTTTAGAAAAGAAGGCTATGGATCTTGCTTTTACTTAGTCTTATCGGTTTCCGTTATTGTGTCTTCAATGTGTCTGCCTAGAAAGGTCACTGAGCCTGCGAATTTGAAATGTCTAAGCGCAGGTTAGCTCTTGTGCGTATTGCGCGTCAGTTAGTCATATCCGGATCCTAACAAAACTTGGTGTTGATGTCTACTAGTAACGGGTCTGTTCACTCACAACATCACGTTCTTTGTTTAACCAGGCACTCGTTGGGCAGCTTAAGGACTCCATTCCTGGTATGGAAGCAGCAGTCGCTGCTCTTCGCGAACAAGTCAACAGTACCGATGCTGTCACAGCATGCATTGCTGCCCAGTCTTCTCTTTCTACATCTCCATTCCCTCCTGGGATGTCACATTCTCGAAAGGTATGAGGATTGATAAGTGTCCCGGGTACGTTTTGCGAAAGAGGTTTCAGGTTGTGAGATTTTTGCCTTTATTTTCAAATCAGCACACCTAAGAAATTTTAACTGACGGTACGTTCATATTTCTTCTACCAGGATGGTCAAGATTCTGATGATCTCAACCGAAGAGAAGCACCCCCGTTGGAGTTGGTTCCACCTAGTCCTGCATTAAAATTACCGCAGTTATTATCCACCTCACCTACATCTATGGACAAAGTGGCCCGACTACAAAAACGATTCAATCAGTTTGCCATGGTTCATCCACTGGAGGCTTTGCGTGAAGAGGATGTAATGATGGGAAGTTCTATCGCCGGAAGTTCTGTCACGGAAGATGGATCAGGTAAGGCGCTTGGGAGGTTGAAATACCTACTCGATGTGGCTTGTGTTGTACTTTCAGTTCGTAATATGTCCAATCGATGTCATGTTCCCATCGGATGTGATAACTTCAATACTTGCACTTCATCCTCGTCGGAGCTTTCAATCACCTGATACGTAAATGTGGAAATTTCAGATGCCGGAGATGAATCAATAATGTCTTTAAGACAGGCAGTACGCGAGGCTGCTCTTGCTCATTCTTTCCCGTCACAGGAGATCTCCATCGATAGATATGGACATCCTTCTACAGAGCACTACTTTACACCAATCGCTCAAAATAACAGCAATAGGATTTTTGAAGACAAGAAAGTCGATGTAGTTTTTGGCAAGCAAAGAAGACCTGTGAGTACTGTTCCAAGGACCATGAGTGTTCAGCCTAGCGTAGATATTTCATGGAAGGCGACGGAGGATCTGAAAAGAAGCATCAAGCCGGACTCGAACAAGGACAGCCTACTGCAGAAGATAGACCGGCCAGCCTCACCGCCTCTACTGATGGAGCTATCGACTTTTGACGATACCTACGATGATTTGCTGGGTACGTTATTTCTTATTCCTATCTTTGTTGTTGACGTTCAGTGATGTTTCTCTCTCATGGGTTCAGCTTGTGCCTGTTTATTCCTTATTCTTGGAGAAAGTAGTATGACTCGGATTGTAATCAGGAGGACTTTGGGAAGTGATCTTGCTAGCATGAGTACGAAGTCAGCTGGGGATTTGTACTAACTATTTGAAAACAATTGTTGTGGCCATTTACGCGGATCCGCGGTGAGTAGAATGTTCAAGCTTGTTAGAGACGTGGCATACGAATCAAAGTTAGAGGGAGGGATATTGATTCTAAACGTATGTGGAGGTCATTAGAAGTTGTAGAAAGTCTGGTATGGATAAGGTCGAGGAGTACCTGGTATTATTTCCGTCTCTGGTACCATGTATTGGTTTACCTATCTTTTAGTTATTGTTGTGGTGAACTCGATTTTGCTATTTATTGACCAAGTTCTTGATGCCGAATTTCATGAATGATTATGGATCATGATGATGAATCATCTACTTCGCACGGGCAGGACCAGTTGCATCACAACTTAGCTTCAATCACCATAGGTATTAACGAGCTTCGTTTGTGTTATGCAGCACCCATGTCGGAGTTAGATATGCTGCACTAGTCGACGATTGAAGCTTCATATTCACAAACAAAGGTTCACAATGTGAAACATTATCTCCTTGGCTACCATCCACCATCACTGCAGCACGCGAGGGGCATGGTTTATACAAGCAAACCTATCCGACCTGGAATGCATGTTACTCAAGAAAGCACTCGTCCAACTACCCAGTTGGGTTTGCGAACGATGTCTGCAATGGACAGACATGTGAGAGCTTTCTAAAAGAAGTTATCAGGCCAATTCAAACGATCAGAAAAGGCTTCAGTTCTTACAGCCCATAGGGAGCACATCAAGACATTTGAAGGTACTGGATGCAGTGATAGAGCATGTGAACCCACAGACAAACGAGATGGACGTTTGGAGATAACTCATTTATGACGATGGCCGTCCCTTCCATTGATGCTGGTTTTGTGGTGGAATTGGGCTGCTGGGAACAGGGATGCGTTCGTGACTGGGAACAAGCAATGGGAGTGATGTGAAGTGCTAGGTGCAGTTGTGCACTTATCATTGGATCTGGTTTGGCACACGTGATCCAAGGTTGCAGAAAGGGTTCTACCCTTAAGATTCGCACACTTTTGGGGTCTAACGAAGACAAAGGTTCGCCGTCCATACATCTCCATTCCTAGCAGGGAGCTCATCTCTATTTTTTTCCGGATTTGAGCTACTTCTGTAAAGTGACAAGGATTTGACGATTTTGTACTATACGGTGTTCCTGTTCGCGTCTTATGCCTATCACGTGCAATGGTCTCTGGTGGGACCTTGAGTGCAAGGGCTGGCACTGCTCCGAGATCAGCTTCATAAAGTGCAGCCCTTCTGTTGTGCCATGATTTAAGAAACAGAACGAAGTCATCAAAAAAGAAACTGATGGCGGATTTCTTTGATGGTAGTTGTTCTTTACGGTAAGCCAGTTTTAGGAATGTATTATGTACAGTAAGTTCAATACTGCAGAGTGTCATGCTATTGATACATTTGTACAATAAGCCCATTTATTATTATGGGTCTTCGATTTTCAATTTAAAACTCAAGCAAAGCACTGTTTTGTGGTGAAAGTAAGCGGAGTCTTTTCATAGCACTGCTTTTTGCATTAGGAGCTGATCATTATGATTAAAAGTCGTAAAGGGTTTTGTAATGTGTGCAGTTTACGATACTCTGTGTCGTATACGCTCGTGTCAATGGGCAGGAAGCTTCTAACATTTTGTTTAAGTCTCTTTCTGAACAGCAGTGGAGGACAAAGGGAGGTCCCCTGCGAATTCTGAAGTATTGAGTGGCACTAGTCGATAATTTCTTCCAGTGTTCTAGTATATGTTATGGACGAGTTAACACTTCATATTTTTTAAAGTAGGGATAGTTTCTATGACTTGTGCATAAAGTAGGAGGATGTACAGATTTTCTCGGTCCATCATTCAACTTTCTTTTGAAAGACTGCTTGCTTGAAGAGCAATTTCTTGTTAGATTCCTCAATATTGGGAACTTGTCTTTCATGCATGCATTGTTCCCTCTCGCCTGATGGTAAAAGGTGGTCTGCTATTCTCAGCAGGATATTGAAGAATTTTACATACCCAATATGGTATTTGTTATATTATGCCTAGACGGGAGTACACACAATTGGCAAAGTTTGAAGAAACAAGTGAGCCGATGTGTATGTTGTAAAAGTGGGATGCCTTTCCATGGGGGAGGATCCTAAACCATGGTCTCCGCGCGCATTGAACGGAAATTGCATGTTCTAAGGGTCAGATCGTCTTTTTGATAAGAAAGAAAGGTGGTCATTGGTCATCTGCATATACTTAACTTAATCGAAGATTTCAAGGTTGTCTTGTGCATCCTTTAGGGAAAACCTACTGCTTTGTATGATTTACAGCAGTTCAGTCTGATGAGCTATCACCCAGCATCCTTTAAAGAGCTTTGCAATAACAGAACATAATGCCGCCGTTTAACTGTGGTAACAAGGCACTTTGTTTGAACTAGCTACATCCGAGTTAGATCCGAACACGTAAAACATACAGTTCTAATTGAATGGATAGAGGATACACAGGCTATAGATACGAATCTCCCCTCGCAAAAATATCCCACTTTTCCTACACGTCTAAGCATGGTAAAAAAATTACCGTATCGGATATTGGTAGAAACTCATCTGTGTAAGGCAATGCACACGAAGCTTGTTCAGACCTTTACTACAGAAATTTATGAGTTTTGTCATGTTCTTCCATTTCGAGTGTTGTGGTTTCCTTTTCCAGCCCGAAAGGTTCGCAAGAACATGTTCCCAGACTTCTCCTTTGTTGTCACTGGTCGATGAGGAGTCGCCCCGATCCTGAGATGTTGTCTTGTCTTATCTGCACCCAGACAAATTGTGTATACTTTCTACTGTACCGATCACTGGCTGCCTCTGCCATCTTATCGCCTCCGGACCCAAACTTCAGTTCATTTACGTGTCTGCAGCTGATGTTAAAGTGTTTCCAAAATAAAGAAATATAAATATTGCTATATTACAATTTCTGTTGAAATGATTTCTAGTCCATGTTTCTGAAAAAGATCCAGGAAGATAGAAAAAAGGATGAGAAGGCCCCGTCAACGAAACAAAGGGACTAGCCGTAAGAACGTCACAATGGGAGACAAGTTAATCTCCAATTTAGTGATCACTACGAAACGACATGATCTGTTTGTATTGGAACATTGAACAATCATCATCTAACGTGGAAGATATCGTTAAATTGCAAAACCCTTCTCGATGCAACGACGCTTACTGTCAAATATATATCATAGAGTATGATATAGATTTTTATGTACTATAGTAATAGTACGGGAAGAGACTAAAAACGAAAATAGCACTTGAGAAGAGAAGTCTAGTCTCATGCTCTCTCAAAAATTTGTTGTCAAAATCAACATCTGTAGTTTTTATATAACTCCAACGACATAATCCGTATGTTATTCAAACCATTCGATACACAAAGGGTTGCAGTATCTATACATAATCAAACACTTGAATAGCTTGAAAGTTCTGAATACCTGGATGGACAATCCAGTTCTGCCTCAAGATGTGAAAGAAATCAGTGGAAAAACTTACTTCTCATGTATAAGAGAAATATCCATGATTCAATAAAAAGAAGGCTTTGTGTATAATGGAGTTTATTATTGAAGAGATAATCAACATCGAAGTCTCTGGAAAATGATATCATTGTATAGTGGACTTTTACCACTTGCAATATTCTCAAATAATGGATGAGAGGAAAAGTAAAAAGTATATATCTATTCTCACAAAGTTGAATTTTTTTTTCTATAGAATATACTCAAGCCTTATCATAGTGAAGAAATGTACATACAACATTAAGTGAAATCAAATTTACAATAAGGAGAGTGAAGTTACCGATGATAGTACACGCTGTATGTTATCCCAATCCCAATTGCACAATACATAACTTAGAAATGAAAACTATCAAAACTCTCATATAGAAGAAAAACACAACTCTAAAGAAAAAGTAATCTTTTAAGGAATAACCTGAAAGCAAGCAAACATTCTGAGAAAAAAACTGAAACCAACGCTACGTTGGCTTTGAGAAATTCACAGGGGCCAAGTGGGTTTGAAAAAGAGAGTCTCCATCAGAAGCCCTAGTTTTCAGAACAAATCAAGAGACGAGTCCAGAGAGAGAACTCACCATCGAATAAGTCGTCTGCAAGAACTTCGTACTCCCAGTGCCCTGCCACCATTCTCGGCGTGGTAGCCGCGTGAGGGCCGGCCAACAGAGTAGCCCATGGACGCGGTAGACCCGTTGTCATGGTTCCGATCGAAACCACGTGCTCTTGATGACGACGGGAAAATTGACTGCGTCGAGACAGTGACTGCGGCAGAATTGTTCGTAGGGGCCGAGAAAGGCTGGCCACGTGAAGAGTCGCGCAACAGGCTTTCCAATTCATGCACCCGACAATTCGGGCTGCAGCACAATTCTGTGGACTCTGTATGCTGCGCTAGCTAGCTCTCGGCATTTGTCATTTTGGGCTTTTTTAATCACGATCATGGGCCTCTCCCCGTGCCTACGCTTTGCACAGGCCGATCTAGCGTCCTGTACAATCGAGCTTCTTACCTCTTCGAGCCCGATGTTACCATCGCTGCATCCATCTCCAAATTGTGGGGCTCCCCGTGCTTTTGGTTGTTTTACTTTCCGCTTCTAGCTCTTCTCGTGTCTGACCGTGTCTCGTAATTATTGAAGATGAAGTGTTCTTTAAGCAGGATACCTTCGTCACAGTTTCTGTCTGAGCTTCTGTGAGGTGACGCATGTCGCTGTCAACGACGAGGACAAAGACCTTCGAGTGCAGCGGGTGAGTCAATTGTTCTCTTGTGCTTCAAAAAAGCTGGCATCTCTTCGTGGAGCAATGGCATCGCAAAGTTCTGCGAATCGAAGAAGGTAGATAAAACTTTGTCGACTCCTTGGTTTCTTTCTTGTACGTCGAAGATGAGTTATCTTCTCCTTTGCAGGATACTGCAATCTTCTGTGTCCTGGAAAATTTGGAACTACGATTTTGTGGACCACGAAGAGGTTCAGACTCCTCGAAACTTGTATGGAAGGATAGACAGTGTAGTGTGCACAGACAAAAACCTTTTCATTTGCGACGACACAAGGGAAGAAGATGACAACTGTCATGATTGCTGCTAAATCTTGCACTAGTACAATCCAATCGCCGTTATTGTAGATAAAGTTTCAGAGCCTTACTCCCATTATATATATACAAAAACATTACTCATATCGTTTTCTTAATAAAGGCCTACCACCTTATCCTCAGGATGAGGAGAAGTTTCCTTGCATCTACAGCTTCCGTAAACTGAAGTGAGAATGACCAGAGCAAATGTAAGATAGAAGTGAGATAGACTGCACGTCCCCGAGGACTTCAAAGGGAGAGACTGTGCAAGCGCACAGCTGTGCTCTACTCTACGTTGTGAACAATTGCCTAAACTTTCTCGTTTCGTGGTACTGTAGTGGGAGAATGGCTGGTAAAGAATTTTAAGTGTTACATCCTTCCCCATGGCTATGTCAATTCCAAGCGCCAGAGTTGATAAGCTGCGTTGAAAGGTATCAATCCTAAACAAAAACTTTTTACAGTCCACTGCTGCTGGTAATGTTCGAAGATCAGGTCGCCATAATTTGCACACCTCGGAGTCGATTCCTCAGATCTCCATCGGCATATCCGCTCAACTTCACTCATTGGTACGACCGTGCCCACTGGTATGGTCCACCTTCTTGTCCGGATTGAAGGTCAGACGACCAAATGCTTTTCACAAACGGATTCACGTGGCGAAACAGGTGCAGAGCGAAGAAGGAGGCCACTGGCTTCCAAGCAGTCAACTGCGTCGAGAAACTGCATGGACTGCATGGACTGCATGGTTCATGTTCGACATTCCTAGTCGCTAAAACTGCACCAGTATATATTACATTCTCTCTGATTCCTTTGCTTCAGTTCACGATGGGTCCAAGCTATGAGTTCTCTCTTGTGCGTAATTTTAACTCACTTGGGATTAATTTCAGCCGCTAGGAAGTTTTCCTTAAATGGCCTGTTGTGGCCATCGCCTCAGTATCCAAGAGGGGTTGTAAAAGTATATTCATGCAAAGCGTTGAGTTTTGACATCTGTGTTTCAGCAAAGGTCAATGCAGAATGCAGACATTTCATACCTCGTTCTGAAGGGCGTTGTGGAGCTCCACTTTCAGATATGAGGGTGACTTGCTTGCTCTATTCACACCTTCGAGCTACTCTGCCCTGGCTTTTGCTTATGTCTATCCCAATAATAAACAGGCAGCAAAAAAGCTTGAAAAATATGTATATTTATATTCTCTTCTTTTGTTTAAGCCAAAGAAGGGCCGAAGGCCGGAGATAGTGAATCCTCGTGGGTCGGTTGCAGGGTGACATTTTCAATCTAGTTTCTTTCTTACGATAACTGCTCCTTTAGACATTACTTTTCATATTTCCATTTGAGCTTTATTCTGATTCAGGAGAACATATATGGTTGATTTAAATAAAGGAAATTTAACTTTTCCTGGAGAGGTATAGAAATAAAGTAAGAATATTACACTTTGAGGGATTCAAGATATTTTGTAAGCTAGGTTTTAATATGCAAGCGCGAAAAGACACCATCATGGCTTTACAACGAAGAAAACATGCTGTACAAGATTACAATGTCATCACAGTAAGAATTCTGTACTACAACACATATAAAATCCACGTTCAAAGTAGAACTTTCCACTTAAAAAAACATCCAACACTGCATGACATAAAATAACTCCTTATGTAGATCACAACTTAGTGTTTCTTGGAAAACAATAATTACAAGTTGTCTAAAATAGACTATAATATTCGCTAAAAAACTGAAATAATTTTTTTTGTGTCTGATAAGACCTTAGTCACTCTTTTCAAACATGTTGCAAAATCATCAAAATTTCCAAGTGAGCTTCTTTAACCCCATATAACTGCAATGCTATGGGGAATGATCTGTTGATGGATCTGCATAATTATATATTTGGAATGATTGATTATGGTCATTTATTTGTGATCGATCTAGGATTGTGTTATTTATATGTGATGGGTATGGATCACCATCACATATGTTACTTTCATTCCATCATCTCCAATCAATTATAGCTCTGATATTCTTAAGATAATTGCAAGATATATCATCGCAAGAGACATCATGTGAAATAGCCACATTACAGGCCATTGCAAGCTGAATATTTTAAATGAAATTGTGGATAGTTATGCTCTACTATGTGAAAGAGTATCAAGCCACATGCATAAATGTTACATCTAAACTAGAGGCACACAGAAACAACAAAGATTAACATGGATGAAGAAGGTAATTTTTTCACAAATTAGAAAGCGCTAGTGGAGGATCAAGCCAATATTGACAAACTCACATAAATCTTGTTGAAAATGACATATGTTGCTATTTTTCAAAGCAAGAACAGAATTAACTTTTCTGAATTAAGCATAAAAAGGGAACTCTTATAATGCAAGATACAACAGTAGTTTATAGATCATAAAGTAGACTTCTAATAAGTGGAAAAATCGATAAGGTAGAAACTCATGTCTTGACTTTGTATTTGAATAGTATTTTATATTCCTGCGTTCGAGTCCCTCACATACATATCAATAACGAGTAGAAGCAAAAAAAATTTGGTCTGAAATAAGCTACATTAACAGTAAAACCATCTTCCATACTTGACAAAGATGAAATTTTCTCATGTTAAAATATATGATATATATGGATTCTATTTTCCACCAAAGACATCCATAATCCGCACATCAACATCATTCGAGTGTGATTAAAGTTAAAGGTGCAAAGTAGACCTGAAAAATATGCATTATGTTTGTTGACTATCTTAAACAGATTTGTAGCAATGCCTCAAATTGTCTCAAGGGTGACAAGAATACATTTGTAGATGAATGTTTATATTCATTGGCAATCTTAGACAAATTTATAGCAAATTAACAACTTCGAGTGCGATTGAAATAGAGGTGAGAAACAGCCGTGAAAATGTTAATTGACATCTTTAGACAAGTTTTTCAGCAAAATTCAAAAGAGTATTATCTAGTGAGGTTACGAATGTGTTGCATTATAAGATACGAGTAATATCACCAATCATACCAATCATAAGTATTAACTAATGCTAGGGAGTATTTTGCTACGAACATTTTTAGATTTTCCATGCTCCTTGGTGTGTGTTACCTTGTGAAGAACACACAAACGACCCCGACATTTTTAATAAGGTTAACAAGAACAAGGGTGTATGATGATTCCGAGAAGGTGCCGACGTGGAGGGAGAGTCGTGGAGTCAAGGCAATGCCTTGACTCCACTCCAGTCGTAGGTACGCTGTCCTCACCACGTGTCACGGGCGGCTTGGAGGGTCACCGGCCAGGCCGGTTTGTGTGTGCGGCCCTTTTGGTCAGCGTCTCGAACACATGCAGTCTCTCTTGAAATAGAAGGTGCCGGTTCCCTCAGGGCACCCGTTCCTAAATCTTCACCTTCCCGGACCTTTTGGTGTTGACCGGACTAGCACCTGTTTCTTACTTGTCTCCATCTCATCTAAATACCACCCTAATCTTGATTACTGTAAATAATGTCGACGTCACATAATATCACATTGAAGGATTTTTTTGGGACTTTCGACCTAGTATCTAGGGTTGGTTTTGACGTAACAGGCTTTCCACACTAAATTTTGTATTCTTATTCACTAAAATTAGGCACGATCACAAGATCAATCTCGTTTTATCCGAATGCATATATATTATATTATAATATATATTATTTTCAAATTACGTTTGAATTTATTTCAGCTTTTGGTGGGCATATATACACTATACACCTTATATTGCACCGTCATGAGATTTAAATTATTCATTTTATTTTCACATATCTGGGAGGTGACTACGGAGGTGTCGGTTTTGTGACTTTGAACTTGTGTTAGCCATTTTTTTAAGCTTAAAAATACGGAATTTTACACACAAGTGAATTCATGTAAAATTATAGTGGGAAGCCTATGACCCTCAGTTTCTCTCCAGTTCACAGGAAGTATCACATAAAACACTCGCACGTTATTCTGTATAGGGATGTAGAGTTCAAGTGAAGAGTTTAAAATGTTCACCACAAACTAACATTGGTTTGTACTATCATACCTCCAGAAAGGTGTGTCTCAATTGGGCACGGTTCCACTCTTCCTGAAAAGGGAGGCCACGGAGTACCCTGCCACCTGCTACTTTTACTGTACTCGCATCTCCATGTCCCATGTAGCAGAAATTCCAGTTGGAATTATAACGCGATTTGTTGACAAATTGTTATCGTTGTACATGGGTCAGTGAAAAGGGTTCGCATATACTGAGAATGTAATAAAACATTAATCTATTGGCGATAATGGTTGGCGAAATTAAATTGGCGAGTCTCGTGCTTCGAGAATCCTGATTTGGGTGACTGACTCCCTCGGTCGCTCCCAACTCAGCGATTGATCGTACTTGTAATCGGGATTCCACAGATAACCACGTAACGAGGTGAAGAGTACTGCAGTGCCGATTGAGATGGTGGCATATATTTGGGCATATATAGTTCGAGGATCGGTCCAGGACTCAGCCTGAAAATCCACATGGCACGTTGCTCTCGAGTCGTCGTGAAATCGGCCCAGGGGGTGTCAGAATTTAGTGCAGGGCTGGCGGATAGGGTAAAGGGATCGACATCTCGTGTAGGCGGCAATTGAGTTTCTTTCCTTCTTGCGTCTGGTGTATGCCAGGACCGTACGGCCGGGGCAGGTCATGACTTCATCTGACGACTTCTGCTACGGACACTTCGCCTGCTCCGGTTCTGAATTTCTTCCCCTTGACCCCACGATCGCCGTTTCACTCGACGACCCTTGTGACATCACGCCGTTCAGCAAATGATCCCATTTTGACAATACTCGATCTCCGTTATCGCTATCAAAATTCTGGGCAAGACCGAATCCTCGAATAAAAATTGATCCCAGGTGTTTGTTGTGTCACACGATAAGTGAATCACAAGCAATGTTCTTCTACCTCGTCCTGCATTTCTGCATAAATCTTCTTCTCGTATTTACGTGACAGTCTGGTGTGCTCTGCACGGATAGTGTCAAAGCATCTCTTCCCGATTGGAGGGATATCATAATACTGTATTGTTGAATCGGCGCGGAGAGGAAGGTCTCAGTCAGAGGTGGCCTGAGCTGGAAACCAACCGAATTCCTTCAACGAGGACTTCCTTTTCTTCTTCCCTTTGCTTTCATCAATTGACCCGATCCGTACCTCTGACGGACGTGCGACTAAAGCATTGCAATTCTATTGCAGTATTTTCCATCTCAGAACACTGTACTCATACAAATACTAATGTACATAATATACATACGAATATACAGTATTTCCACCTGGACCGAGGAACATGAGAACCGAGAACGCACCAAACAATCATGACAGGAAGAAAGGAGCTGTGCTACGGGCTGCAAAGTGGGCTGACTGTGGTAGGGAGCCTCGCGGATGTACCTTTCGGGCATAGGCCGACCACGGCAGTCAGTAAAGGGAAGTGAGTGGTGAGTGGTGGGGAGAGTCGGGTGGGACCCACAAGGAATGTCAGACACACACAAAGTGGAGTGACTGACTTTCCTTCTGTTACGAGGCCTTGACTCGATGCCAGCTGCCAGGAGCCTCGACCAGGGTTAGAATGCGCTCGATCTACGGACCCTGGCTCGAGTGCCAGCGCGGTGGCCCTTATAATACATGTGCAGGGCTTGTCTTCTGGTGCCCCAGGAATTCGGCCCTCGATCCTTCGGAGCGAGAAAATCGACCCCTGCCTGCGCTTATGGATGTGCATTGTGGCTCATTCGTGTCATTGACTTGCGTTTTCTTGCAGTCTTGACAGACATCCATCGAGCACTTGCCGTCCAGTCAGATTCCGGACTGCCGGTCAGGTTCCGGTCAGATCGATGTCCTATTGACTGGAAGCTTGAGATCCGTTGCTGTTCCTGTGAAGGATGATGAACTGAACTGAATGTCTAGTCCCCACGGAATAAGTAGAATTGTGTGTGGGAATTGTGGTTTGTATGGTATGTGGAAAATGAGCCACTATCACCTTCGCCTTTAATGTCTATAATGTTCCATTCTCTCGTCTGAATATGTTTTTAGGTTCCTGTTTGGTCATAACAAGGATCGGGTGACTCCATTTTGAACCCATGCATATACACGTATATTAACCATTGAACTGGAGTGTTTGGTATCGGGAAATATGATCTTATATCGTGAGGAGTGCACGTGAAAGTCATAACCATTCGAAGACATAAACTGGAAATATTAGGGGATCTTTCTAATTCCATTGTCGAACAATTCATGTAAATTTTACTGAAAATGAAGGGTGGTTTGAAGCAAAACCCGATCACTGATATCACCGGAAAGAAAGCAAAGGAGAATGTTTAAACGAGAGAAGGTATAAGAAGTGCATATCAGAAACATTAAAGGTGATGGTGAGAGTCGGCTCACATTCCACAAGATCGAAACGAATGATGTTGTGACGCAAGAACGCAGGACGCGACCAAAAGCAGAGCCAAGCGAAAATAGCAGACCGCAAGAGGCAAAAGAAGGCCTTTCTCGAGAGCAAAAATGCGATCGCGCCTTTGCGTCTCGACAAGTGGCCGCCCAGGGACGAGAGAAATGATGAAAGCGAGGAGGCAGAATCCGAGGACTGAATTCGGTCGTGGACTCCCCCTTCGACAAATCCTCTTCAGCCCACGGCACTGCTGCTGCCATCATTCCAGCTGCCACCCACAACCGGCTCGCCCTACAGTCGCAGTAGCGCAGTAACGCAGTAGCCGCGTCAGATGACGGAAGAGGCTCCATCCATCCATCCATCCATCCATCCATCCACCAGTGCGCAGGTTGCTGAGCTTCGATCGAGCGAGCGATCTATCGCCGAGCCCGCGTCTGTCCGTCCGTACGTCCGTCAGGCGGAGCCGCGGGTCTTCGCTTCGGATGCCGCCGCCGCTGCTGCTGGTGCTGCAGGTGTCGATGGTCTTGATGAGGCTGACGACGATGGGCCCGGAGTTTGTTCGGGCTTCGAGGAAGAGCACGGACTGACTGACTGCGACCGAAGGGGGAGGGGAGCGGATGCGCAGCTGCGCGGATGCCATAATTCTTTACTCTCTCGTGCGTGTTGCCGGGGTCAGCTCGAGGTAGAGGGACGCTTTGGTTTGCGAGTCCAGATCTTTGGGCGGATGTGTGCTTGCTTGCTTGCTCGCTTGCTGCTTGCTGGTTGCTTGCGTGCGTGAGTGCGTGCGTGTGAGACCGTCTTTCTCGACGTATTCTTTTCCTTCTTTCTTTCTCCCACCATTGCGTTCCGGAATTCCTCCTGTAGACGGATTTTGGCACCATCGATCAGCCCTCGCGTCGGTCTCAGGCGAGATCAACCGCGCTCCATCGCGTCACTGCGTCCGAGTTATGGCTGATGAGCAGGTGAGAGCACCTTGTGAAGCGGACGAAGCTCGGTCGATCAAAAGTGGACTTTTGTTTGTGTCTTGCGGTGCTCGTGCTCATGCTCGTGCTCCTCCTCCTCCTCCTCCTGCAGCGATGCGCGCTTCTTCAGTGTCTTCTTCTCTCTCATTCTCCCCCGTACGCGGCGCGCGCTTTTCAGGGGTAGAGTAGAATTGAAGGAGGAGGAGGTAGTGGTGATGTTTTTTCATTGAGTTTTTGGCGCGCCTCGAGAGGCAAGAAGGAAAGCGCCGGAGGGGGGAGAGTGATGTGTGCAATCGTGAGTTGACGGCAAGTAAAGATCAAGGTTCTGGTCTGCGCAGATGGGATTCGTGGATCGGGTCGGTGACTGAAGCTTACCGGGTAGAGAAAGGAAGGGCAGAAAGCGAGGAACGATGTGGTCTTCCGAGTGATCGTTCGCTGACAGGTGAGTGCGTCGGACGATCGCAGTCGCCGAGACCTTCTCACTCCCTCTTTTTATAGCACTTTCTGAATCTAGGCAGTTGAGAGGCCGAGACTTTGGGCTTTGTGTCGGGCTCCGATGTTGTCCTCCTATCCTCGCAAGTAAAAAGGCGCGAACAACTCGCCAGGTAGGCAGGCAACGAAGTAAGAGTTCGTGGTGGGGAGATTCTGAATGGGAAATTGGTCTTATACATGGCGCAGCGACAAGATTCTTGTTCGTCTCGAATTTGACTCTTCGAGCCTAGCGGGTGATTGGAACTCGTGTTATTCCAGAGTGCAGGATTTGCATCCTGCGTCTTGTGTTATGGTCAGTTGTCGTGTTCCTTTTTCGGCAGTGTTTCTCACTCAGCGTACGTTGGGATTCAGGTCAAAAGCAAAAGGCATGACCGACTTCGACTAGCGAGAGCTGAATGGGTGTTCTTCGACAGCGAAGCAGGAAAGCGTAGTGATGCCAGGAAATGTGTCGGAGTGCACTGGAGTTCGTGTTCTGATCTTCGCCCGACTTCTAACGTGGAGGGTGGCTGAGTAATTTAATCGATCAGACAGCATTGGCCGGAGCTCAACTCCGTGAAGGCGTCAAGGGACACGCTGATCAGGCATTGATTTGGGTCGAGGACACGATAGGGGACGCCCAGGAATGAGAGAAGCGGTGGAAAGAAGACGGATTGGGATGCTCAGGACCTTCCTTCGTGATTCTTTGCAACTACTATGGATGGTTTAGACAGGGGACCACAAAGTTCTTACATTTGGAGAGTGTACTGCCTCCTTCTGGGGCATCAGGATTCTTTACTCGGTCTTTGTGTTTGCTCTGCAGCAGTCGATCTCGCTGTGCCCCGATCAGACCATTCGCCCGTGTTCGCATCTGAGATAGGGCGTGCAGTGCGCAAGTCTAAGCATGACTGATGTGTCGTCAAACTACCTGGCAGGTGAGCATAAGATGATAGAAACAGGGAAAGGGGGTACTGGTCTGAATCCAAGGAGCAAGGAAATGACCAAGAAATCAGTGGTTTCAGCGGCCGACACAGACAGGGATGATCGGAGCGTGCGTTCTGCACCCAAGAGTGAGAGGAGTGTCAGCATTGCCCCCACTGCCAAGGTTGATGATGATGAGAAAGGCTCCATCGTGGACTCGTATGCTTCCCTGAGGATTGCGAGCGGCCCTCGAGTGAAGATTGCTGACCCCGACGATGACGACGAAGAGGAGGAAGTCGACGAGGACGGTGCGTTTGGCAGTGGAGACGAGGGCCTCGAGGAATACTCGGATGACTCGGGGTTCGAGCAGGGAGACGAGGACGAGGACGAGGACGAGCTCGATTATGAATCCGATGGAGGTTTTGAGGACGTAGATGGAGGATTTTCAGGATACGCCAAAATTGCTGTAGACGGCGTGGAGTTTGATCATGGTAAAACTATAGAGAGGAAGTTTTCACCCTATGCAAGGATTTCTGCTCCGGACACCACTGAAGCCGAACACCGAAAGTATATTGACCGGGACTTTTCACCCTACGCGAGAATCTCCGTGGCAGGCAACGACAACGACAAAGATGATGGCTCGTACGCAAGAGTTTCTGTAGCGGGCAGTGAGATTGACAGGGATGCCGGATATGCTAGAGTTTCTGTCCATGGCAGTGAAGCTGATTTCAACTATGGAGATACGAACGCCCGAGTCTCCGTTCACGGAAGCGAGGGCAAGGAGATGGATCGAGAGAGTTTTTCCGGATTCGCAAGAATATCGGTGGCTGGTAGCGAACCGGATCAAAACTATGCGGACAGGTTGGCCCGAGTCTCCATTGCAGGCAGTGATCATGGGCGAGACACCGACAGGGAGCTCCCAGCATATGCCAAAGTTTCCGTCGCAGGTAGTGACCACGGTAGGGAGACCGAAAGATATGCAAGAGTGTCTGTTGCCGGGAGCGAATACGAGCAAGGCAGGGATGCGGAGAAAGCCTTCTCTTCCTACGCAAGAATTTCTGTGGCAGGCAGTGAAGCGGGGTACCGAAAGGAGTCGGAACGAAAATCAACAAAATATTCCCTAAAATCTGCAGCCAGAAGCGAGAGGGATCACGCAGAGGAGAGGGAAAATGAGTTCACTACATACGCCAGAGTCTCGGTCGGAGAGGCCTACATGGATATGCCAAGCCCCAGTGGATCGGGATTGAAGATCAAGAAGTATGAGAATGAACTCTACTCTGACAATGAGAAGGAACTGTCGGTCAGTGGCTTGGTGGTACAGGATGAAGACGATCATGACGAGGATGAGGACTACGATGCATTTTTGGAGCTAAGTGCCGAAACCAGGGCCAAGCTGCAATATCAAGTGAGAGTTGTCCTCGTTTCGCCCCTCTTCGAAGGCAAAGACAGGAAGCTTTCAGCGTTCTCCGGTGTATACAAGAAGAAGTTTGGAAGAGATTTGGAAGAGACCGGCTTCAGCTCTGCTGCCAGACTTTGCCGCGCCATGCCTCACGTTGTACAGAGGTCGCGATTGGAAAAGGAGGGAGAGCTGATTCTAGTTGATTCTGCTAAGAATCGACGAGCAGTTGCTGGGATCAGGTCAGGCCTACGGCGAATCGTGCATGATGTGCTGAAGGAATCGTCCGAGAAGATGTCATTTGAACAGCTTGAAGAAAGATGTTCAGAGCTGCTTGGGGCGCCGTTGGTTGACATACTAACTGAGCATGGGTATGATACTCCCACCGTAGAGTGTCTAGTGAAAGACATGCCTGATATCGTGGCCTGTGAAAAGGATGGGCCCAAAAGAGGAGCGAGTCTTTGTGCTGGCGCAGAAGATCCTGCTCTAAGCGACGGGCTGCTCATTAAGAGTTCTCCTTCAATGAGGAATATAATTTACACGCCGGATAAAAAACAGTCAACTGATCTGGAAAATTTGCCGCAAGCCACGTCAGGTAACAAAAGTCCTCCATCTGTTGATATGTGCTGGGTTCCTGTAACGAATTGTTGTCCTTCAATGTCTTGGGATGATCTCTCGAGACTACTTTTACTACTTTCACAGCTATACCTTCATGATTAAATCGCAATTACCATCTATGTTATTTACCTTTTCCTTGCTACTAAACGCTATCACTGTATATTTGTCAGACAATTTTGGACTGCCATTTTCATTTATTGCTGCCCATCGGTGTCGCGATAGAGAATCCTTCTTTTAGCACTTGGAAGAGGTCCTTGGACTCCTTTCAAGCATTCGAATTTCTGCCTTTTCCGTTATAATAGCTTTCTTTCCAACCTTCCAGGTCTGTTTTATATTGTTTATCGCAGCAAAAGCTGGTATTTTGCTTGTTTACTGTTAATCAAAACCTCATGAAAATATACACTTTTTTTCCCGGTTTTACTAGAAGTAAATTACGCTCGATGCCGAATTTGATGAATAGACTCCTGTGGTTAGTGGTCTGTGTTAATAGTTGCATGTTCGAGCAGTGCACATATGCACGCAATGATGTACCCAACGGTTTATGTCAAGCATGCTTTTGATTTGAGTAAGGAGTCTTAAATCCTGGAAGCATTTCCAGTCATCCTTAGTTCTGTTTATATCTAATGATCAAGAAGTCAGAGATATTTACTAAGCGCACTAGTTTATGATGTCGTCTTCAGCCTTCCAGTTTTGCAGTTTGCAGTTTTAGCCGTAAAGTTATAAACGAGTATAAAGCTAGTGGCATAAATGCATGCTACTGTGAGGGAGCTTCCAGTGTGATGTACACTTTGCTGGTCGCTGACTTGTTTCATGCGTTCCTCTTGCAGAATTAACAAACGCACCAATTGTTATCGAACCTCAGTTGGAATTGACACCAGACAAGCTGAAGTTGTCAAAGAAACAAAAGGTGGGAAGTAATCTTACCATGCGTGGTCTGAAGAATGAAATCAGAAGATACGATGTGACCCCTGGGCCAGCTCATTCGCTGGAGGATGAAATTTTGCAAGCTAGACTTCGCATACGAATTCTGCTGGCTTTTCACAATTCCGGACACGGCGTAGAAGTGAGCCATCTCTGTGAGCTTTATGAAGCTACATTCAAGGCCAGTATAGATTTGCAGTTGCTAGGATTCAGTTCGGTTCTGGAGCTTGCCCGTTCGTGGCACGACATATTCTTGTTCCAAGAGCCGAGGCCTGACTGGGTGTTCCTCGTCCCCCTTGAAGCAAACAAGAGGATTTTGAACACTGTTCGAACGGGTCTTCGGTCTGCTGTCTATCACGTGTTGTCAAAGGTATACCCAGATGGGCTGGAGCCAAGTGATTTTGTCCATCGCCTTCAGGAGTCCCAAGATGGAAAGCTTTGGGAGGTACTCCAGAACAACGGGTACAGCTGCTCTGAACCGGGAAAGTTGGAGAGATTTCTGATCTCGAAGTTTCAGTTGGCTGACTTTGAGGAGATTCGGCTTCTTCTGGATGATATGATGGATTTCGTTCGTCTGGGATCAAACGAGGATGGCTCTTTGGTCATTAAACTCATAAGTGAGAAGTACCCTTTGCTTGACTTAGTAGATTGTAAGATGGAGGAGACGGACCTCGGCAGTTTTGATGAGCTCTTCGTGAACCTGATGATGCTAGCTGTAGATGAAGAGGATGGTGGTGCAGATGACGGTTCAGATAACGGCTCAAAGCAGGGGGATGCGGAATCCTTGATCGTGGACCAAGTACCGATCACGGTGGGTCTTGTACGAGCACGCGTAGAGTGCTTCGAGAATGGAGGTCTTCGGGACGCACATACACCCACTCCTGATAACCTAAGATTCAAGCATGAAATTCGACTCATACTCGCCTCTCCGGAATACATCGAGAAAGGAGTGGCTTGGAGTGAGCTGAACAAGATCTACAAGGATCGAGCTGGACAGGAGCTAGGTTCAAGAACAAAAGTAAAAAAGCTCTTACGCGATATGCCAGATATCGTGTGTAAGGAGTCATTGACAGAGAGATACGCGCGGCTTTCCAAAACACCGAAGAACATGCGAATCCTCTCTGCAACGAGAGCGGGATTGAGACAGGTTCTGTTCTGGGCTTTGCTCAAGAACCCGGGTGGTGTTTGGGCTAATCTCCTTGAAGGATGGTTCGCGGACTTTGCAGGAATGTCTCTTGCTGCTACTCTTCTAAGCCATGGGTACGAAGCATCAAAATGCAAGCCTCTGTTTCCCGTCTCGTCCCTCCTTAGGGACATGAGTGATCTGTTGGAAAAACGGTTCCCTCATTGTGAAGTTTACGCCTGGGCGGGCGAGGTGCAAGATCCTGTTCATCAGGATGCAACCCTCTTGGGCATACCAGAGCTTATGATTCAGTATGATCCTTTGCGAGGAGATACCCAGTCTGTGCCAGACAGGGTAGCAGCCTTGTACAAAGAGTTCGTCGAGAAAGCCGCACTCAAGGAAGATAAATCTAGCGAGGAAGATCATCAGTCAGATTCCGAGTCTGATGAAGGATCGACTAATGATATTGCTGAGAAGCCAGTTACGGATGCAGAGAAGCATGGAGCCTTCAACGAGCCAGCGGTCCCGCATCTAGTTGATCTGGAAATTAAACGAAGTTCTAGTGAAACGATGGAGGAGGTCCCTGCCCAGGATACCATTGTCATCCAACCTGAAATGGAGGAGACAGTGCTGAAGATTGACATTCCTGAGGAAATAGCTGAGAAAGCCGCGGTGGTAGAGGAACAAGCGCAGTGTGAAACTCGTGCAGAAACGGTTGTTACTGATGTGACAGCGGGGGAAAGCTTTGTTGAAGTGGAAGGTGATATGATTTCTCTCAACTTTAGGGACGAGAGAATAGAAGAGTCTGAAAAGCTCACCGATGCCGATACTGCCGTTTGTGAAGACAGGGTGAAAACGGAAGACGAAGAGTACAATGGAGATATTGAGGGTAACGGAGAGTCAGAAAGTGAGGATAATGAAGAAGATAAGAGAGTGTATATTTCTGAGAACAGAGACGAATGGGAAGCGGATCATGAGAGAGTCTATGTTCTTGGCGGTAGTAGCGAAGAACTAAGGAGAGGAGACGATGAGAGAGTCTACGTTCCTGGTAGCAGTAGCGAGGGTTTGAGGGTAAGAAAAGAAGAGGATGACAAGGAGAACGACGATTCTGTGGCAGAGGCTTATGCTCAACTGCGTGTGCACGGCAAGGGTCCAGCCGTCAACTTGGACGAATGGCAGTTTACAGACTCCGACGAAGATTATGGGATGGACGAGGACGACGATTATGAAGATGACGAGGTAGAAGAGGAGGATGAAGGTTCAGGAGGGTCGGACGTACAACCTAAGGTCGATCAAAAGCAACCGAGGGTCACTGTTGCTTACGATAACGACTCCAATTCCAAGGACTCCAAGAAGGCGTGGGTTCTTCCCAGCAAGGGCATTCATGTGAAGTAGGTGATACCTCCGAAACTCTCACGGGTCAAATCTGGACCTCATGAAGGAAGCATGACAGGAGTTGGGCAGTTGCGGATATGCAAAGATGAGAACCATGGAGCAGATTGACGATGGTCTTCAAGCAAATGACTCAGTGATATGCTCCAGGATTGATAGTACTTTTAATTACTCAGGGGTATATGTATCTTGCCAGCGGCTGCCCGTGCTGAAGAGAGCATGGACTACGCCGAGCAGAGGTCATTCTTTGCAGTAGTTCATGAGAATCCTCAACGTGGATTCCATGAGAGAATGTTTCACCCATGTAAGGGCAGAGTTCTATCCATCATTCTGGAAATGGGGTGGACTAGAAGGTACATTTTCACAAAAAATCCCTTGTAAAGGGTGAGTCGATCGAAGACAAAGCAACATGTGCGAACCTTGGACGAGGAGGAAAGAGGTTAGTAGCAACTGTGGAAGATCACTATCACTCAGGCTCCGTATAGTCACTTTACTAGTATCGAGTGTTGTCGCCCATATTCCCCCATTTTTACCCACCCTACGACGAAGGTATATGGAGTGAATAATCATTCTAGAGTTTCCATTCTTATGTATGGAGCCTCTGTTGGTTTCAAGCGTGCTTGAATGTATCACATGTGGGGTGTACGAGAATCATCACTGAGGACTACGACAGTGGAACTCCTCAAAATGTGGCCTAGCCCAGTCTGTGGAGCTCAATCTTGCCGAAGATGATCAGCAAACTCAGAAGAGCCTCTCAACTATGTCCTTGACTAGCTTTGTTAGGAAGGAGTGGTTGGTATGTTGTAACAGTATGTCTTCAAGTAATCGAGTATTGGTCTGGAGAACGTGACATGAGTAACTAATTCTGGTGCATTCAAAGCACGCCAAAAGGTTACATCTAGGATCATGTGACAAACTTTCCCAGACAATTGTTCAAATATTGGATAGTGGTATGATTTCCATTCTGATCAGTTCTTTAGGCAATTCATTTAAACAGACAAAGATTCCAACTTTGTGTGAAAGCTAACATGTCAAGCAGCTTGGGCGTCCTGATGTTGGGGTGATGTCACCTCCTGGCATGCAGTTCAAGACTTTGTATCCGAGCTGCGAGTAGTTGTAGAAAAAAATGATTGGTTCTGAGCATCTTCTTGGATTACCCGCCTAGATCGTGCTTGGCTTCTGAGTAATGGAGAGCATGTATCTGTCTTGGTAGTACTCTCTGGTTAATGACTTGGGTGGAGTCTTATGCTGGAGTGTAATTTGTTTCCATCAGGTTTTTGGAATTCCACCTATGCTCTCGGTGGGTTTGTTATCAAAAATATTGTACAGCTGTAGTTGAACCAACATTACTCGCGGAGATATTTCTCTTTCAGTAATTTAACGGAGCACGAACGTCTGGATTCTGCACGTGAGCTCTTGGATTGTTGGAATCTCTCGGTTTCCTGCCCTGTTATACTCTGAACTCAGTGGATTGAGTCATTGTCGGCCACTGTGGACATTGGAGGAAATCGAATCCTGAGTTTAGGAGATGTATAGGGATGGGAAAGTTCTCAAATGAGCCTCAGTGTACGCGGACATCAATGATGCAGTAGATTCATATAACCTCAGAGAACTAGTGAAGACGTTCGTATTGACGACAAGCATTTTCACGAAGATGTAGCGTCGTCCAGTGTGAGAACGGAACAAAATCAGCAAATCTTTTGTAGGGGATGCTGGAGTTAAGACTGGAGACACGTTTGAGCGTAGGGTTATGGTCTCATTGTAAGAACCATATAAAGAGTTATGCACCAGGTATGCTGAGTGTTACGAGAAGTAAGAAGATTGCATGAGACTCGATCGTAGAATGCTAACCTCAACGGTGCATCGTTTGTTGTCTTCAGGATCCAAGAATGCCGGTCATGGGAAGGTTCTTATAGACTGGATACTCAACTACCTGGTATAACCGTATTTCTAGATCAGAAGAGCCTTGTCATCCTAGAGATTCTCGAAGTAAAGTGAGAACAGAAACTTTGAAACCATTGGCGTGTTTGAGGAGGGTTGAGTCACACCCCTCAAGATATTCAGAATTGGGTGTACCTTGTATGTTTGGCAGCACCATCAATTTGCCGAAAGACCCAAGAAAGACACACATTTCTCCTTTAATCCTGTGACATCTATTAAAAGGCCGAAGCTTTCCCGGATGTAGGTGGTCGAGTTTGCATGTCGTACACTAAGATAAATTCCTTTTGATACGGCTACATGTCGAAACCAGATTAGCACAATCGAGGCGACTGTAAGCCCATTATGGGCAGGCCATGAGATTGTAGTCAAGTCACAAACCTTACAGGACGGTTTGGAAAGTCAATATTGGGTGACAAATTCTGAAGATTCGACATCCCGACGTGAAATGTGCCAGTAACTTAACCATCGGACCTTGAAACTGGAGATGCTTGGCATCTACACAACAGCCTGCGGATAGCTGAGATCGGATAAGGTCACAGATTAGTCAGAAGTTTCCAAGGGGATGGAACTGTAGGCGATTCTAGTGACATGGCAGGACCACCATCGAATGATCGATTAGTGCTCCAAAATACTTCGATGCATAGTTACATTTGACCATCAGTTTGAAACTTGCTAGAGGGGATCTGTCATTGAGAAGAAGTGTTGTTGGCTTATTATGGGAGTGCTCGGAAGTCCACATGTCTTTGTATGTCACTGACGCTATCACATTGTTGAGAATATATGAAAGCTTGATTTGGTTGATCTAATGCTGTTTGGAGCCAATGAATCTATGGAATACGTAATAAAACGTTTAATGGGTGATGAGAAGCTTCTCTAAATACGGAAACATGTTTAAGAAATATATATTAAAAATTTCTTAACCCAGAAAGTGATTATCAAAAATTATTAACTAACTACTTACTAGATAAGACACAGAGTTTAAGGTTTTTAAATAGATGTTTCGGCTGCAATTGCATCTGCAATGTTATTTAATTTAACTGCAATTTTGATCATTTGCTCCAATATAAAATTGATGTAAAATTGATATAAAATTGAAATTGCTCCAATGCAAACCGTCCATGCAAGCCGTAGACCGGAAGACGCCGTTTCAGTCAAAACATCTCTTACAATATGGTCTTTGTATTGCATCTCGTGATACTCAATCTTCCGAAATCGTTGTTGTTCTTGTAGATTTTGTGTATGTTTCTACCGTGAAGTATCAGTTAAAAATCGTCAACATTTTGAACATGTGAGTATCTCACTTTGAAAAACTATTTTTACACGCATCGTCTTGGCATCAACCATCAAGTCAAACTGGAGAATATCAAAAGCTCTAACGAGAGGGGAGATTCTCCATTTTGAAACACTGCCACCATCAAAAGCTGGAAGGGGAAAGTTATCTTTATAGATAAAAAATACTCCCTCCGTCCCAAAATTATTGTCCAATTTTTGTTAAAACACCGGGAATAAGCTCAAATAATCTTTTTTTAGCTTTTTGCGAAGGGAAAATGTAAATTTGAAGTGTTTTTAGGTTCGCAAAACTTTGAACTTCGGTGACCTCTGCAAGCGAAAGTTTTGGCGCCAAAACCACTATCGTAATTGAGTGTCATTTGCCAAAGTACCGGTGGATAAACAATTATCGTTCCTGCGTCCACTGATCAAGGTATCGTTAGTGGAGTTTATCAACTTAATGTCGATCAAGGTTCGCCCTCGAATGAACCTCTTTTGGATGAATGCAAGGCGGTGCCGTTGAGGCGTTTTGTGAGGGGAAGTCCGTGACTCAGAAGCAGAAGAATCTGACCGATGTACAGTGCCGAGCAGTGTATGAATTCCTGTTGGGACGCTCTGACAATGGAAAGCTGCAGTATGGTGCCTAGAATGCAATGGCTGAATTTGGGATCAGTGCGCGTACAATTATTCGTGTATGGACTCGTGATAGGGAGTCGCTGGCTAGTGGCAATGTGTTCGCCGACGTATCATCGCGAATCATTGGCAAGAAATGACGTTCAAAAGTCTCTATCGACATGAAGAAGTACAAGGCGATCGACAAACGTTTGCGAAAGAATATTTGCTCAGCAACTTGCGCCATCAGAATATCAAAGTCGACGCTCCATAATCGCATCACCGAGTGGATTATCAAGTGTCATATGAATGCACTGAAGCCGAATCTTACCGATGCGAATAAGACATCCCTGCTGGCATATGCTATTGATCAGATCGATGAATCTACACTCACGGATGGCGATCCTCATTTCTACCGCCAATGATATCTTGTTCATATCGATGAGAAATGGTTCAATTTGACCGAGGAATGTGAGACATTCTATCTCGCCGCTGATGACAAAGTGCCACATCGAACGGAAAAGAGCAAGCGTTTTGTCTTGAAAGTGATGTTTATGGCCGCAATGGCGTTACCGCGTTTCGATCTCGTCAAGAACCAATGGTTTATAGGAAAGATAAGGATTTTTCCATTGGACTACAAGGCGGCAGCGCAGAGTTCCTCCAAGAATCGTTCGGCCGGAACAATTGAAACGAAACCGATTGAATCTGTGAACAAAGAAGTCGCAAAGCGATTCTTGATTGAGCATGTCTTCCGTCAATTCGGGAATCGTGGCCAAGGTGACCAGCACGTAGCGTCGAATCAGGTCCCATTATAATCTTCGTCCAGCAGGACAACGCCAAGCCTCACCCGAAATCCGATAACATAGATCTGATCCGAGAAGAAGACAATGACGAATTCCAAATCTGTTTAATCTGTCAGCCACCGAACATTCATGATATGAACGTTCTCGATCTCGGATTCTTCTGATCGATCCAATCACTTCAGCATCAGCAGGCTCCGAACAATATTGATGAGCTTATCAAAGTTGTCGTGAATTCCTTTAATGCAATGGGCCTCGACAAGCTGAAAAACTTGTTCCTATCTCTAAAGCAGTGCTTGGTCGAAGTCATAAAATGCGGCGGCGTAAACGACTACAAACTTCCCCATATGGGCAAGGAGAAGCTGGCGCGATAGGGCCTTCACCCTAGATAACATTGCCTGTTCAATGACATTGTACAACAGCGTTTGAGAGCGTCTAAATGGTCTAAACATAGTGTAATAACAATAAGACAATAAAAATGGAATGCAAAAAAACCGTGAATTGGACAATAATTTTGGGACGGAGGGAGTAACATCTACATACCTTTAAGTAGTACAGTAACCTCCTGGTTAAGTACGCACACGTTTAGTTATACACTTTCTTCCAAAAAAACACTATCAAGTTTAGGGTTTACACGGATCTGTCAAGTGCACACAGTAAGAATCAAGACTATTAAGAAGCGTCCAATACAATGTATTTGGGTTTTTGACCCCGTTACAAAACTTTTTTACAAGTTAACAGAAAATGGTGTTGTGTTAGTCCTAGCTACGAAAAAACCTAGGTTCATGGGCAATTTTCAAGAATCGGTTGGCAGTTGCTTGCCGGAATTAGAAGCTTGGAGTTAAGAAATGTTGATCTCGTCCTAGTGCGTTGAGTTCCTAAGGAGTATCACTCCAAAGACACAACTTCAGTTCGTGACTTTACTCTTGAACCTCTACTCTTACTTACGAGCGCGGTGAATTCCTTCGGCGAATACCTCCAAAGACACAACTACAACTACAGTTGGTGACTTTCATCTCAAATCTTTGCTGATAGAAACGCGGTGAGACACTTCGGTGTATACTTCCAAAGACACAACTACAATTTGTTACTTTACTCTCGAACCTCTACTCTTACGAGCGTGGTGAGCTTCTTCGGCGTATCACTCCAAAGACACGACTACAGTTAAGCATGACAGTCCGTGAAAAATACCTGTTTGTGTTCAGTACAAAATCTATCTAGGGTCAATATGCGTACTTTACCGAAAGATTGCTTTATTACATTTACATCAAATTCAGAAGTTTTTTTTTTTGAAATAATAGATTTTTACTAAACTATATATATTCCGTATTTTGCTTTGATGACAATCCTTATTTTATAATAATGCCGAACATACAAAATGCTTTCTATAAATAGAGAGGTTTGGTGATGAATAGAGAAAAAAATGAGGATTACTATGCTCTTCTTGCAATCAAATAACATCTCATAAGGGTTGAATTTTGGAGTTATTTCCTTTCAAGTAAGAATTGTTAAGAAACCACTTTGCAAATTCTTGTGTAGATAAAAAATTATAATGTAAATCTTCAATTTTCAATCAAGGTGAAATTATTTTTAATGATGAAATTATTGCAAAAACTTTATGAATACATGGAGTAGATCTTTCTTCTACCCAAGATTTGAGCTAACAAATGTAAAAATGATTATTTTTTTGATTTGTCAAAGACTACTAAGATTATATTATCATTGCCACAATCAAGAAGATAAACTACATGGAAAATCTACAAATTTCATTTGAGTATCTAAATGTGTGTACATTATAAAAACAAAGAAATATTTGTATCTTTTCAAATTATGTCACAAGCATCATATATCTAACAATGTTAATCTAATATTCTAGATTCAAAAATATACTTTTATGAAAATCTAGTAACAATTTAGTTATATCAGTAATTTATATGATGCATAAAACATTTTTTATCTATTTTCAACAACATGTTTTTCTAATCCATCATGGATGACTATCAAATCTTAATTAGATATGCAACAAATCATATATAGTATTATTGCATTTTATTCACTATTCTATTGGTATATAATTCTTGCATATGTAAATAACCGAAACAAATAAATATAATAACTTGTCATCTTAAAGTACATAGAGTGAACAAAGTCTAATGATAGTGAATGGAAATGTTATTAAAGTTAATTTTTACGTTTAAAATCATATCACTTTTCAATAAATGGTACAAATAAAAATATTCC